TGATAATTGTCTCCGCGGATCTAGAACCCGTTCTCCGGACTTAGGGTTTTGGAGGCCGCAGTTAACTATCCCTATCTCCATGGATGAATACCTTCACAAAAACCATTATCATGACATGACCCATTTCATAGAACTACTCCCGGACTTATTTCCTCCAGATACCGAGCATCTCTATCTAGAGAACTACCCACCTACAAAACCACCTTCCCAGCACCCCCCGGCAATCCCACCCGAAACAACGCAAACGGCCTCTCCTTCTCCTGCCTCCAAAGCTGATTCTCCGTGAAATACAGATACCCCCTCCCCTCAGTCCCATTTCCCCCCAGACTCACCACACTCATCGTATCCGTCCACCCCATCCTCGGATCCCTCACAAACGTCTCCACGCTCCCATTCCCGGGATACACCACATTAATCGCATTCGACTCGAAGCTCCCCACATAAATCCGTCCCTCCGAGTCCGTCTCATAACCATCACTGACCCCCTTCTGAACGACCTTGCTCACGCTCTTTACAGCCTTAGCCCGGCCTGCAGCCGAGTCATCGCGCAAGACAGCAGTAGGGATAGAGTAGATATCCCGCCCACTTACAACCCCAAAGTAGAGCGTTTCGCCATCAGCCGAGAGTGCGATTCCATCTGTCCCCGTGGACACGTCGACCACGTCGCCCCAGATAAAGGCGCGGAAGTCAGATTCTGCTTTCGTTATAGCTAGCCCGTCCAGCTGCCGCCAGGCTTTGCCGGTACCGAGATCGACTACGATGAGGCCGTTGCGGCCTTCCGGGCTGGAGTCGGTCAGGTAGGCGATGCCTTGGCTGGAGGTGTTGGGAAGATTGGGGCGGAGATCGAAGCGGACGTCGTTGGGGTACTATTGTTTCCATTCTCTTGTTAGATGAGTAGTGATGATTTGGAGGACAGGAGAATGCGTACAGAGTCTGCGTAGACGGCATCTCTGGGGAAGAGAATCGTTTTGAATACTTTGTTCGTGGTGAGATCGACTCCCACTAATTTTGGACCTCCGTACGAGGATAGCAAGAGGGTGTTGTTGGCTGTGTTGGCGCGGCCGGTGTCGAGGATCCAGAGGCGGTCTTTGGAGTCGATGACGACGCTTTGGACGCTGATGAGGTGGTTGGCGTAGTTAACGGTTGTCTAAGATATATCCATGTTAGACTGGCCATGTAAGTGTTGCTGGTAGGGAGGGGCTGACTGCTGGAGAAGTAGAGTAATTGACAGCTCCACCAGGAGGATAGTTGAACTCTGCAGAAGGATACGGAACTTCCGTGATCGAGTCCGTTAGTTCAGCTACCTGGTAGCGGGTGTTGTTGGCGTCCAGGCCCAGAGGGTAGCAGGAGAACATGCGGCCCGTGGAGGATACAGCTACGCCTGTGGGAAACTGGTCATAGTATTGGTGGACCAGCTCCAGCGAGGGCCCGTATACTCCGGTATCGTGGGCCAGGCCGTTCGCATGGCCGGCCAGAAGCAATGGTAGTAGCTGGATTATAGAAGGACGCATTTTGAACTTGAATAAGATAGTAGATCAACTGCCAAAGAATGGACAAGAGGGACTAAATATACTGCTCTTGAAGCTAAACATCGGGTGGGTGATGACGAAGGGTTACTACCCAGACAGGTTTAAGCTCCGCACGGGAGGTTGCAGACGCCATGGAAGAGCTAATTTAGATTAAGATTCTTCAGGAACAGCTGTTGCAGTATTGTAGGTCTTCTTGTGGGGCTGCTCAATTGCGTTTTGTTATAATTATTACAATATGCATGCTCTTGCACGTCATATGATCAGATGTATTGTAGGTTCACCTTCTCTGCCCATCGTCAGTCGATTGGGATCAGGTAGGCAGGGTCTGTAGAACAGAACCAACGGCCCTGATCCTACCAGCCATCTCTGGAGCAAGCGAAAGAATCGAGGGTATTAGGCAGGTGGCCAAATGATAAAGATGTAGTATGTTGCTAACAGAGGAAAAGCATATATCCAGATGAAAGCATCAGAAAGAATGGTATTATACTATCCACAGCAATCAAACATTAACCCTCGTACTGTGAAGAAATGAAGCCATATGCCAGAACCATAACAGAGTAATCTAGTTGATCAGCTAAGCCAGGCTGTGATCAGCTGGCATATGGCATACGCCAGAACTCCAATATACCGACATCAAACATATCCAATTCACGCCTCAACAACCAAGCAAATCGTACTAGATGAGCAGGGTACTTATTCCGTAAGACTCGTAACGCCGACTGTCCTCAAGATGCTCCAGAAGCCATAATATACATGTCCACACTTTCAGAAGAGACGAACCGGGTATCGTGCGTAGCAAAAACTCCGAGCCAGCAGTTGCCAAAGAAGAAACGGATCTGCCGGTAGCTCCGTCACCGTTCCCCAAATTTGCCATACTCCTGCTGCCACTTCAAGAGATGACGAGTCAACACATCCATCATCTCCACGCTGCTGAGGTCCTTAAAATCCTTCTCTGCGGCGGGTTGCGCCACTGAACCGCTCTCCAGGCCAGCGCTCTCTATAGCACTGGAGAGGAGTTGACTCTCGCTCAGAAGTCGGCTGACCCCGTTCGGCCGGTCATCGTTACCCGGCGGGGTGGTGCTCTCCCCTGCTACAGCCATCTCCACCTGCATGCGTGAAATGAACTCTAAGATCGCGGTCACCCGTCGCTTCATCTCGTTCATGGTGGTTCGTTGGTTCACGTAGCGGGGCCGGCTGGGCTTGCCCGATTCACTGCTGTTGATGTGTGTCCCGTTGACACCCACCCGCGGCGAATCCCCTCCAAGGTCATGCGATTGTCCACGCCGCGGCGACCGTGTTGTTGAGTCGGTGCCGTTGGTGTCACGATCGCGAGTATATTGATTCCGTCCGATGCGACCGCCACGCCGTGCAGGCGGACGGCCGGATTTGCGAGTGGACGGACGCGAAGGTGCAGCTTCGGGGGCAGGGGCAGGCGTCTCCTCCGGACTGGGTTGCTTCGGTTCGGGTTCGCTCGCATTAGGCTTGACCGGGGATCCTGTCTCAAGGTCGGACTCGGCGTCTTTGGAAAGTTAGCCTCATGATCGGGATATTGACAGGAAGCGGTATCACTCACCATCACCCTTCTGTCGCTCCGATCGGCTTTTCCTACGAGTTGCAACCTCTGGCTGCTCCGTCTCGGGTTCTTCAGGTTCTTTGGTTTCCTTATCACGCTGGCTGCGTGAAGCAGCTCTCTGCCGTCGGACGCCATTGGTGGCAGGTTTCTTCGACTCATCCTCCGAGACAGGCTGAGATGCAGGGTTACTTTTCGAAACGGCGCCCGGAGAGGGAGAGCTCGTGCGCTGTCGCTTAGTCGTTTGTTTTTGCCTACCGTCCTGTTAGCTTGATCACCAGCACAACGAACAACGTTCAACGTACGCTTCACTGTCACTGCGACTTCTCTTGGGCCTCCGGGCCGCAATATCATCACCAGCTGGTTTGTTATCTTCCTTGCTCTCTTCGATGGCCCGTCGCAGCTGCTCTTCTTCGTCATAAGCCGCATCACGGCTATTCATCGTTGATCGCCTCTTAGGATTGGTAGGATCATTGTGTCGTGGTTTTGGTTCCTTGGCGCGTCTCGATGTTTCCCGCGACGACTCTCGTGACGATGGAGCAGTGGAAGGGGGAGGAGCGACAGGAAGATATTGGGACGAATATGATCTGCGAGATCGTAAGCGAAAATGCCACATGCCGAGAAATAGCGAATAATCAGATGAGAAAACAGCACAAGCGGCTCGCTCGAAAATTTGAGTCTGGCAACAAGAACCGAGACGCAGTACAAAAACCGACGAGAACGAAAGAAGGAAGACATCGGCTTACCCATTTGTTTCGCTGATGATTTTATGGAGGTCCTTGCGACACTCTTCGCAAAAGTACTCATCGGGGCTCATAGCCTCGTCCATGATCCCCACACAGCCACCATGCTGCCAGACTTTGCACGAATCACATTGGATGAACATGCTCCCGATCTCGTCTGGCAACAGGTCTGATGCGTCCGCGGCGAGATTGAATGCCTCATCTTTTATGCCGGCACGCAAACCATTGCGCCGACTTAAATCACGTCGAGAAGGAGGCAGACCCGGGTACTCCTGTTGTCCACAGAGACACCGGGTAATTTCTTCCTCCTCGTCATCTTCTTCTCCGTCATCGTCATCACCATCCTCAAGTCTCATATGGTGATCATTATCCTCCTCCCCCCGAGCACGCTGTCGCTGGCGTGTTTCTCGAAAGTCACTTTTCGAGCCTGTGTCGGCATCGTCGATCGACTGGGACCGATTGGTGGAGGACCGCTGAGGGGAGGAGATTTTGTGATTCGACCGGGTGCTTCTTTCGCGAGCCATGGAATTGGAGGAGCTAGAGGAGTTTGTATGCTGAAGAATAGCTGGAGAGGGTTGGTTGCGAGCACGAGAGGAGCGACGAGGCGTCATAATGGAAGGAGGTTATTAGCGGGGAAGATGGGCAGAGCGACCGAACTCTGACAATAAAACGGTCGTAGGGTATGAAGGGACAGGAGGAAGAATAGAATATGGATCGAAAAGAGAGAGGACAACGTCGAGGAGTAGAATCCTGCCCGTGAGCGAGCTGTCGCACACGGGTGGAGAGCTGGGGGAGTCGACAACGCCTCAGACAAGTGGTTAAGGATGACAAGAGATGCAGCAGAGGGAAAAAAGCCGGCAAGTCAAGGACAGAGGAATGCCAATTGAGACCAAAGGGGAAAAGACATCCGAGAACTGCGCCTGCGAGCTTGAACGAAGACCGAGGACTACATAGTCTGTGAAATTGCAGGAAAAGGGTTGGTGGGGAGGAGAAAAAGGACGAGGAGGAGCGAGAAAGAGGGAAACGGACCCAGAATGAGAGCGTGAGTGACGGCCGGCCGCCGGAACGGGTTTTGAGCTGCGCGCCTTTGCGGTCAACGCGCATTGGCCTTTCCCCGCTCCATTTCTCTCTCTTTCTCCCCTCTATCTCTGCGCGCGCGTTGTCTGCCTCGAGCTTCACTACTCTCGCAGGACTACTTATTGATCGATACTGATGGGTTGGCCCGTTTCTCACTAATATGTACTCTAGGAAAATCTCCTTGTCCCATCTCCTCCGCCAATAATGTCGATCGGTAATAAAGCCGAGCGGAATGCGATGATGACATTCATGCCAGTATCCTCCAACAAACCCCGCTCACCTCTCAGCGTTGCTTTGTGGCCAGTTACCCGGGATCATCCTCCTCCGTCTCGATATATCTCCCCTCTTTCGTTCTATCTGGATCGTTCGTCCATTTCCCGCTGATGATGGCCCAAGCGAGTGCTACCGATCGCCACGGCCATTCCTGGGACAAGATCGGAAATTTGAGACATTGCTGACTAACCCACAACTTTGCAGACTCGTGTCTGCCATGGCGCCGCTACATCATCCTCCACATTCGCGTTGGTTCAAAAGTATTCTGGTTGATCCAGCTCAGCGACTGCAATTTCTTTGTTCTACCCCACTATTACCGCGATCGAACAGCGCCTACCAGACTACGCCGGGTGTTCGAGTGTTCGGCTCAAGATACATCTCACAATGAGCTGTTAGACATCGATTCGTATATGAAATCTCCACCACATGGCAAGATAATCCTGAGTATATATCTCAAGGGCTGGTTGGAGTATGACGAGCGCGACGGGCGAAAGCGTGTCCAGCCAGGGACAAGCGGATGGTGAGAGAGGCATGGGATAGACTGTGGACATGAGCGACGCAAGGCATATCGGAGTCTCCGTATGCTTCAGCTTTTGCAGTGTACCTGGGCACATCGACTAGAATCTACGTAGCGTGCTTGGGGATCTCAGGTCCTCGTAGGGAAGGATAGAAAGGTTGCGACACTGCAGGACAGGTTAAACAATTTTTGGGAGGCTGACTATCCCGCATCGTAAGAGACGAGCTGAACATGCCCCGTATTATTCCCGACTGAGACTGGGCCTCGCACCGAGTCGTGTGTGAACCACTATCGGAGAAGGAGAGACAGTAACTGGACTCCGGAGTAGATAGTTGAGGCTTTGGGGCGCACCCTGGCCTAAACGGGACTAGCGGCACCACATAGCAGCCTTAGGCAGCCGCAGGTATCCGCTCGGCCCAGAAAGGAAAGCGGATTAGTTATGGGGAGTGACTTATTCATCTAATTATTATCCACGAGCCATTCGATTCCCACCCCTCCGCCATCTTCGTCCCCTGTTGCCTTCCCCTCTTCTGATTGCTAGTTTACTTGTTTAATTCCCCGGGATTTGCTATCACTGCCTGTTTATCTTTACACCCGTTCTTGCCCTTCCTCCCCTGTCCCTCTTTTGCGTGGTCCGGGGTTGAACTGGTGTCGATTCTCGGTCCTTCCTTGCCGACACCTCGGGTTGAGTCGTCAAAAAGTCTGCATGGGCGATATCGGTGCATGGTCTCCTACGTAAGTCCCTTGCTCTGTCCCGGAGATCCTACAAGTCCAACTTTGGATGTTGAGACTGGCGGGGACCTTGGATGCCCTCGTGGGCGGTCTCCTCCAAACTCTGTGTGGTTCCGGGTGCCAGCGTTGGGAAACATGACAACTGACTTGTGGGTGCCAATCCAGTGCGGTCAAGGGTCATCTCCGTATTGCTCCCTCCACCCCCCTCCCTCTTCCTTCCGTATTCACGCCGACCAGACGGAACTGGTTATAGAGTATCGTGTGGGGGAAAGGTTGGCCATCGAGGACTTATAACAAAATTAATTGGAGGGAAGGGTTGTCTTTAAATCAAAGCAAAAGGGACCATCCGGGGAACGTTGCCGGGTTGGGCTACAAGGAGGCAAACCGCCATTCGGCTGTGGTTGTGGAGGTCGAGAGAGAGAGCCGAGAAACTGCCATCATGACTGCTACTCTGAGTATGTATTTTACCAAGGATGTCTGTTCCTCCGGGGAAGTAGCGTCTGGCCTTGTCGGTGCGTACAATTGACGGGTTGTCCCTCGATGGTGGATCCGCAAATTCCTGGGCGGATCTAGAGTTCAGGGTTCTGCTGGCTGCTCAGTTGCTGATACTGCTCACCTGCAGATGGGATGTTTAATTCGGCCCCAGATACACCGTCCCCTGTCTACCCGGATAGGCTCATCCGCCCTCTGCCCAAGCGTACCCTCCGCTCTCGCCTGTCCTCTGAAGCGGCCGAGTCGATCCTCTTCCCACCGGCCCCTCCTGCCACCCAGCTGTTCTACGGAACCTCTGTGGACAGCGCAGACATTGTAAATGACACCAAAGTGTATGTGCAACAGAGCGACGGTCGCGACCAAAGCCCGGAGCGTGACCATCTGCCGTATGAGAATGGGGTGGAGTTGGAGAGCGGTGATGAGGACGGGCCCGTAGTTGTGCGTCGAAGTGCTGGTTTCCGCGGGTCGTCATTGTCCCCCTCCGCCGCCTCCAGTGCCCCCCCTCAGACGCTGCCCAGCAACAGTGAAGGGCCTCAAGTGAAGTCCTCTTCGGCGGGTCCCGATGGGTACGATGCGTTTGAGAACACCAACAACAAGAAGAAACGCAAAATTCCTACACCAGGCAACCTCAGCAGTCACCACTCTACCCTCTCTCCAGAGTTCTCCAGCATGGGCCTTGCGACGTCTTTTCAGTCCCCTTCCACTGCTGGCGAAGGCAGCCATGTGAGTACCTTCTATGGCACGGGCAGCCCCGCGTCTCCGATCTCCAGCGGCATGTCCGGCGCGGGACGAGGTCGCCTTGGCCGCCATCCGCAGCGTGGTAGCACGGGGAGGAACTCCTTGTCGCTTCATTCTCCCATCAGTTGGCCTCGCACCCCTACGCGGCGCGATGGCCTGTTGTCGTCCCCGGGAGGAGCAGGTACGTTTCTCTTGTGTGTCTTACCGAGTGTTCCGGCTTCGCTTACGCACGTCTAGGTGACTCGGCTCCGAAACCAGACCAGGGTATAATTTCCGCCGCTATCGCAAATGCCGCTGCTTCAGCATTCTCCTCACCCCCTCCTGGACCCGGCCATGTCAGCATGCTCGAACGACAAACGCCTACGCCGACCAAGACCCAGTTCACATTCACATGCGAGTCGGATTCATCGAAGGGAATGGCCCTGCAGGCACAGAACGCGTACCCTGCTCCTCACCGTTCACCCAGTGCTCTCACTGCGGCTGTCCAGAGCCAGCGGGGATACTCACAAGGCACCCAGACAATCCCAAACGCTTCCTCACAAGTCAACTCTTCAGGGGCATCTCAACAGTCACAGCACTCGCAACAGCCGCAACTACAAATTGCGGGAACTGAGCCTGCGCCCACGGGGAGGAAGAAGAAGCGCTCTCCGGGTAGCATCTATGCTCTGGCCGCGCGTCAACGCAAAATCCAGCAGCAGTATGCCAACCTTCACCACCCGCCCAGCCTCGAGGACATCTGGATCTGCGAGTTCTGCGAGTACGAGAGCATCTTTGGGCACCCGCCCGAGGCTCTCATTCGCCAGTACGAGATCAAGGATCGCAAGGAGCGGAAACGATTGGCGGAGAAGAAGCGATTGCTCGAGAAGGCCAAGATGAAGGGTCGTAAGGGCAAGAAAGCGACCAAGAACGCCAGCAAGCACGCAGCGGCTCAGCACGCAGCCTATGACCAGGGATACGACCGGGCGTCCGTGGATCATTCTTCAACCGGAGGACCAGGGGTGCATGATGACGAGTATTTAGGCAATGAGTACGAGGACGAGGGAATTCCAACCCCACCTCCAGCGCCTCCAAGTTCAGTCAAAACTGCACCACCGCCAGGGCATCCGCCTAAATTAGCTGCTGCAACAGGGTCGGGCGCTAAGAGTGCAACGGACGGCGGGACAAGGCCGCCCTGACCATGGAGCAACGGCTATCGTGCTAGCGAGCGGTGATAGGCCGTTGCTCACTCTTCCTTTCGGTTTTCCCTTCTTTGTCTGTTCCTGTTTTAATGCATGTTTTCTTCTATCTTCAACCATTAATCTTTTCTTTCTATTTCCCTTCCACTGCATGGTTGAGTGTTAGCCTTCTGCTTTTCTTTTTTCCCATCACTTGCATGAATGAATCCCCGCTCCGGTCGATGAATGTCACGTCAGCGTCGCACATGAATATTTCAGGTTCAGGTTGGAATTGTTGAGCAGCATCAATGCATATTGGAGAATGTCATTGGAGCACGGATAGAGAGAGAGAGAGAGAGAGGCCGATGGACGGACGGATGAGAATCAGGGGGGTTTCGATGTCTCGGTATTATGCATGCAGAGAGAACATGGATGGATGGTTGGGCGATAGTATCTTAGTCCGTAGCGCTAATGTATGTAGATCAGATCCCATGGCGAGAGACGCAGGAGAGAAAGAAAGGAATCCATGTTCTGGTCTGTTGAAGATCGATCCCTCCACTTGCCGCCAAGCGTAACCCCAAATATCCTTCCCAACCAACCCCCGTCCAATCTTCTAAAGTCCAACGAGGGCACGGCGCTTCGCCCACCAACCATACAACCACTCACCCTATGACCACCAGATTTGCCGTCTCTCTGCAGCCCTGAAACCTTGATTGCATGAATTGGCGCGCGCTACACAGATGTCAATCCGTCAGTCAATCAGTAAATAACTGCCGCTTCCAGGAATAGCAAGTTTCAGCCCAGCGATACGAACTACCCTTGCCAGTGTGTAATTGGATGGGGCTGGCTTCTGCTGAAGATGTTGACGATGATAAAAATAGATGTACTAGGTGTCTTGGTATTGGGTTCATGGTTATATAAGGAGTGTACTAGAAGTTATCTTAGTTTGAATTGTTCAGCAGCAAAAAAGCATTCTTTATCCTTTAGTATTCATCTCTCTCTCTCTCTCTATTCCTCTTTCTTTGAGTCTCCTTTGTTCGAGTACAATCTATCTATATCATTGTTTCATTGAACGATCACTACTACTACTATCATTGCCATCGTTCTTCTCTCTTTGATATCCATCCTTCTACTACATACATACATACATACCACTACTCGTTCTATACATATTTTGATTGACCGTGATATTATCTTGCGCTGGCGCAATAATCTCCCACCTCAACACATACATTCACATACCACATACCACACACACATATCTATACATCTCATTTTCTTCCGTGAACACATCATATCAAACAAAATGTACCTCCTCGCCTTCCGCCTCATCCGCCGTATCTTCAAATCCAAATCCAAAAACCAAAACCAAACCCCCGATGGCATCAACCTCGACTACCCACCACCTCCTCCGTCCAATATACCCCGCCGCCCACGTCTAAAGCACTACACCGAACTTTTCTTGCACATCCTGCAGGCTGTCTTCGCTCTAACAACCATCGTCCTCTACGGGATCGATATCCACCATGCGCACGAAAAGTCCCAGTCCGCTGATGCACGCTGGGTGTACGCCATTGTGACGGGGATGATGGGGTGCGGAACGGCGCTGTTCTACCTTGTTATGATGCATTGGGTATTGAAGACAAGAACGCCGTTGGCGATGCGCGAGAGGTGGAATTTGCCGCTGTTTGTGTGGGAGGCTGTGTTGTGTGTGTTTTGGTTGACGCTGTTTGGGATCTTTGGGAAGATGTATATCGGGGATTATGAGGATAGTAGTGAGGTGACTAGGATGAGGCATGCGGTTTGGGTGGATTTGGTGAATCTGCTGCTTTGGGTTGGGACGGCGCTGTGGAAGGGGATGAGGTGGTGGAGGGGGCAGAGAGGGGTGTTTGGGGTTGATGGGGTTGAGGAGAAGCAGGAGGGGGTGTAGATGGGATTGATTGTTTGGGGTGGAAGGGTGATTATTTGGGAAAGGGAAAGGGCATGAGGGAGGGAGGGAGGGATATGAGAAGAGGAATGGATGGGACAAGGAGATGGATGGAAGAGTATTGTTGCATAATTCTTGTATTTTGTATTGAGCACTGAGTGCATGCACCGACGCACGAGTAATGTCTTGAGATCTTAGAAAATGGCTGTGAATCGCATATTGTAACCTTCGTCCTGCTCACTCAGATGAGTTGTCAGCACTCATTTTTCTTTTATCATACTACTCTCTAATCTCTTCAATAACCTCTTCCGTCTCTTGCTGACCCTCTTCTACCCCCTGCTGTCGACTTTGCTCGATCATCACACTAAGCTGACTTTGTCTGCGTGGCATCGTAAAGGTGGTCAACACTGGAGGCACTTCCTCTTCCGTACTGCCCTGACTGTCAGTTGAAAACGAATCCTCATAGTTTGAAGGCCTTTGGAAAGGAACGGCAGAGCTTGGAGCCGTGGACACCTTTCCGTGTGAATCCCCAAACCGGGATGGAGATGTGTCATTAGTGACCGTGCTGCTAGATTCAGCCCGTACTGGTTTGGGTAGTATTGCCTTGGGTTCGGTCTCTGGCTCAGGTGAACCTAGAGAAGAAACCAGGACTTGTTCCCGGCGTACTCGATCCGAGAATTGCTTTCGGAAGTTCTTGTCAACAAGTTTCATGCTGGATGGTTGCTCGTAGTTGTCCGCCGACAGATATCGTGCATCATAGCGGCGACATCCAGTAGCTGAAAAAAAATTGGGTTCGGGTAGGGAAGGTTCGACTGAATAGAATGCTCTTCGACGTGGAGGTGGCGGCTTAACATATGCCACTTCTGGTCGTTCCGTGTCAAGAAGCTCTCTGAGATCGGATAAGAACAATTCTGGGAGTTCCGGGGATCTTTCAACTTGGGCTCTTTCTTCCTCGGCCGGGTCTTTCTCGAGTACGTCTTCTATAGAGAGGCCTTTACCGGGAAGCTCGTTCTTTGTGTCTCTTGGGGATACGGCAAGGTCTGAACGAGGTTCGCTATGGCTTCTCGACAATGGCACCGTTTCAATAAGTTCATATGCATCAACGGTAGCCTTCGACGCACTCCCAGATGCTTGAATTGGTGGGCTTTGGGCATAATCCAGAGTCAGCTGCGGTGGGTCTGGTGGTGGACTTTGGGCACGGGTTGAACTGGTACCAGACGACTGCTGTGAGGACTTGCGTCGCATTATCACAGGCCGACGCTTGCTACTCTTTGCCTTGCTTGCCACAAAAACCGCCTTCTTCTGCGTCTGTCGGGGCGCAGTGTCTCCCATTGTAGGCACTGGTGGAGGAACCGGCGTAGGGGGATTCGAGGGTTTGCGAGTTGTACTCTGACCATCAATGCCCGTCAGGAGCAGACGAGTTGTTTTATGTGTTTCTCCGCTGGAACTTCCGTTTCGGGGCTTCTTGAGTATGGGGTGAAGTGGTGCCTTCCCGTTATTAACGCCCGGCCTCCCCGAGGGCCCTTCACGATTCCCCTTGGATGACTGAGCTGCTTTGGCTGCCTGTACAAGTTAGCACAAGTTGCCATCGATGTCAACGTAGGCCGCGCATCAGCCGTGCGATATTCCTCACCTTGCTCAGCTGCACCAGACTAAATGGGTTGGGCTCGGAAATACGTAGGAACAAGCTGGCCAACGTAGATCCCAGGAGAGTATGGTTCAGACAATGACTCCCCCATATTCTCCAGAAGAAGTTCTCCAGCCTATATCCCACGTCGTCATCATGCGCTGATGGATTGGCAGTGTATACTATTGCGCTATGAGACACGTTACATTCGAGACAAGGGAAGGTGCGGACAAACCCACCTTTCCAAAGCTGCACGACATCCCCAATATGCACTGGACCCACGCCATCCAACTCTGTTGATACCTTTTTTGCCGTAGTTAGCAAGCCTTTGGGGAGACTTTCCATGGTGAGAGATGCCAAGGCTGCAGTCTAGCTCAGAAGTAAGTAAGAGCCCCAACTCAGCTACATGATCGAAGGAACAACTAGGCTGAAGGGTCGCATGTGAGAGAATGTTGAGGTCAGTACCAACAGCACTGCCCGGTAGATGCTGTCAGTGTTGCGTCTGGCGGTGAATTGAGGGGCAGGGTCTCCCGCCAAACGCAGGGGGGAGGAAAAGGAATCCTCCAGGAGGTAATCGATCGCGATAAATGGCTGGTAACAAGAGGGAGGACAGGCCAGCGAGCAAGCGAGTCAGGGGAGATTCTTTTGTATTTGAAGACGGCGTTGGTTGGTGGGCGGGACTGGGGGAGAGATCAGCTGCAAGGGCAGGAGCGAAGACACGCCGGAGATCTTCAGCCTGCAGGCTTAATAGTCGTTGAGGCAAAACATGGCCGCGTCCAGGTGACCCTGCCAGGCCCCATCCAGGCAACATCATCTCCCCTCTTTCCCCCATTCATCAACCCACTCCCCCATTCATTCACTTGCGCCGCGCTGACTGCAGCCTGCAGGTCTGCATTCCCCAGGGGGAGGTCAAAGTTGACCTGTCCGTTTTGCTGCCTTACCCCGGAGCTTGCCGATGCTGCCCAGTGGATGGGAACAAAAGAAACCATCCGAGACAGCACAGGCCATCATGACAATAGTGCCCAAATGGGTGGATCCCGCACCTCAAATCCAGTGGACTAGAAGTGGTACTGACCCAAAGCACAAATGAGTCGTCACAGAAAGATGGATCACACTGTTCGTAACCATGGTCACCAGCAGCATCCAGCGAAGACGGATGGAACCAGTGCTGCTGTTCATTTCGTCGGATTTCCCAGCAAACATCACGACACCCGCTGTTAGCGCCCCCCCGTGACCAACGGCATTCTAAAGAACTCCCAATCGGAGGGCCCCGATTGGCTTCACGGGGCCGATCCTCTCTCCCTCATACTCCGGGTTGCCATCGTTCAAGGGGCTACACTGGCAAGGATTCAGAAAGAACAAACCGACAGCCGACGATTCGTTGGACCCCCTATATATGACTAAGCTATGCGCAGGGTGGGAGCAAACATTGCAATAGAACACAGCGGCCAACTCGAGGACACCGCATGGCCCAAATTCCCTGCAGGGACTGGCTCCACAGTCTCTTTGTTCTACAACACCCGTTCCTACACGAGATGAAGTCAGCTTACCTCGCGCCATCTATGTATCACCACCAACATGTCGATTCACTCGCATTGGATTTGCGTCATCCGCGCAGTGTTACCCGGATTCGAAGCAATGCTGAGAGCTCTTCCCGAAGGGATGAGAGTAATCCTCCTCTCGCGGTAAGCTGACAGCCACCCGGCGACGAATCTGCAAGATGATTCACACATATTCTCCGCTTAGGAGTCTCTGAGGAATGCAAGCCATCCCCACTGGCACCAATGGGCTTAAATTAGGCGAAGTTTATTGGTCTGTAATCTGAGTTGACGTAGTCCCAGGCTTGACCAAATCTTCCATTTTCTAACAGATCAATCCTCCCCTCACTTATGAAATCATATTGCGACTTATACTTTCCAACAAGACAGGATTGTCATCATTCCACTTATGCCCTGCGCAGATCATACATTCCGATCAGCTCGATTTGCCGATCTGATAACGACTGAAATTGTCCTCTTCACAAATCCACTATTCAGGAAAAGCTTCCATGATAAGCTTCATAGTTTCGTCATAAAGTATAACGCCGACATAAAGGTACTTGCGGCTGTCGACTGTCAGTGTCTCCAAAGCATTGAAAACCTTTCACATATATTCGATACATGACGTAGCATGACCACAAGCCACAAAGCCAGTCACATATAAGATTAGCCCACATGCCACGAACAAGAATGCCCAGATTGTGAGGAATGGGCATTGCCCACTTTAAGGCTCGGGCCGTAAGTATTCAGTTCAATCTACAGGGATGTTTTCTTGGTAGCCCGCTCGGAAATTACAAGCGCCATGCTTTAGAGCCAGAAGATGAAGGCAGACCTAGGAACAAACTCGGTTTGAAATTGCATATGAAGGTTACATGTGTCTATTTCCACTGCAACGCACTACTCCTCTACAGTAAGATTTACTCCATCCACTCCTGTGCGAAATCCAGTCGAGACAAAGGATCCACATGTCCGGCCGCCAGCGAAGCGTACCGCCAGACATCAGGATACATATCCACCCTATCCGAGATCTGCAAACTTTGGTTTGCGAATGTAAAAAGCACCTTCAGCCGCACGGAATCTGTCTCAACCGAATCCTCGACGAGTCGCTGAAACAAGGCGGCTACATAGTCGATCTCTTCACCTGTGAGTGGCCCTGTCTCATATGCGGCTGTTCCATCCAGAAGGCAGATAACTTGCACATTAGGAGGAATCTGCAGAATTAGTCGTCTGAATAGTTCGCAAAGTGCTTTTATGTTGTTGCTCTCACAGGCGTTGAGGAACCCTCTCCCCAGAAATTGTAGGCTCGGCGTGGCAAGCTTGTCGCTGAAAAGGAGCTGGGTGATGAGACTTCGCATCATTCCTGTCGGGCCGCTGAGGTCCGGATCTCCGTCTTCGTCGTGTAGCGATGCAAAGAAGAAAAGAGGTAGACAGTCTGGACTGCTTATCAGGCTGTATATGAGTGTTGAAACAAATATTGACATGGGAGTGACCATTATTGCTGGACTGGTATCTAGACGGGCGTCTACTAGGAGGAGTGATGACTGTGGGGACCGAAGCCATTCAGTGAACTCATCCGTTCTGGCGAGCCATCGCACACGTCCGAGATAGGAAGATCTGAATTTACTGCCTTCTTGAAGAACAATCTCGAGGTCTTGAGCTGCGGTATGTGGTGAGACGCCCAGTATACCGAGTAGTTCGATTGGAGTGACTGTTGTAGATGCCGAGTCTCGAGAATTTGTACTGCTGAGCGAGATGGTTGATTGGAGAGCTTCATTCTCATGTGCCAGGTCCGAGTAGGCTGGCCAGAAGCAGTCAGTATTATAAGACGGCAATGCACATGAAGCGGTCTTACCACGCTGCAGGAGGAATATTTGACCCTGCTGGACTTCATACTGCTCCCGGGATTCTTTGCATAGGGCTTTGAACTCGTGTAGGAGCTCAGTCATTGCCTGTGCCCCAGATTGCTCTTTGTGAAAGGCAAAGACCTCTCGATACTCAGCTCCGACCTGCTTCTTCACTTCAGTGACTAGGTCTTTGATGTCGCTGCGAGCTCCTTGAAGCTCAGTATGGAGAGTCTGTATGTTGGTATTCGCTTCTAGACCCAAGCGATGCGATTCGCTGCTATGATAGGCCGTAGCAGCAGTGATCTTGACTTTCATGCGTTCCAATCGCTCTTTGATGGTTGCGAGGTAACGGTTCCAGTCAGAGAGTACCTGATCGACTGTGAGAGTCTCTCGGATTTTCAAGGTAAGGGACTCCGTGACCTTTCGATACCCTGAAATAAATGCCGTGAGCCAAAGAGAATTTTGGATTAATGATAAGGTGAACCTACATGGCTGTCTCTTTAGTAAGACATCAAGCAATCCCGGCAACGTCCTGACTAGAGTTCTGCAAAATTCCCTACACAATTCTTCGTCATCTGCAGTGGGGTTCAAGTAGTTATAGGCAGTCTGGATTGTCAGAACAGTCTCAGGAACGGTCTCAAATGCTTGCAAGATTTTGGCACGGTTTTCTACTCCTCGCTTCGCAGTCTAAGAATATAGTGTCAGCCAACACAGCCTGCCGCCTATCTGGTGAGATACAAAGCCAATTACCTCAAATACCAAACCTAACACCCCTTTGACTATACTCAGCCCGTATTCGTCAGGTATGACATCTTTTAACGGTGACAACATGCCAAGACCCTGGATTGCAGCAGAGGTATAGTCTTTGCGAGATGATGCCACATCCTTTGCTTCGTCTAATGTCTCCAGAACCATCTGCCAAGTGTAGTCATGGAACCTTGGCTCCTCCGGAGGCGCGATGGCATCATGATGCAATAAAAGGGTTTCAAGGTCTCTGGAGGTGCGTTAGGCCGTTTGTATTACAGATATTTACATGCATATGTGTGTTGCAGATAGTCACACCTGATTGTCGCCAGCTCGGCGGGGATGTATTTCTCTTGTTGCTCATTGAATTCGCTCTCCACCGCGAAGGCGGGGTGGAAGTCACGCCCCCGCTCCTCAATCCACGCTCGACTCTTCGCCGTCCCGCTCTTGTCCGCTGGGAGCGACTTTGGTTTCCGGCGACCATGGAAGAAGTGTGTCATACCGCGTGTTGTTATGCATCCAGATGAAGACCTCCATGATCCTGCGGCTCCCTGATGAATGATATGTAGAGATGGGGTGGGACGTCTGTGAGTCTGTCCTCCGTGCTCTGGCCCTCTGCACGAGTCAAGCTACCGTCAGACCTCCTGCCTATGTTTGCTTTTAAATACGAGTTCCATAAGCCCTAGTGGTCGTATTTTCTATGCCCACCCAATCGATGAATGACAGGTGTGAGCGATTAACAATCAGCGCAATCAAACCATGTGGTTAATGCATTTGTGAAGGAGGTGCTAGGACGGCTTGGCCCCTGACGAAATCCTTCGTGAGCACTAGTATAGATCCCGCGTCCGGTGACTCGTCGCACTGAGCTCAGGAATCCACTGATTCATCCTATCATTCTCTTCCATTTCTGTAGCCGCTTTCGCAGCGCGGCCACTTCCGCCCTTTCGACCTGATACGAAGCATTGAAGATCCCTGATAACGAGGTTATAAATCAGTACGAGCGATGGCGGGGGTAAAACCATTTCGAAGCTTTCTCAGCCAGAAAAGATTGTATGAAGGCTTAGGGCACATCTGCGTGCTATGGAGGCCATCAATCCCTCAGCGCCTCCGGAACGTATGCCGGTGACAGAGGACGGTATGGATGCGGTTGAAGCAGTGGAAAGACCAGGGGACGCGACTGAACAGCAGGAGGCCAGTACCCAGACTGTTCAAGAAGATTTTGAGGAGCAGAATACTCATCGTGAAGATACCGAAGGAGAAGATGATGATGATGGTAATGATGCTGATGATAATGATGATGATGGCGATGATGACGACGACAGTAACGACGACACAACAGACGATGAAGCGGAGAGTAAAGCTGATGATGACTCCTGGCTCAATGGATCCGCATTCAACGATCGGAAAATAAACGTGGGCGTGAGATACTATGATTACCCATCCTTCATGAACCGGTCAGTGGACGATGATGCAGATTTTACGATCGAAGCTCTGATCGGTACTTCCGACTGGTGGAAGGACTTGGAACGGGAAAAGAAAAGGCGCGCTGCGAACCCATCACCGTGGACTGAGACTGACGAGGTGGCACCGCCGACGGAAGGAGTTGCTGAGACTTTGCAACTCCAACGTGTGAGAATCCGCTCTCCAGAGATACTTCGTCGTCTTTCTGAGCTTGGAGAGTGGAACGAAAGCAGCATGGTTCCCCCAAAATCCGATTGCGTATTCTGCCGTCCGTTTCACGCTCTTGCCTACTTCAATGGTGAAATGAAAAAGCAGCTGGAGCAATTAGAGTCTGATTTAGAAGATTCAAAGACAAAGCACAGCTCCTCGGACGATAATGAATCGGTTAGTTCGCAAAAAACCTCCGACACTCGCATCCGAGATGAACTACGATGCTATGTTACTTTTGTGGAAGAGAAAATTCAACCTCTGTGGAAGAGATTCGAACATGTGACTAAGAATACTCCGAACAAAGTCAGATATGACGAGCTACCTTTCCTTTTCCGCCCGGGGGATCTTGTCTTTGTTCCATCTGTAGCTACCAGCTCGAAAGCCCGCCATCAGTCTGCTATTCAGAATGTATTTCGCCTGGCTTCCCTCCGACCCGAAGACCACATGTGGCAAACGGACCCAGGTGGCTGGTTTGTCCCGAACTCACTAGCAAGGTGGAGCATCTATTGCTTTGACCATGATGGAGATCAGTTGAAAGTTATATGGCAATCCCTAGAGGTCCCCCATTTCGCCGGCGAGCAAGATATTACTGCCTTGCCATGTTACCCTCTGCGATACCACCCCGATCATGCGACGATCCTTAAGATGCAGGTCGAGAGTGGAAAACTTTTCAAGGAACTTGTGAAACCGGAGAACAAACATCAATACTATTCTGGATGGAATCTCGCAACTGGTATCTTCAAAGAGAGCATGGAGCTCGCTGAGCCCGAACACATAGAAAGTGAGGTTATTATAGATGTTAAGGAAGCCTCACGATACGTTACTGAGACCTACCCCGCCGACACAAAACGTTATGAGGAGACATTTCATGATTCATGGGCCACAGTAGTGGATGAAAATGTCTCTTATCGTCTATGGAGAAAGGATGCGCCCCACTTCATCGAGAAAAACGAAAACTTGCTGGTCCGGGAAGACTATACATATGCAAAGGAAGCGCAAGCCTATATGAAGCAGAACCCATACATTGACAACAACGACACATTCTCGAAACCAACATGGTCCGATGAAGATCTGGCCCTTCTTCCTCGGAGAGTCCTCGGGTACGTCTTACGCGAGAGGAGGTTTACACGCTTGGATGTTCGCGGCTTTGATTTACGTCGGGTATCCGAAGAGAGGATTACACTAGACCATGTCCAGATAAAACCTGGACATCGGAGGATTATCCGATCGACTGTTTCTTCTCACTTTACCAAGATCCATCATGAACGGTCTCGGGATACTATACTGTATACCCCAGATATGATCCGGGGAAAAGGACGAGGTCTGGTGATCCTCCTGCACGGAGCCCCTGGGGTGGGTAAGACAGCGACTGCAGAGGCAGTGGCATTGGAGTTCGAGAAGCCTTTGTTTCCCATCACTTGCGGCGACCTAGGAATAACAGCGGACGCAGTGGAGAGGTCACTTAAAGACATCTTTCGATATGCCCATCTATGGGATTGTATTCTGCTACTGGATGAGGCAGATGTCTTTCTCACACAGAGAGATAGAACTGATGTTGAGCGGAACGCCTTAGTTTCAGGTATGCTTGTATATGAATCAATGTTTGAATGTTACTGACTCCAAATAGTATTCCTCAGAGTGCTAGAATACTACAGCGGCATCCTCTTCCTAACCACGAACCGAGTCGGGGCACTCGACGAAGCATTCCGCTCACGAGTACATCTGAGCCTCTACTACCCTCATCTAAGCAGTGAAGATACCATTTCCATCCTCTGCAGTAACCTCGCACGGCTCCCTCGAGCAGACAAGGTACCCAAAGGAACAACCATCGGCAACGGACATATTCACGTCATGGACAAAGAAATCATTGAGTTCGTCCGGTCGGAGTACGAGAAAACCTATAGAGTTCACAGACGTGGCCCTTGGAATGGTCGACAAATCCGCAACGCCGTACAAATTGCATCCTGCCTCGCCTTCTTCGATCAGCGAGAAAAGACCCCGGGCAATGACCTCCCGGTAGTTCTTACAGCAGAGCACTTCCGCACAGTTAACGACACGATCGAAGAATTTGACCGGTACCTAGTCAAAGCACGGCGTGCCGACGATCGTAAATTAGCCCACATAGAAGGGGTCCGATACGATGGCTATGAGTCTGGGCCTACACGGGAACCTGCCGTATATGACGGCTTCAGCGGTTACGAATCCGACCATGTCCCCGTTGAACGAGTTCCTCGACGTACTGCGCCAGCCCGCACCCCTCAGCGGCAATCACAATACGTTGGGTCCTCAGGTGGCCGAGTCGCACCTGGACGATACTCCGCTGGTCGGAAACGCGCAGTCATGGTAGAATCACAGCATTATGCGGAAGATGACTTTCTAGATGAAGATATGCATGCTCCAAGTCCGTCTACGAGCCGCAGAATTGATATTATGCCCAGCACACGTATGGAACCCCGTTCCAGGGCCCAACCTCGGACATTACCTCGGAAGGATGAGGATGTGTACGACGAGGAGTTATATCCGGATGTTGAAGATCATGTTGTGGAAGATGAGTACCGTCTTGCAGCGGACCCCGAGGCTCCGAGATCTGCTCCTCGCAGCGTGAAAAGGAGCCCCAGGTATACTGGTGATTACTCCCCGGTGCCTGCTCGCAGGACTAGAGAGGCGACACCCAGGGCCCAGCATCTAGAGGTGGAGTAGTGCATTTCCATATAGCATTTGTGCGCATAGCTATACTATTGTACACCTTCAGGTCATCCCTCTGTGAGGGCATTATCATCTATCATTTGAATACATATATTGCGTCATAAACCCATTTCCAATTTACCCCCGCGAACGTCAATATAATACCATGAATATATATTGACAGATCAACAATAATCATCAATCCTCCCCGCCCCAACCAACTGCATCATTTTCTCTCCTTCTGCAAAAACCAACAAATTATCCGACCCCTGCTCAAAAGCTGGCCAAGCAAAATAACTCCCATTATTCGGATTTGCTGCCGCATTCCCAACAGCCAGCCGCACCGGCCCCCGCGACGGATCCTCCGCAAATGAAAGCCACAGCGCTTCCATCGCGTAACTCACGTCCCACTCATACTGCGTAGAGGGCCCACCATACTCATAATGCGTACCGAAGAGAAGAGGGAGCTCCGAGCTATGGTAGGCTCCGAACCAAGGCAACGGGGAGATGTTGGAGAAGTTGCCTGCGTATTGGTACCTGTAGGTGGTGAGGTTTGCGAGGTTGCGGTTCTTGACTTCGTCTGCGACGGGGCAGGCAATGATTGATTCGGTTATGTTGAAAAGTGTGGATTTGCTGGGCCCGGTTGGGGTGAATGAGACGAAACCGGCGCCTTCGTTGGTGTTGCTTCCTGTTATTAAGGGCTGAAGGAAGGTAGGTTAGCTGGAGGTAATTGTCAAGGGTACTGGAGTTACTTACGATTTTGGCAATTTTGCCTTCGACTGCACGCTGGGTCCAGTTCGCGAAAGCGGTCTTGTTATCGATGGCTGGCTTGAATGATATAGATGGCGAGCCCGAGTATGTTGAGAGAGCGGTTTGTAGCTTTCGGGCGGATACGTTCCGCATGCAGCTGAGTTCTTCAGTGGATGATAGTTCATCGCAGCCTACGAGACTGGCTAGGAATGTGAAGTTGGTGTGTGCGTAGTCGTCGTTGTCTATTATACCTGGGGCACCTGAGTCGGCTATGAGAGCGGCTACAATGGGGTCTTCAGGATATCCGTATGAGTAGGCTGTCACGCTGCCTGCTCCGGCGGATTGACCCCACAGGGCGATTCGCGCGGGGTCACCGCCGAAGTTGGCGATGTTGGCTGCTACCCATTCAATGCTGGAGGTGTAGTGGTTAGCTTGGGGCTCATGTGGTTTTTTGAAGGGGTTGACTCACGCCATTCTTTGGTCGAGGAAGCCGACATTCTGCTCGGACAGCCCTTCCGCGTTGGGGAAGCCAAACACATTGACGCGATAGCTAGTATGGTGTCAGATTAGTAACATAGGCCAGCTTGGTAGAGTGAAGACTCACTTCATGATCACCACGATGTGGGACTGCGTCCGTTGCACCCATTTGTCGGGGATCTTGTACAGCGACGCTTCCCCTCCACTCGTGAACCCACCTCCGGGGATGTAAAGCAGCACTGGCAGCGGACGCTGTTGAGATTGAATGTTCTCAATACGAGGTGCCCAGATTGACAGGTATAGACAGTCCTCTGAGTCCCCTCCACTGATGAGAAACCCCGTTTCATAGGTGGTGTAGATTGTAGAGCTATTGCTTGTCTGCTGGATACATGATGAGGGCAGTGCAAAAGCATTGACGGTACCATTAGGCTGTTTCTTCACGGGACTGCTAAAGCGGAGGTCACCAACTGGTGGCTCTGCAAATGGAACACCAAGGAATTGTCGAACATCAGGAGCTGTCTGATTGAAGAAGCCTTGTATAGGGCCGCTGGAGGTTTGGACTAGGAGTCCTTCTCCATTTGTGTCTCTTGTAGCTGGAGAAGTGGGAACAGCTACGCCTTGGGTGACAAAAAGGGTTGCAATGACGCAGAGACGCAAAAGCATCTTGAAGTTGAGCATGAGTGGGGCGATTGCTCATCTTAGACGAGGGGGCGAAAAGACCACTGCTTTTATACCTTTTGATGAGGACCATGGTAGCCCCTCAGTTGCGCGGCAAAGCAATTTGACAGACGGCCAAGAACATTTGACCCCTCGTGAGGAGGCTAAATGATATAACGCCTCTCTCCTTCAGGGAAAGGGATAAGCCGCCAAATAGCTCACCGGATGGCCCTAGTTTGCGGGGCTGGAAATGCCGAAGTCGAGCTCACTCCATGTCTGGAGAATAAACATCCTGTGAACAACGTACCCAGAGGCTTCATGTTGCAGTTAAATGATGATTCAACAGCTCGCGATGCTGTAGCAGGCAGATCTCCACAAGCTGGTGGAAAAGGTGGTAGCGTTGGGGGGGTATCCACGGCTCATCATCTAGAAACTTCAGGCTCGCATCGGCCCGTCTGCCTTACCTACCAAGAGATGGATGCACATTTTGCCCAGTTGATCTATGTAGAACAAATATTGCCGATATAGCATCATGAAGTCGCTTCAGTGAACCCCTGGCAGGACCCTGCTGGTGGAATGCGGAGGGGAACTGGGGTGTGCTTGCTTGCGGGGTAAACCTGGGGTAAACTTTCCCCCAACCGAGATACGCACTGATGAACATTGCCGCCTTGGCCCCCGGTTGAGCATTCTACCTCCGGACAAAGTCATCAGCCTTTTCAAACCCCGGGGGTATTTGATAGCGCAGGCGCCCAGTTCAACTCTGCCGGCCGCACATCGAAATCCGACTGAGCTAGGAAGTTGTCCGAAGGTTTACGGTGAAAATCAAGGGTTATGCATGGTTATATGCCCCAGTCATGCATTGTCCTCTGCAGCTTGGATGTGAAGGTTAGATGACGTGGGGATGTACACCATGAATATTCCTGGATAAAACTGTGGATTCTTCTTTTCATTTAGTAGATAACATCCACCAGCGCGACAATATGAATTGAGATACCAGGCGATGTGTTCACAAACAGACCGTTTCCACTCACAGACCTCAGCGCTGACCAGTCTCTGCCAACCTGGTAAATAAGCATGATATCATAAGGGACCAAGACAAGGCACATCAGTGGGTAATCGTTTTAAAATGCCGCCAAACAAAACAGACCATAATGGCTGCCTGCCATGAATACCTCAGGCACTACTCCGGTCTCTGACTTAACTTTCCTTATTCCGAAAAGCACCACTTCTCCGTATCCTTGACCCAAGCTTTACTGGATCGGGATTCCCCGCCTCAATGAGTGTCGTCCGGGTTGCCTGATTGAGAAGACCGCCCATTTCCACTCCAACAACAAAGAACCCCTGCTGGAAAAATGCCGGGTGTGTCGGCAAATTTTCAGAAGCTGCTCAACCTTTGCCTAGAACAACGCAAGCATGGAGGTGCATCCCGACTATTTTGACCTAGCAGCCACTTTTGTCAGTTGCTGTAGGTTTGGCGGATTGTCTAAGCTTGGAGGTCGCCATAATCTGAATTCGAATGTCCCCGCGACGTTGTCGCATTCAGTGCTATGGGGCTTTTTGACATACAGTATCATACAGACCAGCTTCCACATTATACGATCAATGGGCTGCTGGTAACACTCCGTAGGTTTGTTGTATTGCGGTTGTGTAACCATCCAGCAACAGCGGCGCTGCACAACGCATTGCTAAATATTGTTGCTCATGGAAATGATAAGACCGCTCATACAACAGTGAGTCTTAGACAGTCGTGTGCTGCGCTGCATTATGACAGAGGCTACTTGCGATATCGTATCATAATTGGTGATCAACGTTTCTACTTCGCCCACCAAGTTACCCATTTCTGACACTATAAAAGAAAAGGGCTTTGGCCGTGCCACCATTGCCGTCCATTGCCGGCATTTAAGCAGTAAAGGAGCATTAGGCTAAAATAAGGTACGTTCAGGAAAGGAGGAATCTGAAAGAAAAAGATCAATAGGGTCTTCCGGAAGAAAACCTTGCGAAACCTAGATGAAAGTACCTGAGAAGCAAGGCTGCTAGGCCACATGCTGGTCTCCGGTTATATGAACTACATCCTGTCTCCTACTTAATCTTCTCTAGTCATTATGAGTCTATCAGAACTCATTAGAACCCAGTAATTCTTCTAGGTTCATGAGCAAAAGGCTTTTCCAGTACATCATGAAAACCGGCCTCCTTTATACTAAGTGGAGACTAGAGCATGAGAAGATCAAGACGGCTAAATCTCGGACTTTGTGAGACAAAAATATTTCGCTTTCAGACTAGCACAGCCTAGATAGGTATAGCATGCACTGTATGGGATAATGGTGTTTACAGTGTTGCATGAAAGGGTAGGGGTTGGCGCTCAAAGATTTATCCACGGGGGTTGTGGTGCATGGCGCTTCACACTATCTCGGATTACATTGCAGTCGTACGTCTATAGTGTCTATTAGTGGTTGCATCCTGCATGTAGTACTCATGGTCTGACACTGAGTACATTCGCTCCCTTCTAAGACAATTGGACCTCCTCGGACTGAAGGGGCTCGGAGAAACCGCGATGGGAGTGGGTATAATTGATTCAGCCCATAGGGGTGCAAAATTACCGCCATCCCACGCCCAAAGCCTCAACATTAAGCTTGTCGGGTATTGGCAAGAACGGTTGAAACGGTCTTGGCGTTTCTGGACTGGCTCATGAGTCAAGCTGATGGAGGGCCTCTCCATGCATGATGACATTCTCTCGCAACCTAATGTTCGGAACTTGAATATGGCGACAATGAGAAAAAACTGTTACCACACATGACCTCGACTTTACAAGGGAGTGCTTGCTGACTCGAAAGTGCACACCGGAAAGATAAGCAATAAAACCCACAATTTCTTATACGCCCTGTAAAATAAGCAATTTCGCGGCACATCGGCAAAGTTAACAGGTAAGCTGGTTGGGCGCGCGATTATTAAATGCCTCGGTGGCGTTGGGTCATTCGACGGTAGGGAGAGTGCCACGCCGACAACAAGCAAGCTAAGCATTTCGAGACTCCATTGGAAAATCTCCGGGACAAGAAGGAGATCAGAATTTGACTCTCCGATCGGACCACTCGAATTGCCTTACGCTCCAGTTGCGCGGCTTGGCTGGTAGTAAGCCTTCCCACAATGGTGGGGAAAGTCCCGTGGAGTCACGCGGCCCCCCCAAATTCCAACATCAGCGCGCCATGACATCTTCCCTCCCATGGCCTGACCGCTCAGATGCATTCCCAGCTCACCTCACTCTGCTTTTTCAAGTTATTTTCTCTCTCTCACTAGGGCCCCTCGGATGCATCATGGGCCACTTTTGACTGGGTAAGTCCTCTGCCAGACTCTACTAGTTTATGATTTCATCCCGCGTCTGGTTTAATAACCTTAGTATAGCCGCTTCCCAATCAGTCGCCCAAGTTGAGAATTCTTTTAGACTGGGGTGGTGGGCCTGGGGCTCGGACAACATCCGTTCCTCGCACCCCTCGGGTAAAGGATTCCAGTTTCTAAGACATAATACAGTCAGTAACGTGGGCCTGGCCTGTATCGAAGTGCCTGGACGCGGGGCTAAAGCCTGGGGTGCTTATTGCGGAGATAATAGGAACCACGGTTGGCGTGCCCCAGAACAACCTCGAGCTCCAATTGGTGGCCGGGCAACGACTGGAGCAAGGCTAACAACCACCCCGGCTGTCGGAGAGTCGCCACGCTAGCTCTAAGACCAATCAGCGAGTGCTTTGCATAAGATCCAGCCATGTGGGCGACTGGTGGGATATCACACACATTACAAAGCCCGTACACCGTACGGCCCAAGTCAGCCCGAGAATACCACTACCCCGGTGAGAAGCTGAGGCATCTTTCTCTCTCGGCCCTGGTTCCCCGTGCGGAGAAATTCGTACTAACCAGGGAGTCCGCTATGTGACTCGCACATCGGCATCCGTCTTTCACTTGCATGCGGGTCCACGGCAGGCCTCTGGACGTCATCTCGACAAGCTCGGTCGGCAGCAGTCCGGTGTCCATTGACCATAGAAGCGGATTGATCATCAGCCCATGTACAGCTTACAGAAACCCCGCGACTGATTGTTTTTTCGGGCTAGTCGTCGGCCTATTTCTTTTTCTATGAGCCTGCTCCCGGACGTGAGAATGGTTGTTTCTCTTTCCCTCCATTCTCCTTTGCCCTATCTTACTTCCCGGTGCCTTTCCTGCAAAGCCAAACTTCTTGTGGTACAGGCAATTCGGTACAATGCAGGGCCAAGCACTTCGTTATGCCCAGATCTTCTTAGTCGCTTGCCCCTCCTTTATCCTTTTCGGTTACAATCAGTCCGGTGTCGGAGGACTCGATGACTTTCCCTCCTGGGTGAGAGTATTTCCAGAAATTGACACAGTCAACACTACTGGAGCTCAGGAGTCTCACAATGCCACCGTTCAAGGAGCTGTGGTTGCGTCATACACTATCGGAGCCCTCTTCGGGTCTCTGATTTGTACAATGATCGGTGACATGCTTGGACGTCGCCGATCGATCTTTTCTGGAGCACTCATTGCATTGATTGGCCAAATCCTGGAATGCACCGCCTACTCTCTAGCTCAATTCGTTGTTGGGAGAGTGATTCTGGGTTTCGGTGTTGGCATGCTCAGTGCGACTGTACCTGTCTGGCAATCCGAGTGCGCGCCTGCTGCTCAGCGAGGACGGAACGTGGTGTTGACAGGCATGTTCATCGCCTTTGGTTTCGCTTTGACACAATGGGTGAACTTCGGTTTCTACCACATGGAGAACTCGCCTGCCTCGTGGAGGGCATCACTTGCCATCCCGGCCTTGTTTTCATTCATAATCATGGGCAGCATTTTCTTCCTCCCAGAGTCGCCGCGTTGGCTCGTCATGAAGAACAAATCAGACGTGGCACAATTTACTTTGGCATCTCTGAGGGGCAAAGAGGTAGACTCGCTGGAGGTTGTGGCGGAGCTAAGAGCCTACGAGCTTTCTCTGGAGGAATCCTCGAACAACTCACTTAGGCTCCGAGACATCTTCAGTATGGGAGAGGAGAAGCTCCTATACAGGTTCATCCTATGTGTCACCCTCCAATTCTTCCAGCAGATGACTGGTGGAACTCTGATCTCGGTCTACATTCCTCTTATCTTTCAAACAGATCTTGGACTCGGTGCCAGTCTGTCGAAAATCTTGGCAGCATGCGCATTGACTTGGAAGTTCCTGTGCTGCTTTGTGGGATTTGCCATCATTGACCGCATGGGACGACGCACAGCATTTATGGTCAGTGGCGGTGGTATGGGCATGTGCATGTTGGCATTGGCGGTCTCCAATTCCTTCTCCAATAACCATACCGCATCTATTATTTCCGCCCTTTTCATTTTCATTTACAACTTCTTCCTTCCGATCGGCTTCTTGGGAGCCAACTTCCTTTACCCAGCCGAGGTGGCGCCTGCCCGTCTTCGTGTCGCTATGCAAGCGATCTCGATTGCCAACCAATGGCTATGGTACGACAGCCTCTATGATTTCCTCTTAGCTGACTTACGCTAATTATTTTCTCTTTTAGGATGTTTGTCGTCGCTATGATCACTCCCGTCGCTATCGACAACATCGGCTATCGCTACTACATTGTTTACGCCATCATCGGTGGCATCATCCCTCCCGTCATCTATCTATTCTACCCAGAAACAAAGGGCCGGTCCCTAGAAGAAGTTGACGAGATCTTCCGTGACGCTCCCACCATCTTCGCTGCGGTGTCGATGTCGAAGCACAAGCCCATGGGAGATAGGGCCATGGAGCGTGTCATGGAAGAGAAGGCAACTGTGGAGGAAATAGAGTAAAGACATAGAAGGATAAATTTGGATGAACTTGTCAGCGTTATGTGTCTTAGATGGACATAGATCTACTCTTGTAATGCCACACGTCTGTGATGATCTGTACATGATTCAGTGCCTACCTAACTACTTGCCCTTACCATATATACATGACAGTTAAGAGCTCTTCAGACCTCTGAAGAATACAAATCGACGGACCAGCAAAATGAACTATGCTACTAGCTCACAGACAACAACCTAGTCTTGTGACATAGTCACATGCTAAGCCGCTTTAGCCGTACGTTGAACCGAAATTACCCAACTGTGCAATACGAACTACTCTTTGGGGAAGGACAAATTGAATGAGACAGGCGCCTTTCTCGACTCTCATCCTCTCTGACTAATAGCAACTTAAAGCATCCAATACTAACACAAGACGTCAACAGAGCCACTCCCATTAAAGGATTGATATTTGGTTGCCTTGGTGAGCCAATCTTCTGCAATACTCTGCAAGTGAACATCTTCGATGCGGATGTCGTCACGTCCGCTGATGCACTACAGCTCAGCGACGTCATAGATACTCTGTGACCATATCGTTAGGTGCCAATCGGGCTTACATATCGCACCACCAGAGTGCTATCTACATCAACTCGACAAGCAGAGAGGTCGGAGTATTGAGCACACTGTTGATATGGTATATGTCATATCCGCGAAGACGGCATTGCCGTTGTCCTGAATATCTAAGCTTGACGAGAGAAGCATCATGTCTGCCTTCAACAACGCATTGGTTTGAGTAAGGCTAGTGGGATTAGATGGAAGGGCTGTTGTAAAGGCCCATCTGGAGAGATCAAGTAAGGCTGGAATTATTGAGAATAGCATGTTACCCACAAACATTCAACAGACCAGAGAACGGCTCAAGTGCAAGGCTTTTCAAAGGATGTGAATGCAAGACTGTCATGGTTTGAGCAACCTATCGAAGTTCTTCGGTCTCCTCTACACCGAGTCTGTTGGCACACGCAATTGGGCTTCTATATTGTTTGTGCATTAGCTTCATATACTTCACTCTGCCCTACCGGGTCCTGACCCTCCACAAGCCTGGATTCTCACGAACGCTATGCAGATCGTGCGGGGTCCGCAACTTCGTGAATGCTCGATTGGTGGAATTACGTTCAACCTATCTGCAGGGTCTCTACTTACCGTGCATGAAAGCGGAGAAGTGATAGCTACGCATGGAAATTTCGGGTTATTGCTCGAGTAGTGTAACTCCGCTGTTGGATCCTGATACTTAATGTATGGAGCACATCGGGGCCCGCTTCATTCCCGATTAGAATACTATATTCATCGGTCAGCTCGGACTCCAAGATTGATTCTATTTCTTTAGCCAGGATGAGACTGCCATTGCTACTGAAATTTGTTGTCGCTTTGACATCCTTATGCCAGGCGCTGTCAGTATCAAACACTTCAATCGGGGCCGTGACATGGGACGAATATAGCTTGCTAATCAATGGGGAGAGGGCTTTCATCAAGTATGTGAAGTTCGAGCCGTATCCGCCTCACGAGTGACTAATATCTTCATTCAAGTGCTGCCGAGTTTCATTATCAGCGACTGCCCGTCCCTGAGATGTGGCTGGTGAGTCAGCCTTATATTTTTCGTACAGGGAGTTTTAGAGACTGAGGCTTGGTCAATATAGGATGTGCTGCAAAAGCTGAAGGCAAATGGCTTCAATACAATCAGGTGGGTAAGTTGCATTCTACAAATCGGACAACCATTTAAACCCCAACTTCAGTGTGTACTTCTTTTGGAGTTATCATTCGGCTTCCAAGGACGCATATGACTTTGAAACGGGAGCACATAACATACAGCGTCTCTTCGACATGGCCAAGCAGGCGGGCCTATGGGTAATTGCACGGCCGGGTCCTTATGTCAATGTAAGCGGCCATACTCGCTCATATCCCTGAGTTCGTGGAACAGAACGACTAAATAACCCCAAAATAGGCACAGACAAATGCTGGTGGTTTAGCTCTATGGGGCTCTGATGGCTCCATGGGCAAATTGCGGACATCAGATGAGGCTTATCATCAAGCGTGGCTTCCATATATGCGGAAAGTCGGACAGATCATTGCAGCGAACCAGATCACAAGAGGTGGTGTATGTAAACAGCTTCCCTCCGGTGGTTAGAGTGAGATTTGCTAACCTGAAGCGTGTAGCCCGTCATACTCTGCCAGGTAGAAAACGAACTCCAAGAGACCACTCATGAGCCGAACAATACTCTGGTTACGTATATGGAGCAGCTTGAGGCAGTCATTAGAGATGCTGGGATAACCGTTCCTACGACTCATAACGAAAAGGGCATGAGATATGTATCCTGGTCAAGGGATTACGGAAACGTTGGCGGCGCTGTCGACATTTATGGCTTGGACTCCTACCCTGCAGGATTTCTTGTCGGGAACAGATGTGATGGAGCCACTGGATTCAATGTTGTTCGGACCTACTATCAGTGGTTCATGAACTATTCATGGACTGGTCCCATTTATCTCGCTGAGTTTGAGGGCGGGCGTACTTTGACCTGGGGTGCTCCACAGAATTATGATGATGTGAGTGGCTACTCAGTCGATCAGCAAGAATATGCTATAGCTATACATTGTCCATCGCCAAGGCTAATGATTATATAGTGTCGAAGCGAGCACAGCACCACCTTTGTGGACATCTACTATAAGAACAACATCGGTCAGCGCGTGACGCTACAAAGCATATATGAAGGCTATGGGGGACTAATTGGGGCCATTGTGAGTAGATCTGCCTGTCGCGAACAACATTGCAGACTAATTGACCACCCTACAGCTGCTTGCCCAGTGGCATATACTAGCAATGACTATATGTAATACTTCATTGTTTTGAATCTCTGAATATGTGACTCACCAGATGAACAGGACCCCCCTCCGAGAAACTCGCGAGCAGTGGGCCAAGCTTTGGCAAACGAAACTCATACAACTCTTCTCAGGATCTGCACCTGATTTACTCAAGACGTACATGTATGGGAACGGATCGGGTTACAGTGTCAGACATCCATCCGGGTCATGATCTGCAGACCTGCTAACAAGCTAGTAGCTTTCGACACCCGACGCTTATAGTTGGGTCCTGAAGAACCAAGATACCCAGGCAACCTTCACTGTGCTGCAGCAGAACGAAACCCCATCAACCACTACCATTGCGTTTTCGGCCTACTTGAACACCAGCCTTGGCAACATGACTGTTCCAGATATCCAGCTTCAAGGGCGACAGAGCAAGATTCTAGTTACAGACTACAAGTTTGGTAATCAAACACTTCTGTATTCATCAACAGATGTACTTACAAATGCCGTCTTGCCCGGACACGACGTTCTGGCTCTGTATCTATGGGAAAGTCAAACCGGCGAGTTCGCTCTCAAGACGCCAAGGAATTTGACGCTCCAGGTATACGGCGCGTCTATCGTGTCGTCCACACTTCATCCTGGCTACCAGAAAATTAAGTACACACAGGCTACTGGCTCTACTGTCCTTCGTTTTACAAATGGGGTCATTGTCCTATTACTCGATCAACCAACAGCATGGCATTTTTGGGCTCCGTCAACATCAAACTACCCTTCTCCTAGGCCAGACCAGAAGCTTATCATTCTTGGTCCGTACCTCGTCCGGTCTGCATCAGTCGAAAATGAAGTGCTTCAGGTCTCTGGAGACAATAACGGAACTACAACCTTGGAGAGCTTCATCGGCGACGTGCCCATCAAAGCAATCGAGTGGAACGGCCAGCGACTCACAGCAACCAAGACGCCCTATGGCTCCTATACAGCCCAAATCCCCGGTACAGAAAACCGATCAGTAATCCTTCCATCCTTAAACCACTGGCGCTCAGCAGACTCCCTTCCGGAAGCCCAGCCAGAGTATGATGATTCCCGATGGACGGTCGCGAACAAGAATAGTACACTCAGTCCACAAGCTCCTCTTACCCTGCCAGTCCTTTTTAGCTCTGACTATGGCTACTACGCCGGTGCTAAAATATACCGTGGCTACTTTGACGGCACCAACCACACTGCAGTTAATATTACCGCCTCTGGCGGCCTCGCGTTTGGGTGGAACGCCTGGCTAAACGGACATCTTATCGGGGGCCACCCTGGTGATCCCAATCTATCAGCCACAAACATGACTCTGACGCTTCCTGGGCCCCATCTCAGGACAATGAACAATGTCATCACAGTCATAGTTGACTACCATGGCCACGATGAAACTAACATCGCCAACGGTGCTGGGAACCCTCGAGGCATCCTTGGCGCGTATCTTCTTCCAGGCGGTACACGGACAGCAACCGGTTTCAAACTGTGGAAGATCCAAGGCAATGCTGGTGGCGCGAAGAACATCGACCCAGTCCGCGGACCCATGAATGAGGGTGGCCTCTATGCCGAACGACTAGGCTGGTTCCTCCCTGGCTTTCCGGCATCTGATAACAAGGAGTTCAACAGCACCTCCAGTCCACTGGACGGCATCTCGAAATCGGGTGTCCGTTTCTATGTCACCTCTTTCGACCTTGATATCGACAGGGATCTAGATGCACCCATAGGGGTTTCTCTCTCAGCGCCAAACGGCACTATAGCACGTGTAATGCTTTGGGTCAATGGGGTAAGTCTTAGGTCCATTGTACAACATGTAATATACGGCATATATACTGAAGTTCATCTGCCATGTTAAAGTATCAATACGGCAAATACGTCCCTCACATTGGTCCGCAGACGAAGTTTCCTATTCCCCCGGGCATCATCAATAACCGGGGCCGGAATACACTAGCTTTGAGCTTGTGGGCGCAAACCCATGATGGTGCGAAGCTAGATACTGTCGAGCTGTTTACGTATGGACTGTATCAGACGGACTTTCAGTTTGATCGTGATTGGAGTTATTTGCAACCGGGGTGGGAGGATAGGAGCGTGTACGCGTAAGTCGTCTTGAGACATAGTTGGGAATAAGATTTGGATGATATTATCTCCTTATAGATACAGTCTCGTACCCATACCTTACTCTCTGCCGCTTAGTGAATCATAGACAGTACTGTCGGAATAACGGCTGCCAAGTAAGAACATATGAGCGTCCCCAAGATAACGTCAAACCTTATCGCATTCCTTCGCTGACTCGAGATTACCCGCCATTCGAACAAGAGCAGTCAACGCGCCCCGCAATTCCAGGAGCCCCCAGCTCGGCAGTGGTAAACGCTCCGGATCAGGAGTTGTCAGAGTGATCCAGTCCCCGGATTTCAGATCCTTGAACTGCTCCGATTGGAATCCAACCAGTTCAGCTACAGCTTTCCTTTCCGCGACAGGTGGCAACAAGTCAGTGCTGACCAACTCTTCCCAGGAATGATTCTGCTGAGGTAGCCAAACAAACTGAACCTTGAGTTCATGTTTATTCACGATATTATTCGGATTAGGTCGAAGCGCGAAGTATCCCCATTCCCAATATTTCCTCAGCACAGGACTCAATGTGATGTAGTTTCTCATAGTGTCCGCCACCTCGGGACTCTCAGGATCGGCAAAAATTGGCCGCTTCCATGCCTTGACCCTCCGATGCTCCCAAAAGATCTCAAGATATTTCCAGAAGGAGCCGGACCGACCAGTGGCAGGAGAACGGAGTAGGTGGTCTGGACAGATCTCACAAAGCATGGAGGGTGAATAAGACGAAATAGCACACTTGCTAGCGTCCCTTCTTCTGGCCTGGTCCAGAATAGTGGAGATGCAGACACCATCATCGTCGTCGTTTGATTCTGAGGTAGTGTTTTTCTCATCGTCCAAACCATCATGTATGCTTGACATAGATAGCTCTTCGGTGTTAAGCCACCCCTTCAACATGGCTCGGACAACAGCATTCAAACTCTGGAACGCTTCATCACCGTTTTTGTCGAGTGTGTCGAGTAAAACCTTGTGAAATTTATCGTCGCAGCCCACTAGAGCAGCCCAGGTATGACGCGGCACCACGCCAACGCCTCTCGCATTGACTAGGTGCTTTAGAAAGGTGTAACGCGGTTTGCTGATAAATCTGAAGTATTGTATATCATCGGGCACATCAGTCATGGCGGCGCTGTTCACTGACGTTGATAAAGAAGTCGAACGGGTTACACCTTGTCTGGTCTATAACCGTATCAGTTGTAAGTCAACTATCGCGGTCTGTAGGGTGATCCGGTGCACTCACCTGGAAAGGCACTGGGACCGAGCTATCACCTGAGGTTCTTCGCTGTGTATTAGAACGAGAAGACGAAAAGGAAACGGTAACAGGTAGCTTCTCCACCAAAACATACACGGGCAGTAACTGTAGATGACTGATGACAAGTCTGGTCTTAGTGGGGAAATCGTATTCACTTTCTTCGACTAATTCAGTATAGCCAGACCCTTGGTCACTATGACCTCTAGTCACAACGCTTGCCAATCCTCCTCAGTTCAAGGAAGTGAAGAAGGCCATTCATCCCGCACATCTTCATGCCGTCACATGTCTGTTGATACTTGTCCGACACTTTGGGCTGTTTAGTGAATCACATCCACTCACATGATAGGGGTTTTTGATACCGATGCTAGGCAGGAGAGGTACATATACTAATTATACTTTCATACTTTCGTGATACATTATATCTCAGGTCAATGTACGAGGTTGACTATAATGCTTGTCTAGTGACCAATTTATTATAAAATATACACACGAACTTGGATATCAGAGACATAGTGAGAACCATGACAACCTGCCTTATAATCCTTCAACCCGATCAAGTAGGTCCTAAAATTCTCCCAAGTACCGACTTCCCTGCACATTAAACTGACAATCAAAGGGTTGGTGCCAACAGTGTCGCAGCGCAAGAAGAATAACAAACTCCAAAAGCGCTATTACAGGCCACTATAGAAGCCGGTGCTGTGGCACCGAGAGTAGCACCCCAGGTATAGCCCGCAGCAGAATAGCAGGCCATCACCACAGCTGCGCACCCGGCTTGACAGATTCCGTAGGCAGCGGGACCAGCAGAGGCGTAGCTCACAAATATCAGAATGGTGGAGACAGCCAGGTATATGTTCTTCATGATAAAGTAATTGTATGGATAGTGTATAGTGACTGGAATAGGGCAGTAATTACTGCAAAGGTTAAGGTATTTGGGTTACCTTCCTGACCGAACTGCAAGCTAAGGCAGAATATCTGTCTTTTATAAAGTGTGCTCGAACGAAGTAAGAGTGATGTAACCAAACGCATCATAAATTCAGCAGTAGTCGGTCGTACCAGAGTCTATCCTGGAGGGTCATGTTAGTTCTCATGGCCTAGATCCCATCGCCGACAGTAGACCCAGATACCGGTCTATATGCTCCGGTCAGATCCGGATTCTGCGCTTATCGGAATTTATCCGTGAATTTCAGTATATGTGTGTAAGAGAGCGTGTGCTTTCGGTAAGATAGAGTGAAGGAGACCATGAAGAGCACAGTGAGCAGATATCTGAGGTAGATTCGAAATGTTGATGGGGGAGGAGAAACACGAGCTCCCAAAGTAAATCTTGAATATCGACATATCTCAGGGCATAGTACCTGGCCGCTCTATACACCGCTCACAGCGGCAGAAGCTAGTCGACCTCGTCCCAAAATCATCGGGATTAAGCGGATTTAAGAGAATACAGTCCGCAAAACAGTGCCATGGGAAACTGTACAATTTTTGACCGCCCTGGGCGAGGTGACAGAAAATAGTCGGCCCTAGTCAATAACTACTCCCCTGTGCTTTCAGAAGGCTTAATCCAGAACATCGACCATCACTGATGGATCTTCTACGCACATCATGTCACGCCATCAATGCTATCTATATTCTGATATGGCAATCTGAGTGTGCTCTAACACTGGAACTTTTGTTTATCATAAGTATGATGCTTGTAGTCATCTGCAAGTGGCCTTCTACGCCTTTCGTGTTTTTCAAGTTGCTGTTGGCGTTACACAAGCCAGGAATAATGTCCATTCGTTAGCTCTTAGTACTACATCAGGAAAATTGTGATGTTGATCTTTAGTTCATAATATAGATAACTAGTAACCAAGTACTCCAAAATGGTTCGTTCAAATGCTCCTAGATAGCAACAAAATTTAGCGATGTATGCATGATGGTGTCACTTGACATACTCGACGGCTTGATCTTTTAGCATACAACCGTTTGAAACAGAGTTGCAGCATGATGTAGATTCTGCTGAGCTCAGTAATATGCTAGATATCATAATCCATGATCATGCATCCCTCATGGTCGAGCGGCCTATCTTACATATACTATATAGAATATATCTTGAAACTATTGTATCTTATTCGTTACATTATTTGAGAGACTATGACAATTTACTTGCGTCAAGAATATAGGGATATATACATTAGAGATTATCTAGAATTCATTATAGGCATCTATATTATCAGAATTTCATCTTATTTGGTCTTATCTATCTATGAAAAAAAAGAATCAAAATGATATCATATACTCCATTAGAATCCAAATCATTCAGCTTCAAAAGGTAATTTTTATATAGCGTTATGGGATACACACAAACCTTCCGCTCGACCGTAGAAGGGTGCATATTCTTCGATAAAGCAGGTCCTATACCATGAATGTTGAGATGCTTCGTCATAACCCGTTTCGGATCTTGCAGGAAACTCAATTGTTATTTCGGCGTAGCAATAACCGCCACCGAGACATGCTTTTGATCAGACCCACTGCCAATCAAGCACTTTATCTCTTGTACAATTGACTGTGATGATGGTTGAGAGGAACTAAAAGTCTGCGCTAACTGCTCCACCGCTGCAGACAGCTGCGACCACGACTTCATTGAACCGGGAGATATTTCCTCTACCAATGCTCCCCCGACAACTGCCTGCAGATTAGTGCTTAATATCTAGGGCCAGGGACACTTCATAGTGAGTGTTCTATAACACGCTTTTTGGGAACATAAGGTGATAAATCAAGTATCGGAATGCTCACCAAAATTTACCCCCAGTGACAAGGCAGTACAACTTGCCTCTGGAGTAGTCGTTGCTCAGTCTGTGATAGAGCCTGTCCCATGGGGGAGTTTCAAATGACCTCTAAGCGTGTCAGAAGGACATGACTTCATTTATACTTTGCATCGCGCATATGCTTTCCTCGATTTTCTACGTTGCCGCTGACGGTGGCTGTCAAAGCTAATCGCATCAGTGAAACTAGCAATGACGTCCAAGTCCTTTAGGCGGGGCCGATATATACAATCTATGTGATTTTTCCTACAGATCTCTGCACAAGAACCGCTGTCTGTGCGAAACCCTAAACTGGAAGGTATCATGGGTACTGGGAACGGGTATCCCCTTAGGAATAATCTTCACATATATGATCGCCACTTTTGTATCACTCGGTTGGTTACTAAGTTATGCTAAAAGCCACAATGCATGCTCCATGTGTCTATGGGCATATTCACATCTGTTCGGATTGCTGCAGGCTGGCAGCGCCCGTCGCTTGCAGAAAATTTCTGTTGAAGGAAGATCTGCGGAACCAATAACAATGATTCCTCTAGCCCTTTCTTCTGTACTTGATTCTCAGCTGTGAAGGCACCAAGCTTCTAATAACCCAAAACTCTGTATAAGATATGCTATACTATCATTACTTGAAAAGACATCTATAAATCTGAAGAACAGCTTCTAGTCATCCTAGATAATTCTCTTTCTGATGTAGTACATGATCTTTACGCTTCGACTATAAGAACTTTGGTAACCCATGACCTTCTACAAACATTCAAGTAGTAGTTAGTACTTAGATTGCTCAGATCCAGAAGGAACAAAACATAACTCAAACATACTTCAAGCTTTTAATCTTGTTGCCTATTCCACCAGTAGCATTTCTATTCAAAGTACTATGCTTCACAGCACAGAAACTGGGCTTCCAAATACATGCCATGTCAGATAGTTGCGGGAATAACATTGTTTTAACCAGCCAGGGTAACGCCAGTTACGACTCTGGCTTCACTTGTAAGTGCCATGGTTAATGCATATCGTGGGAGCATTCGGGAATTTCAACGGGGTTTTGAGGAACTCAGCCTCTATTAGCTGAACGATACTACTCATCTAATTCAAGCGAGAAATGCTTGCTAAGTTTGAAGACTAGATTGGAAGGGGAGAAGTCAATGTTGGTTACGAAATGACCATAATCGACATCTGGAGTCGGAGAGACGGTGATTCTTGACAACAAACAACCCAAAATCTTCTATTATGACCATATATTTGGATTATATTCGGATTGATTGATGTTTTAGATAGGATGAGAGGTATGTTTATTCCCTCATTCCCCTGGGAGAAGCGCCCAATACTTTATGCATTGTGACGCTAATGGCAGAGTTTGCCTACTACAGGAAGGTAATAGAACTAGTGTCAACAGTCTGTCTCATAGATAAAGGAATAGGAACAGAGGAGATGAATGTAAACAAAGAAACACTGACGCTGTGTCCTAGTACTGCCACGAAAACTCAAGTATTATTCCTTGTAGGCCGATGTGATTGTGGAATGAACCAACTTGCCCATTTCAATCAAATTATATGCACAGGGTAGATTGCTTCTGGAATCAATGTTTGAGGGATCCTTTTCTGCACCGACAGCGATAGTCATAGAGTCTTTGGCGGACATGTGCAACAATCCAATCGATGGAAATGGAAATGAGATCATACTTTAAAGCCATCTAGCCAAGTAGTCCCTATACTGTCGGTAATGTGATAAATATAGACAGGCTTTATTTTTTAAGATTTCTCGCTTTCTTGGTTCCTGATAGGAAAGTAGATATAGCCTTTTGATCCGCCCAAGGGACTTTGGTGTTCTTCCCCGGAATAGTAAGTTAACCTCTCCAGCAGACGGTCAATGTCCACCCAAGAAGCTGTTCAAACCCGGCTTTTGCAGCTTTGTACTCGGCTCTAGACATCACCTTTTAAAGTAGTACAGGTTGAGGAGGCATGTGGCTCATATCGACTCAACTACTATATTTCCATTCTACTCTAAAGATCTCAGAGATACCACCTCCGGTGTATTCGCCCAACGATAATACCCACCACTAACAAAGACGGGTGAGGCAGATACTACACACGGCGGTTCCAGGCTTTGCTCCACTCCTATCCAACTCCAAATAGCCGCCTTGCGTCGCCAACCAACAAAAGCACCCCTGTCCGGTGAGTTGGCTTGACCGGTCTGATATTGATCCGACTCGCAGCCTTGTGCTACCCCGCACCTGAGTATCAGTTCATATCTGGATCTCTCGACTCCCAGGCGGTTGCCATCTGTGTTGCGTCAAAGTTTTCAGAACGCCTCAATATCAATAAAATGAGGTTAACATGTGCGTATCTCGTACTGCTGGCGGCTGGGGGTTATAGTGCCGACCTGACAGGTAAGTGCTCCCGATAGCTGCCTTCATTTCGTTACTAAGATGGGGACATACTGCAGAAGCGCTCCCAACAGCCACTCCCGACCAAGACGGACAGGATCGTTTCTTAACTCCTCAGAACAACTATAATGGCTGGGTAAATCCTGAAGATCTCAGGCCTATGCCACAATGCATAGCGCAGCAAGATCAGTCCACCTGGCTGGAAACTATGACTAAGTGTACCGCCAAACAATGCACATCTCATTTTGGAATTATCTGCACTCATCACCAATGGTTGACTCAACTCAGCTGCCTCAGCGTTGCATTTTCCTCAGATGTCATCGCGAGGTATCTCCCATACTGCGGTAGATCGATACTCGCCAAAGCGCAATTGTACTCATGGATTCGTGGCATCACGGGTAGAGAATGGCTTGTCGAGGTTGGCGATGCGAATGAGCTACAAAATCTTTCACCAACCTCACTAGCCGAGGGATACACAGCTGTGGACGTTATCAACACGGCGCCAAAATGTCTCACCGGCTCGGTATGTTCTCTCTCAAAGGAGCCTTTTCAACACGTTATAGCCTCCTGTGGGTTTACCAGCAGAAGCCAACACACCGGAAATGCTGCCCGTCCTTGGGAATATAACGAACCCGCTCATTCCATGATCGCTCTTGATTCAGAAACAGTTGGATATGACCTCGTCGGGCATTATGTAAATGACAACCACTATTTTGACAAAGCTTGTTTCTGCAGCGCCTTCGCAGTAGATTTCGAAAAGGAGCCCTGTTCAGGTTCAGGACGACTAGACTTCACAAAAGAGCGCCTCTGGCTCAATGCAACCTGTGGATCGACGTCCTTACCCGATAACTGGGCGGATACACTCATAACCACACAATTCGCATTCATTGCTATCGAGGATTGGCGCTGGCCCAAGTGTGTCGCAGATATGCCAAAGCAAGTTACTGGACTCACAGATCAGTGTGCAACTGATGCTTGTGAACTTGACTCAAGCGGATATTGCCAAGTCACGCGTGCAGTCGACAGGGAATGCTTTTGCCACAAGATCAGCTACAATTCCTGCGAGGGTTCATGTCAGATATTCGAAACCCGGATAGACTATATTAAGTGGCTTCACGACCTTTGTGGTAATGTCCAAGATTGGCACGGTTTGCCAGATAACTGGCGTCAGTTATCTGCACCCACTCTTTTCGACATGATTCCATGGCAATGGGCTCTCAAGCCCTCCAATGCTCCAGACATTCCTATCACCCCGCATGGAGACGCTAAAGCAACCGTAGCATGTCCCTCGAATCAGTGGAAACTTGGAAGCTTTGCTATTGTTAACATAGCTACTTTCTGCGCATTGCTTCTCTGTCAAAAGAAACACATGCTTCGAAGCAGAAACATCCATTCAAAATACTCACAGCCGTTGGATTGGGCTTTCAAGGGCATTATCCTCGCCACTGTCCAGATCTTTGCCAGCTGGCTGAATTTTGTGCTGGTCCAACATACTCCTGGCTACGAAGAGGTTCCCATATTTCAACTGATTCTTCTCTGGTGTTCAATGCCTCGTCTTTCTTGGCTGGCCATGTTGTTACTTGGTCTACAACATTTTGGGCCAAAGAGCCTCTCTGTGGCTGCGTCTTTGCTATTTGCGGAAATACTCCTTCAGATTCTATCTGCTTATCACTTACTCAAAACAATCAATTATGGCCGACAACACAATTTCTATTTCAATATCACGGAAATATGGGTGCCAGCACGGATCATGTACGCCGGAGCACTCATGTGGTTGGTCATCGTTCTCATAGCATACTACACTCTATGGATCCAGGCTAGACGCAGGATGCAAAAGTCCCGTGGATCCGGTTTCACGCCATTTAACATCACCGAAGAAGGAATGCCGCCAATAATAGAATATTTCAACATCCCAACGGAAAAGAGGTCCCATCTAGCGACTGGAAGGCCATGGTCCCCGGAAGAAGCACCATTGATGAGGGATCAAACCAATCGCACAATCTATGACCCTCTCCTCGTTAAAGCTCACCACACCCCGCTTCCCCAGAGGCTAGGTTTCGCGAAATTGTACGCGGCTACAACCATTTTGTTGCTTCTTCTTTGGGTTGCACAATTACTCTTTTGGGGTGGATTTATCGGTCTGAGTTCAGATGAGTACGTATTTCCCGCATACGCAATACTTTCAACTCGGTCAATATCGACTAACAAGCTGGACTTAGGTTCTGTCCCCCAAGGCTTGGGGCTCTCACGGCTGTGTGGACTAGTTCCTCGCTGCTAGGGACCATTCTGGCTTTTCATTAGCTCTTCCCATTCTTATGACATTCATGCGGCTCTTTCTCCTTCGCACCAAGTAGACTGTATATGAGAAACAAGATTTGTGCTGCTTTCTAGATTGTTATCCAAGTCTGCTTGACGAGGTGGCCCTCCAGGTCGAGTGCGGTGGCTTGCCAGAATCGAGAGACCGGCTATTAGCCGCTGCTTCTGTGTTAACCAGCTACCATATGTCGAACCATTAACTGAGCCCAGAGTCATATAGAAGGATGCCCAAAATGAATCAAACGAGAAGACTCACCTCTGAGTCAGAAAGTGGAAGGAGCAACAAGCCAAACATCATGACCATTTGGCGTGGTCGGAGTTGACTACAAGGGGCGCTGTTCGGCTCACTGCAGGGACCACCATTTCTCTCTTCTACTTACTAAGTAGTGTTCGGGGACCTGGAAACATCATTGATTGGCCTACAAAGAAGCATAGAGATACGGATGCCGTGCAGCAATTGAGAGTGGGGTGTGTACGTGGAGTCCGATCCACACAACCTCCCCTCCCACTATGTAGGTAGAACGTTGGGCTTGAAATGTGATCATATCATCACTGCTGCAGACCAATTGGGAGATGACACAGTACACATGCATGAGCGATCAAGGTAAACTTCCCGCAGGTTTGTGCAAACCTCATGGTACGCCCCGTCCCGTGGCGGGGATATGGGCATGTAATGCTTGACTAGTATGCAAGAGGTTGTGCAGGTCGCAGATCCCGTTTATATCCCTCTACCTGTTCATTAGCTATAATAATTTGAGGCCACTCCCTGATACTAGCAGGTGGTGAAGTGTATTGTAGTTTCGTTTCTCGTTCAAAGATCTGATTATCTTTATCCAAAAACTCTTGGCTTATCTTTCAAAACTACGGTGGCGGCGGTTTAACATATGCTATCTGCCAGTTAGGGCCCTGCGTGTATGGATCAGATAATTACATGTGCCAACTCCAGTGTTTCTGTGGGTCTAATGGAAGATGACAATAGCTACATTGGGGAACTTCCATACTCGATTGTCTGGATACTCCTGATCACTATCTTCATTCAAAATCGTCCTTCGCTTTCGCCTCGTTCTTCTTCTTTTTCTTTTTCTTTCTATTTTCAGTTTCCGTCCTTCTGGTCACTGAAGAACCGAAGTTTTCTCAAAGGTATCCGGGACTATACAGATGCACGTGACTGAGCAGACTCATTTAGTTGACGTCTATAAGGCCAGGCAGTACTAGGCAGTAGCCGTGCAATAAATAGAAACAGAGCAAAGCTTTCTGCTTATCAATAAAAGTCAACCCCTTCTGCTATAGTCGATTCCTCCTTAGCGGTGTTCACATATATTCTCTACAGCTCTCTTAAACTTATCCCACAAGACCCGTCTTTCAATCTCAGTCGTCCACCATGCTTTTTCAATACCACCGCGGGAGCTATTGATGAGAGCGCCAGGATAGGTGAGCAGCCCATCAATGTTGCTCGGCGTACACAAGTCGGCTTTCATGATGCTACTGGGAGCAACGCGTCTTTCTTTGCTCTTTGGTGAATATCAGGAAGAATTATATATATCTGATTTCATGCCCGCAGCGCCGAAAAGAAAAATATTGACCACTACCAGCTGAAGGAAGGCTTGCGTTCTCTTAAAAACAACATGAAAGAATTCTTCTGTGCTATCACATCGTGACAGCATGTATCCCCTCGACCGTGCCCGCTTTCCGACGCACGGCCCCCAGGCTTCCCAACCCGGTGGCCGACGAAGCCGAACCTCCTCGAGATTCCACGTCCGAATCAAAATAGTCCTCCGAATTTATCAGCCCTAGTCGAAGTGCCCAGCCCCTCTTCCCTCCATGCTCCGCGATAAGCTGCTCAGCCATGTCCAAGCGTCTCTGGTATTTATGAGGCTTCCCTCTTACCTCCAAGACATTCCCGTGCATCTGCAGTTTAGTGGTGAACTGATTAGCAACAGCAAGCAAACCAGCTGAGACAATCAACAGCAAGACCAGGAGGAGTTTTCCAAATTGAGTTGCGTTGCTGGCAAGAGCGGCATCGAGGTAAGTAAGTACAGTGGCGATGGCGGCAACCCAGCTCTCGTAGGCCTCCATCTCGCGGAGCCACTGGCCCGCCGTGACGGCTTTTACATCGTCGATGGCGCCCTGAATACGCACCCATCGGTCTTGGCTCAGTAGAACGAGCAGATCGCTTCGGCCCGTTTCGGATGCGCCGATCCAGCCTAGCCGGCTCCGAAGACGGATTAAAATCACGTTGAGGGCGCGCGCGAGAATCATAATCAGGATCACAAACAGGCCCCACCAATCCTTCATTAGGATCAGGCAAACGAGGACAGCGATGGTCAGCGAAGCAGCTATCGTGTAGGTTAGGACGGAGATTATGTTGGCATTGGCCGTGATGAACAGGACATTAGCGGCCTGTCCCGCCCAGCTCATATGGTTGTCAATGTTGATGACTTCGACGGTGGTGAGATGGGCTGTCTTGCTGATCTTCTGGAGGTAGTGCACCGTGGCTGGGTTCTCAATACGGAACACATAGCCACTGGTCATCGCGGCGGCCGCCGGGTATTCGCCCTTGTTGAGATTGGAGGCATGCTGCTGGAGGTGCAAGCCCGGGCAGAGTATGAGACAGTCTAGCAGGGCGGCCGTACCAGTTATGACCGTGCGTTGGGAGACAGTCGAGAGGTCGGCAATGGCTACCACCCCAGCAAGGTCGAGAGAGAAATCAGGAAGCTTGGGATGCAACATCGGTGCGAGATCCTTCTTACTTGCGGTGGAGGGTTTGGTTTGATTTCGGTCATCCCCAGGGTAGATGGAGAAGATGCAGCGGAGGGCGAACGTATTCCTGGGGATTTCGTCAATATCATTGACTGGGGTGAAGCTCCAACACATAGGTCGGCGACCTTCAGCTGGGTGGGGTCCTTGCTGGCGGGGGCTGACGTGGCGACGGGGTTGGAAAGATAACAGGGGATGTCCAGGCAGTGCAGAGAGAAGGGGAACGAGTCAGAGAGTCTAGCAGCGAGATGCTTGCCAGCTTTGGGGATGAAAAGGGAAAGAAAAGCAAGAAATTGGGGGCAACGATTGGCTCTGTATAAGGTGCATATGCAAGTTTAGCCCTAGTGTCGGAGAGCTGAAGTCTTCCCCACCAAATGCAAACATCTTTGGCGGAGGGGTTCGTGCCGGGCACAACTGCTTAAGCGCTTCCACGATGGAGCCCGAGTACCCCGAGTACCCCGAGCCCAGCCAACGGGGGAAAAGTGCCAATTTGCTTGAGCCCTTCAAGTCGGTTAGACTACCTTGGGCCAATTTTCAGAGGCGTGGCTCTCTTTTCGCCTCAGAGCTATAGAACCCATCGCCTTTACCTGTTAAACGAAAGTCTCCATGAGTTTACAGGAATATCGGAGCAAGAGGTGGAGGGAGTGGCTCTTCGATATAACGGAGGAGCTCGACAGTGGAAATGAGTCCGACGGCTCCAAGGATACCATCTTTCCAGACCTTCCCAGGGACGGTGATCTTTCTAAGCTGATCCAAAATTCAGACTCGTGGATCAAACAAGCCGCCGATCTGATTGCCGACAACCAAATCTCCATATATGACCAGGGCCGTTCGGACAGCGCTTCCAGCCCGGTCATACTGGATTATGGTGGCCTTCCAAAGGAGCCCAGGATGCCAGACCTGGCGCCTGGTCGACTCGCGTTTCGAAAGCCCGGCGATGCTTTCTGTCGGGAGCAGCATCTATGGAGAGGTATTATAGAATCAGAAAAACACCGGGCACCCTTCGAAGAGCTGCGATGGGCGATTCGCTTGGGGGGCTGGAAGAATGGCGACCCAGAAGAAAACCTGACCCAGCTAATTGAAACCCGATCAGCGGGAATCAAAAATATCAAGGCCAAAATCCATGCGGTCACCAATGCTGACGGCCAGCTTTTGCAAAAAATGCAGGACTTCGCATCACGTATTGAAAAGACGGAAAGCAGTAAGTCCAAGCTCCCGCCCCCAAGGGTGGTTGAGCAGTCTCTCAGTGAGAAAAGGATTAAGGCGGACAAGGCTGCTCATGAGTACCAGATCGGTATTTCAACCTTAGTTGACTTGGAGGAGGGTGAGAATTTCGTTGTCAGTCATTTGGAAGGTGCAGGTGACGGGATAGAAGACACGTCCGGTCAAGCGAAGGAAGCGACAAGTGATGAGGAGGATGCGAATGATGAGGCTGAAGGCCATGTTAATTTGCGAGATGGTATGATCGATGGACCCACGGAGGCAGAAGTGGAGGTCCAGCATGATCGGGCAGCAGAACGCATGGATCCCAATACAACAGATATCATAAATCCACAAGAGCAGGGAGGGGATCACACAAGCAGGACGAGTTCAAGTGAGGAGGGGGAAATCGAAGATGAGAAGGAGGACGACGAAGACGACGAAACGAAGGAAAAGCAGAAGGAGATGGAGGACGATGAGACACAGCAGGATCATGACCAACAAGAGAATGCAGATGACCAGGTTGTGTTCACAAAGGGGTATTGGGAAAGTATCAAGAAATCCGTGAACGAGCAGAAAATGAAGAACAAGATATTAGAGAAGCGCCGCGACGAGGCATGGCATGAGTATCAGCAAGTGCAAATGGAGAGTGCACTGACAAGAGTGAAAGGAGAAAAACTGGACCAGCATTTGAAGGCACTCCGGGGGGAGCTTGGCAAATTGAAAGAGCAACAGAGACTTTTGATGGACTTCAAAATGGAGCAGATGCAGGATCTGCAAAAGCTCGAGTATGAAACAACAGTGGCCAAGAAACAACAAGACGCCTTACAACTGGCGGTATCCCGGATTGCACAGGAGGTGCAGGCAGAAGTTGTCGACCAATTTCCGGAGCCAGAAACATCCGCCAGCAAGGTCTCTGGCACCGAAAACGGTCTGCGCCAGCAGGTTATCGATCACCTTTCGAAGACTAAACTAGCGAAGCATCTCGACAACGAACAGGAAAAAGCCCTCGCCACACTCAGGGCTGAAATCAAACAGAATCCCGAGCTAAGATTGACTGACAAGGAAATTGATGAATTGTTGAAGGTTCACTGTGCTTTATTCATGGCCCAGCCACTCAGGCGACTGAAGAACGCGAAAGAAACAATCTACAGAGATCTCAAAGATCGTGAATTCCGGCTGCTTGTCTTGTGCAGCGCACCCAACAAATATCACCCCCTCATCGCCCGTCTCCAAAAGGACATATTCCGAAAGGAGGCTTCTGACGTAGACAGCCTGGATGAGAAGAGAGATTACGCCGCGCTTTCCTACTCCTGGGGCGATGGGTCAGCGGACCACCACATCTACTTGCTTCCAGAGGGGACCGACCGAATTGAGGATTCACTTTCCCTGCCAATCCGAGAAAACCTCTTCTGTGCATTGCACCGATTGCGGAGGAAAGACCAGAATGTCACCCTGTGGGTGGATGCCTTGTGCATTGACCAGGAAAATAACGCAGAGAAAACCCGCCAGCTCGGGTGCATGGTTGACATATATGGTCAGGCCAGGATGGTCTGTATCTGGCTGGGTGAGAGTGACAATGAAAGAAGAAGTGATAAGGCGATGGATTTCATCCCGCAGTTGGTAGACATGGCGACTTTGGACGCCAACACTGACGGCAAGGACCATGCTCACCAGTGGGCGGCTCTTTCAGAGCTCACCCGAGATCCCTGGTTTGCTAGACGATGGATTGTCCAAGAGATCTCACTCGCAAGTAAGGCCGTTGTATATTGTGGTGAGAAGATGGTCCATTGGGATGTGCTGGTCGACGCTATTGCCCTTCTGGTGGCCAACGAAGAGCGCGTCAGAGCCTTGTTCGATCCTTCAAAATGGCGATATGGGCGCAATACACTAGGGGAGATTCAGTTTTCGAGCGCAAACATTCTTCTCGAGGTGATAAGTAGCCTGTATCCAACTACCGAGGACCGAAGCAAACACAAACCGTTGAAAAGTCTGGAATACCTGGTAACAACTCTGCAGACCTTCGACGCCAGCGACCCACGCGATCTGATATATGCCCTAGTGCATATTTCGCGTGACCATTCAGAAGGGAGGATCACAATGGGTCACCAGCCTACGGAGAAGCAGCAAAGCCTTGAAGAGTTGGATCAGCCTACTGAGGAACAAAAAATCCCTGGGGAGGTGCACCAGGCTACAGAGAAGCAGCAGAGCTTTGAAAAGGTGCAGCGAACCCAGCCCCAATTACACATAGACTATGGGACACCCATCCCTACCGTGTTCAAGCAATTCACTCAATATTGCGTGAAACTATCCGGCTCGCTAGACATCATCTGTCGCCCTTGGGCGAAACAGCCCAAATCTCAGGAATGGTCTCTGTTCAAGACTTCCGAGGAATTTCTATACAACAATCTACTTCCAAGCTGGGTTCCTCTTCTGGAGAACGCAGAGTTTGGTGGCCCTGGACAGTCACACAAAGGTCGAAAGAATGGACGAAGCTTTGTCGGGACGGTAGGCCAGCCGATCTACAACGCCTCCAATAACACGCAAGCAAAGAATGTCATATTCAGCGAAGAGCCAATGTCTATGAAAGTGACTGGCTTGCTTCTGGGAACGGTGGAAGAAGTTTCTCCGCGTTGTAGTGGGGGCGTGGTCTTTCGAGAGTCTCTCAGGCTCGGTGGCTGGGAAGGAATCGACCATGGTCCCAAGGTTGTCCCGGCTAAAATATGGCGGACCTTGATTGCGGATAGAACCTCAAACGGACTGTCCCCTCCCCCTTGGTATCAACGAGCTTGTCTGAGAAGTCTCGAAATAGCTGACATGTTTAGCGGTGGTGACCTGAATACTGGACAACTCTCAGATGAGGTAGTCTTCGTGCGGGACTACCTTAGAAGGGTCCGAGAAGTGACATGGAATCGTTGCTTTTTCAAGGCAGCGGGTCATGAAGATGCGCATATCTCTGACAAGCATCATGCTACAGGTGACGATAAGGCCAAGGTGGAACTGCAAGCTTCCAATTATGGCGATGGTGTGCCTGATATTATGATCGAAAATGCAGACCAAACTCAACACAAAGAAAATCTCGATACCGATTTGAGTATTATAGATGCTGAAAAGCTCGTACAGGATGGAGAAGCAACTGACCAGGCTGGAAATGAGAATCCGGTACATGTCAGCAAGGGGGTAGATTATCCGAATGTCTCCATACACAATGGGCCAAACATGGAGATGTTGACGGTCACGCCTTCGGAGAAAATAGGGCGCAACTACACGTCTGGACAAGAAGCGGAGTCGAACTCAGAAAGGACGGCAGACTGGTTTGGTATTTGCCCAAGAAATACATCCATCAAGGATAAAGTGTGTATTCTGTTCGGGTGCAGTGTTCCGGTTATTTTGCGCCCACTAGGGAAAGATACCTATGAGCTCGTTGGTGAGGCATATGTCCATGGAGTGATGAATGGGGAGGTGGTCAAAAACATGGAGGAAGAAGTGTTGAAGAGGTCGACGAAAATATTTGACATCAGATGAGTAGGACCGCGCTGAATAATTACTAAGCTGGTCCTTTCACATTTCCGGGTTTTTGGAGTGTCTAATACTGTTATATCATTGCAATTGCCAGAAATAGAAACAATTTCTTGGGTCTTTTCTCAGACTGTACTGTATAATATCCACATCTACTTCTGACATGCTGTCTGTTCATCTGTTCATCTACATTCTGCTTGAGCAGGTATCCGTCGCAACGATCTTACAGTGCATACAGTCTTTTGGTGCTGGTTCTAAATCGACAGTAAAATCAAGGTTATTATCTCACTTTTGTGAAACTATGCTAAACTCCATCAAAAATGAGCACCATAGTGAGAGCTATCTTGGCCACAACGAATGTGAAATAGAAAAACGAAGTATTTTGGGGACGAATACCGCGAGAGTGATAGATCGCACGCCTCACCATAGAATAAACAAGTTCATTTATCAAGCAGCCGGGTTCCTGGAAAATCTTGTATCATGCAAATCATATTTCGTACAGTAAACAGCATCGTAACAGTCAGTTGTGTTTTAGGTCAGGGTATAGCCACCGTCAACGCGGAGATCCGCACCCGTTACGTAGCGGGAAGCATCACTCAGGAGGAAGGTAACAGCACCCATCAGGTCTTCTGGGGTACCCATCTTGCCTGTGGGAATCAGGGAGATCCACTTGTCGCGGAGGTCAGGATTTTCCTCGAGGATCTTCCGAGTACTAACATACATTAGCAGTTGTTCAGCATATCAACGCCCCAAATACTTACAGCGCAGTCAGCATATATCCGGGACTGATGCAATTAACACGAATGTCATGTCGGGCCCACTCAACGGCGAAGGAAGAGGCAAGGTGACGGACAGCAGCTTTGGCTGCATTGTATGGAGCTTGGGGCTGGGGGACATTAACAATAGCACCAGACATGCTACCTATCATGACAATGCTGCCCGGTGCCTTGCGCTCCATGAGGTGCTTGGCCACTCCGGTAGCAAATAGGTAGGTGCCATCCACGTTGACGCCCCACAACTTCTGCATCCGGTCATAAGGGTAGGATATGGCGTCGAAGTTCTCAGTAAACCCAGCAGAAGTCACTAGGTGATCAATCTTGCCGTGCTTCTCGATGACTTCTGCAATAGCCTTGCTCACAGACTCGGGGTTGGACACATCGGCGTAGTGAGCGGTGACGGTGGGCAATCTTGAACGATTATTAGCATCTTGGTTTGACTGCTACGGTATAATTAACATACTGATCACATTCAAGACCCGGATTCTCCTTCTGAAATTGTTCCACGAGCTTTGCGGCCTGGTCTTGCGCTTCCTCTCCTACAGTTGTGTCAGTGATTTCACGCGATAGTGCTGGTATGTTTAGCACGTACTGTTCAAGTCAACAATAGCCACATCCGACCCCGAGGCCACAATTGCCTGGGACATGGTCAATCCCAGGCCGCGAGCACCACCGGTCACAAGAGTAACCCTGTTTTCGAGGGAGAACTGAGCCAGTGTACGCTTGAAGTGCATGCCACCACGACCCTGGACGATCGGCGACCGAGGCATATTCTCGTCATCGGGATATTCGAATTTGACATTCTCATCAGTACGGGCAAAACGACCTTCTGTCTCGCCTAATGTACCCTCAGGAGCTTTGTTGGTAGCTGTTAGGAAGGGGTCCTTCTTGATATCATCGTCTTTATTCAAACGGTGAGCTGTCGAGGAAAGCGAGCGGACAAAGGTATCTAAAGATCGCTGTTCTGTAGCTGCCAACACAGCGGGGCGTAGTGACTGAGAAAGTGCTTTGGCAGCTTGACGAACGATGGTGGATCTGAACATTGTGTACGTGAAGGGAAAACTCTGCAAAAGCTACTGAGTTGGCGTCAGTGGTGCTCAAATGCAGCGACATAACGGAGTTGTGGCTGAGTGAAAAACGGTTCGTAGGAGGACGGAATTGACAACAATTCTTCAGCTTACCTTTCACACACGATACAAAGGGAGATAGTCACAGAGAATTTTATCTCAGGCAAGTGGGATTGAGTATGCTTAGAGGACGAAAATGCTCGTATACACGCGGCGGCAAATCAGGGAAACACAGCGATAAGGGAAGAAGAATCAAGGATTATTCCAAGCTGTACTCCTCGGAAGGCGATGGATCAGGACATCCATGGCGATAATAAGAGGATCTGGCCTAGACAAGCACCGCTGCGAATTGCAGTGAAGCTGGGGATCCGCCAAGGACAGCGAGAAGAAACCTGTCAGATTAGCATGGCTGTCAGGAAGGCATGGTGACAGTGTCTTCTGCAGCCAGTGAACTCCATATTTTTCTTTTTCTTGTTTCAACGTGATGTCAGGCGCCGATACCAGCCAGGGCCAGGCCCAACCACCATGCAGTGATCGGATGCTGATCTGGTCCCCGACTGGAGCTGCAAGCTTCCTTTGCCGTCCGCGTGACTCGCCTCTACGCCACTGCTATCAGACTGTCTGGTATCAGAGGACTTGCTAGGTTCTTTGGCCTTCTTTTTATTTCCCTACAGAAATTCTGCCCCTTATCGGCACTCGATATTGTCCCCATTGCCCCATGGATCCTATCTTCTCCCAACACACTCACCGGGAGAAGTCCCGAAGCTCCCGGCGCGCATTGGGCACTCAAAGTTGCCCGTAGCTGCCACTACGGATGATGCGAGATGTCAAACTCAATTCATCGGGCCACCAGACGCTACGCAATTACCGGCATGTCTTATACTTACTACCCGTATCCATTTTGTTGGTCTTTAATCTCACCTGGGCACATGATCAATATTTCAGCCTTCAGATTATTGAGCACATTTTATTTCTGTCCTTGTTTTGGAGTTTGGTTAGGCTACCCTATACTAAGGATCAGGAACAACTAGCCCAATGCTTTACCCCAGTTTTGATCCATGGTTCAAACTGAACTTACCCTGGAAGTTAGTACCTCACAGCACAACCCATCCTGCACGTACTTTATGGCTGTTCGAATGCCGCCCCCATCCCTCCTTCCATTGTGAACACCGTTTGCATGGATTATACGAAGTTCTACTATAAAGCGGCGATAGATTAGGAATATTGTCCATTCATGCACATCATCCCAGTTTGCAATAGTAAGATCACAAGTCGCCACGCTGTCGCGCAAAGAAACGATGCTGGCAATGCAGAAGGCTCCGGATGTGGCCTGGCCTGACATATACGTCCCAGATAACTGCTTATTCTCCATTATAATCCATATCTCCCAGCAACCTAATTGATATATTACATAACTATCAACTACGTTGATGGTACAACTTATGATGAGTGAGCACCATCTATTACTGTATACGAAGTAGTTTATTGTCTGGGTTGTCTTGTTCTGGTCTAAGTGCGCTAACACTGACGGGTGGGTACGGGGTGGGGTCTGATGGGTCGAGGATCGCAGCTAACTTGATTTGGGACCCATCTATGATGCTCAATTGTACAGATTTGCTGTGTAGGCACTAGACTCGGGTTTTGTTCGATGCGTCGTGTGCGTGGCGTGGTTGCAAACGGAAAGGTATACAGAATGAGTATGCAAGTAGTCAAATCGCTGCACGTGTCAGATTGCCATGCATAAAAAGCCCACAAAAAACATATATTCTGGTTACATGCCACAAAGCTTTCGGCTTCTAATCACCAACGTGGTCAGAGTTGAACCACGTATCGCCTTACTCACCGCCCTCTTCGAATTCAACCAACGGTGTTCCACTTTTACATTGGTCCTGTAAAGTAGCTGTTAGCAATCGCCAGCATTGAAGTGAGAGTGCAGGTTGACAGCTAGGGTGGGTCAATGCCTGTGGCCTGAAGAGAGAACCCGGATGTCCCTTGGCAAACCGTGCCCGGGCTGTTCAAAATGGCAAGGCCCTGGTTGACCCAGGTTCGGGACGAGGCAGTCATCTCCAGGGGTGACTGGCAGTCATAACTGAGAAGGGGTAGGGGCCGCGTGACTTACTCCTGCTTTATGTACCACCTTGGAGATGGTGCCCCTCTGTGGGCTGCGAATGACTGTTTCCATCTTCATACTCTCAATCACCACCAGTGGCTGATCCTTTTCTACCACATCGCCTGTCTCTACCTCCACACGCAGCACCTTGCACGGCATCGGTGCGAGAACGCTGTTCGTGACATCCTTCATTCCCAACGCCTTCTCCATCCACTTGGCGCGTGGGATCGTCAACCGGTATTGGGTTCCCCGCTGAAAAGCGATGATCGTGTCCTCATCGCGGATCACCGTCGTGTCCAGGCGTGTGTGAGGGAAGAAGGAGGTGACAATTTTCGAATCCGGGTCCCGATGGCTTACAACTTGCTCGAATAAACGTCCTCCAACATCAACATTGAATGTGTCGTCACCCGTCTGTTGCACCCTAACGTCAAATTTGGCGTCGCCCTTTGTCCCTGGTGTTAGCTCGGCAAGCGAGATCTGTCGTGCCTGGTATCCTGGGCCAAAGCCTACGGCAGAGCCTTCAAAGTTGGCTTGCGTTCCACTTCCCGGATTTGAATCGTGGTGAAGACAAGCCAGAGCCACCTGGGCCAACACCTCCGGCTCAATCGCCTCCCGTGTGAATAGCTCCTCGCGGTGTTTCTCAATGTAGCCGGTCTCCACATTACCGCTAATAAAATCAGGACTTCTGCAGACAGTTTTCAGAAACTCAATGTTCGTGATTGGACCCGCCACTTCATACTCCTCCAACGCATTCGCAAGTTTGCGGATCGCCTCTTCACGAGTGTTGCCCCGCACAATCAATTTTGCAATCATGGGATCATAATGTGCCGAGACATCGTCGCCTGCGACGAACCCGGCGTCTATCCTCACATCGTCAGTAGCGGCGGGAGTACGGACATGGAGCAAAGTGCCGGAGTCTGGAATGAATCCCTGGTCAGGGTTCTCAGCGTAAATCCTAGCTTCGATAGCATGACCGCGGGTAGCCATGAAAGCCTCCACATCTTCCTGGGTCAAGGGAAGTGGGGCGCCTTCCGCGATCTTAAGCTGCCAGTGCACAAGATCCTGACCGGTAACCATTTCGGTGACGGGATGCTCCACCTGGAGTCTAGTGTTCATCTCCATGAAAAAGAACTCGCCAGTATCATTGTCGAAGATGAACTCCACGGTACCAGCACCCTCGTAGCCAACAGCCAACGCGGCAGATCGAGCTTTTGCCCAGATATCTTTTCTTGTTGCATCGGGAAGGTGCGGAGCAGGCGACTCCTCAAGGATCTTCTGGTGTCTTCTTTGTATACTACAGTCTCGCTCTCCCAAAGCAACAGCGTTGCCATGCTTGTCTGCAAAGACTTGCACTTCAATGTGCCGGGGTGTCGTAATGTACTTCTCCACCAGTACGTGATCATCCCCGAATGAATTCATAGCCTCCGATTTGGCAGACTGCAGCTGTGCCTGAAAGTCGGCTTTGGTATGAGCGATGCGCATTCCTTTGCCACCGCCACCCTTGATTGCCTTGATCAGCACGGGGTACTTGATCTTGTCGGCCTCGGCTTCAAGGAAATTGACATCCTGGTTGTCACCATGATAACCGGGTACACACGGCACTCCAGCAGCTGTCATGATCTTCTTAGATTGACTTATGGTCGTCAGCCTACGCTCACGGGAGTACATTTATCAGGTTACCTCTTGTCGCCCATGTCTTCGATAGCCTTCCAAGGAGGTCCAATGAAGACCAATCCAGCTTCCGTACATTTCCGCGCAAATGCTGCATTCTCGCTAAGCTGGTACGGTCGGAGAGATTAGTATCTTCGCAGCCTGTGTGTAACGGACAGCACTCACGAAGCCGTAACCGGGGTGTATCCCCTGGCAACCTTCCTTCTTGGCAATCTCAATAATTCGATCTCCGTCGAGGTAAGCGGAAACGGATCCCAAGTTGAAGGCAAATGGCGAGCTCAACGCATGCTGAGCCTTGCTATCCGGATCCGTGTAGAGTGTCGTTACTCGGATTCCGTGTTGAGCAGCGGTCCGCCCAACGCGACTGTAACATATCACCAAATGTTAGTACTAACTATTGACAAAACTTCGAGAAATAAACTCCCTCGGAGCTCAGACGCACAGCGCAATTTCTCCTCTATTTGCGATTAGAATAGAGTCCAGTGATCTTTCAGCCTTGGGCGTCGTGGCGGACACGGTGGAGGCCGCTCTTCTGAACCTTCGAACTACTGGCGGCCCCAGGCGGGACGAAGTGCGGAGAAGAGAGGAGAGCGGCATTGTGAGAGAGGCGGCTGATCAGTTAAGTGCCACGAAAGATGATCCAACACCACAGGGAAAGGACACATTCATAAAGCAGCTAGCATATCCAAAAGTACGAGTGACCTGGAATTGGAAAGACACCAAGCTCCCCCAGCCGAGCTTCTTGTACGGCGTTGCAACGCATCCCTTGAGCCGACGCAAAGCGCAGCTGCGGGGAAGCAGTCAGCACGTGATGCGTGAGATCCACCCGCCGGTTTTTTCAAGATTCCAGCCAGCCAGACCATTGCATCACGCCTGCGCCGTGCCTGAGGAGTAGCTTTCGATCTGCGCTTCGAGTTTACGTACCTTTAATTGTGTTGGAGTGGTCGCCTATTGCAGCGCTTTCCATTGACCTTTCTATTGAACTCTCTATTCCTTCGCTGTGTTGTGCGAATCGTTCTTTTGCCTGTTCATTCGCTATCGGCCACAACCCCGATTCTGCTTACATTTTCACCACCATCACCACATTAATACTTTCTCACATCGGCAACCATGTCCGACGACGAAGATTTCTATGATGAATACGACGAAGACATTTTCTGGGTAGAAGAACCCGACCCAACTGTCGCTGTATGTCCCCACCCCCTTATTCATCGACCTATGCTACGTCTGTCCCACCCAATTATTGTAAAGAACCCTGGAATTCTAACACAGCAATACACTACTGTAGGACGATCTCGCCGCCACAGCGACTGCAACAAATGACTTGATCTTCTATGACGATCCGGCCCTTGAAGCTGAAGAATTCTTCAGCGACTGGGACGATCTCTCCGACGATTACTACGACCAAGATCCGACCGCAGTCCGACGCCAACGTGCTCTCAACGCCCTTCTAGCCCAAAAGTCCATCTCAGCGGGTATTCCGCCCACAAAACGCAGCTGGAAGCACCCCTCCAAAGGTCTGTTCGATGTCGCAGCATTCCAGGGTGTAGTGTGGAAAAGCCCCGCCGACGACTTGAAAATTGCGCTGCATGAGCCAGGTGAGGGAGAGAAGGTCGCGCTGTTAAAGAATTGGCGGGAGGTGTTCCGGAATTCGAATCCCGCGATTGGAAGAGCTAGGGTCAGAAAAGAGACCGTGGGACGGAGAGGAATTGGTTCACCGGAAGTGGTGGATTTGTATGGTGCTGAGGATGTGGAAGCAGATGACGGGGAGGACGCAGATATTGAGGATGGGGTGGAGGTGGAGATGTCAAATGGACAGGACAATGGTGCGCTGAATGACGTGCCTGCTGCTGGCGGTGACACGGACATGGTTGAGACTGAAAATACGGAAGGTACTCAGGACCTTCCCGATGGTATAAAGCCGTCTGACTCTCTTGAGGTGCCCAAGTCGAAACCAAACGGTGTCGCTGCTGCATCAGCAGACAAGCCAGCAACAAGAGGCCGGAAGCGCAAGGCTGAAGAAGAAAGCGAACCTGTCCCTGAAGCAACCAGTAAGACGAGATCGAAACGCGTCGCAACACAGAAAGTCGGCGAGGCGAAGGTTTCTAACCCCGCGCCTTCGGGTCCAGTGCGGAGGTCGGCCAGAAACAAGAAGTAATTGATTTCGCTTTGTATAGAAATGAGTACATGAGAACACGAACATACAACTTGTTACATGCAAGATTTCTAATCCATAAATGGTCAGTCGGATAAAGCAGGTAGGTCTTGCTGGTATAAGTAACACGTCCTCATAAGATCAACGGATTAAGGGCATGGATGGGATCTATGCAAATTCCCGATTAAACGCACGCCCAATCACCATGCGCCTAATCTCACTCGTTCCAGCCCCAATTTCATACAGCTTCGCATCGCGCAGTAACCGTCCCGCAGGAATCTCATTGATGTACCCATTTCCACCCATCAACTGGATCGCATCAAGCGCACACTCCGTTGCCCGTTCCGCTGCATAGAGGATCGCGCCGGCACAGTCCTGCGTCCTGATCAGAGCCCCAGATCCCTCTGCAGCTGAGTTATCGATCTGTCGCGCCGTGGCATACGTGTAGGCACGGGAGGCAGCAAGCTTGGTGTACATGTCTGCCAGCTTACCCTGGATCAGCTGGTTGTGGGCGATCGGCATGCCAAATTGCTTGCGGACGTGGGTGTAAGGGAGGACGAGGTCGAGGGCAGCTTGCATGATACTGTTATGTGTCAGCAATGTTGGTGGGAGGTGTATGGAAGACAAGACGAATTGAAGGACGTACCCCAACGGACCAGCGCTGAGAACAAGACGCTCCAGGTCCAAGCCCTCCATTAGAACCTTGACGCCGCGGTTGACCTCTCCGAGAACATTCTCTTTCGGTACGAAGACATCTTCGAAGACAAGTTCGCCGGTGTTGGATCCGCGCATGCCTAGTTTGTCTAGTTTGCGGGCGCAGGAGAATCCCTTGAATGTCTTTTCCACTACGAAGGCTGTGATGCCCTTGGAGGCTTTCTCGGGCTCCGTCTTTGCGTAGACGACGATGTAGTCTGCGTCAGGGCCCTTTGTGAATTGAAAGATTGCTTGATTAGCTCTGGTGTTCCGTGAGAAATGAAGAGGGGGCAATGCAAGCTCACGTTGGTAATCCACATCTTGGTCCCGTTCAATAGCCAACCGCCGTCAACGGCCTTGGCTGTTGTCTTCATGCTGACCACATCTGATCCCGCAGAGTGCTCGGACATCGCTAGAGCGCCGACCTTCTCACCTGATAGGAGACCAGGAAGGAATCGCTCCTTCTGCTCGGGTGTTCCATTAAGGGAGAGCTGGTTGACACAGAGCTGCGAGTGTGCGGCGTAGGAGAGGGCGATGCTTCCTATTCAATAAAGATTAGACTATACTTGGCCAGTCGATTAATGGAGGAAAGGTATACCAGATGCGCGACTGATCTCCTCCATGACGACGCAGTGAGCCTGGTATCCCATCCCTAGCCCACCGTACTCTTCGTTGGCTGTAATACCAAGGAACCTGATAAGGTCAGAATTGAAGTATATAGCTCGTTGATATTGTGAACACCCACCCAGCTTCACCCAGCTTCTTCCACATCTCAGCCGGAAACTCATTCTGGGCGTCGGTCTGCGCGGCAACTTCTTCGGGAATTTCGCGCCCTTGATTCGCAGACGGTTAGTATCGCCCAAGCAGAGCATTTCGCATGCCATTATACACACGTGTAAATTCCTGTACACGCTCGCGAAGCTCTAGCAGGTCCTCCTCTGTGGGAGGGACAAAGTCCTTTGGGTGCTTCATCACTAGAGTGCGTAGTGCGGGGGGCTGGATGAGGGGTTTCCTGCACCGAGCCAGAGTCCGTGAGGACTGGCGGACGAAGAATGGGAGTTTCTGGAGTGTAGCCATAGCGCTGAACACACACTGGGAGGGTAATTGGTGAAGCGCTTCAGCTTGGAATGACAGGGAATTGAGAACAAGAAGTAGAAAAAAGGACAGCCAGGAAGAGCGGAATGAATTATGCAGCCACGGCTGACGGCGTGCAATAGTACTCCGTAGTCCGTACTGTTGATCAAGATGGGGACGGTTAATCGCGGCAATCGTCGCCGCCCTTCTCCGCACTTCTCAAGACAGGCAAAGTCACCTGCTGCATGCCTGCTTCGGCCAATTCGGCGTCTGCAATCATCTTCCTCCACTGCCGACGACAATATTATCTCGTGTACTTCCTCCGGCTTGAACCGGCCATGGTGTAGTCTGCATATAAGGCATACTCCCCAAATACGTCCCTGTCCACGCCCGAGCATCCCCAGATCATCCAACTCCAACGTCCCCGCAATGCGTGCTCCGTCTCCGCTCCTGCGGAGCTTGCGATCCAAACAACCCGCCCTTCCCTCCCGCTGTCTACCAGTGCGACAACGCTCAACGAGAACTCCTTTCCTCGCATTCTCGAGATCTGTTGCCAGCTATACCCATCCTCACCATGCATCCGCCATATCGGCTCTTCCCACATCTGTGGACACCTCGTCCTCGGATTTCAAGGAGAATGCCCAGCAAATGCAGGAGCTCCTCGACCGGATGGCTAGTCTCCATAGCACAATTTCCCAAGGAGGGCCGCAGAAAGCCAAGGACAAGCACATCGCAAGAGGGAAAATGCTCCCTCGCGACAGAGTTACCGCCCTCATTGATCCAGGCACCTCGTTCCTAGAGCTCTCTCCACTCGCCGGCCATGATGTCTACTCTGACGACGTCCCAGCAGGTGGCATCATAACAGGCATTGGAACAGTTGAAGGCGTCACCTGTATGATCGTTGCTAATGACAGCACGGTTAAGGGAGGCACATACTACCCCATCACCGTCAAAAAGCACCTCCGCGCACAAGCAATTGCTCAAGAAAACAAGCTTCCCTGCCTCTACCTCGTGGACTCTGGCGGTGCGAACCTCCCCCACCAAGCAGATGTCTTTCCAGACAAGGAGCATTTCGGTCGCATTTTCTTCAACCAAGCCCGCATGAGTTCCCTGGGCATTCCACAAATATCTGTCGTCATGGGCCCCTGCACCGCTGGTGGGGCCTACGTCCCCGCTATGAGCGATGAGACGATCATTGTCGAGAACCAAGGCACCATCTTTTTGGCCGGACCTCCTCTTGTCAAAGCTGCTACAGGCGAGGAAGTCTCCGCAGAGGATCTTGGTGGGGGTCAGCTTCATAGCACAATCTCAGGTGTAACAGACTATCTTGCCGTGGACGATGCGCATGCCATTGTTCTCGCCCGGAGATCCATTTCCAACCTCAACTACCCAAAAACGACCGTTCCTCTTAAGAACATTCCCGGTGACGCCATCAGAGAGCCGTTGTATGATCCAACGGAGCTGAATGGCATCGTGGGCACCAACCTCCGGCGCCAGATTCCCGTCCACGAGGTGATCGCCCGTATCGTCGATGGCAGTGAGTTTGCCGAATTCAAGCGGGACTATGGCACGACACTTGTCACTGGCTTTGCTCGTATCTTTGGGCATCAAGTCGGTATTGTCGCCAACAATGGTATCCTGTTCTCCGAGTCCTCCCTAAAAGGAGCACACTTCATCGAGCTCTGCGCGCAACGTAAAATTCCTCTAGTCTTCCTCCAGAATATTTCTGGCTTCATGGTTGGCGCAGATGCTGAAAAGGGCGGTATTGCAAAGAATGGCGCGAAGCTCGTTACGGCCGTGGCCTGCGCAGACGTCCCTAAGTTCACAGTCGTATTTGGTTCCAGCGCTGGCGCGGGCAACTATGGAATGTGGTAAGTCCTCGGTCAGACATTATTCTTCTTCCTATCCTGTACTCACTACGTTTGCAGCGGTCGTGCTTACTCTCCGCGTCTTTTGTTCATGTGGCCCAACGCCAAGATCGGTGTCATGGGCTCGGAGCAACTTTCTGCTGTCATGGAAGCTGTCGGGCGGACAGCGGACCCCGATCTCAAGGCTCGGATTGATCGCGAATCGGAGGCGGTCTTTTCCTCGGCACGGCTGTGGGACGATGGTGTTATTCCTCCCGCACAGACGAGACGGTTCCTTGGTCTGGGACTGGCGGCTGCTGTAGGTGGAAGGGTAGATGCTGATGTGCAGACTCGATTTGGGGTGTTCCGGATGTGAGGTTCTTTAGCTGTGATAAAACAGGGTACGGATTATGGCATAAGCAAACCATAATCCGATGACTGGCTTCTATTTCAAAATTCAACCTTAAATAACTAACTATTCTGTTGGCCCCCGCAATGTAGCGCTTTATACTAAAGCAGTGGTGTTCGATTAGCTATGATAACTCATGAAACGTTTCAATTACCGTCGACATACTTGCAAAGGAAGTACTACCGTAACTCCATCAGATATCAACATATATGTGGTCTATAGAGATGTTGTATTCCCAAGCGTTCGGTTGCCGTACATGCATTACGATAATCCAAGCAAACTAGCAGCTTATCGTCAAACCGAACGATCATTGGACGAGATTCCGATATTATAACAAGACCGATTGGTTTTTGAAGATGTAGATCATGTGGTTCAATGACAGCCTCAGCACTTCGGCCTCACCAAAGCCGTGACCCGGTCCCACCGCTGCTCCTGTCGCCTGCCTACATGGCAAACACGGTAATCACGACAAACTATCAGCAATTGATTGAGTAAACAGAGTTTCTCGTGTTGTTCCCACTCGTATCTGTCATTATAATCCGCGGTGTCCATGGCTGTTGGGTTTGGTGTTGACCTGCAACGTTTCAGATGCAGATGCTATGACGATGTTCACAAGAGACCAGCAGGTTTTCACATCCATTCATCCGGCGCCATGATGATCAAAAGAGGCAAGCTAACAGATGAGGAATCTCACTAATAGACCCGCCATTGGGTTTGCCAACCGTTATTGGTGCATCTGACATCCCCATACTCAGGACCTGATATACGCCGTACTCTTCATCCTATGTCTAGAAGCGTGAATATAGGATTCAGCTAGTAACTCCAGCAAGAGCTCTCTCGTCCAATACAATTCTGCAGTACCAGCTTAGTCCTTACTACGTGGTCTGACCAACGTACTGTGTCCTTGCTCCTGGGCTTATGATCATATGGGTCTGAACATGATGGAGGGCTAGAAGCTCACAGCCACTTCAAACCCACTCACCTACTCTTCCAATACATACTCAAGAATAGGCAGCAGTGGTACTGGGCTATAAAGGGGGCATCTGTCTACTGCATTTCAGCTCTTCAATCCTGCAGCTTCATCCCAACACAGCTTCTGTTCCATATCTGCTTTCATTCACACGATGGCATCTTACCCAGAGAATGTCGGCATTAAGGCCATGGAGATCTATGTCCCAGCCCAGGTAATGCAATCCTTCCTCTCCTAGGAATCTGTCTGATTGCCTGATCAAACAGTGTCTGGACCAAACCCTCTTCGAGAAACACCAAGGTGTCTCAGCCGGCAAGTACACCATCGGACTGGGACTCAAGTGCATGAATTACTGCAACGATAGAGAGGGTATATTCCAATCAAATTATACCATCCTGTCTTTTCAAGTAACAAGAATTCCAACTAACCAACCGTTCAGATGTCTGCTCTCTAGCACTAACAGCCGTGTCCTCCCTCCTCAAGAAATACAGCATTGACCCCAACTCCATCGGTCGTCTCGAAGTAGGCACGGAATCCCTGATCGACAAGGCCAAGTCCATCAAGTCCGTTCTTACAACCCTCTTCGAGCCTTCCGGCAACACAAGCATTGAAGGTATTGACACTATTCACGCCTGCTACGGCGGAACTAATGCTCTCTTCAACGCTATAAACTGGGTCGAGTCCCGGTCCTGGGACGGGCGAGACGCCATCGTCGTAGCATCCGACATTGCCCTCTACAAAGAGTCTTCCAGTCGTCCTACCGGTGGTGCAGGTTGCGTTGCCATGCTCGTGGGTCCCAACGCGCTCCTCTCCCTGGACCATAGCATTAGAGGCGTCTATATGACACACACGTACGACTTCTACAAACCAGACCTCAAATCAGAGTTCCCTCTCGTCAATGGCCATGAATCAATCACTTGCTATATCCGCGCCCTGGACGGATGCCACAAGGACCTCCTCCGTCGCAGAAGCGCGAACAACAAGAACGTCGAGAATGTCCTCGACCTCTTCGACTACATGGCCTTCCATACTCCAAACTGCAAGCTAGTCAGCAAGTCGTACGGTCGACTCAAATATGACGACCTTCTACACCAGTCAAGCTCGAACCCAGACACAGATCTGACTGCAATCCCACCTGAGTTCCGCACCCTGACCTACGAAGAATCCCTCAAAGACAAAAATCTAGAGAAGACCCTCGTAGCTCTGACAAAAGATCAGTTCAAGAAACGGGTCGAGCCATGCATCGCTGCGCCCTCTTTGTGTGGAAATATGTACACAGGCAGTCTCTATTGCTCACTTATCAGCTTGATCAGTAATATCAATCTTGCCACTGCGGAGGGGAAAACTATTGGCATGTTTAGTGTAAGTCACACCCATTTCCCCAAATTGAACTATATATCCATCAGTTTTTAATGCATATTGTGGATAAAGTACGGCAGCGGCCTAGCCAGCACGCTCTTCGCCTTCAAAGTAACCGGCGACCTAAACCCCATGGTTGAGAAAATCGATCTCATGAACCGCCTGAATCAGAGACATATCGCTACGCCAGAGGAATATGAAGAGGTAAGCCAACAGAATCATGTAGCCTTTTCGATCCTTTGGTGATCAAGTTGTTGCTCTATACTGATACAGTGTATATCAAGGCCTGTGCACTCCGACTGAAAGCCTACGGAAGCAACGATTACACCCCATTTGGGGACATAGCTTCCTTAGCACCGGGAACATACTACTTGGAGAAAATTGATGAGGTGTATCGGCGGACTTATGCTATCAAATCTTGATCTGGGGGGTCATTAATCTGAAAGTGATTATTTGCTGTGCAATAGAAATAATGGTGTCTTTTTTTCCCGCAAGTAATTTTCCCTACCTCATATCATGGAAATCTCTTCAGAGGCAATAGATAATTCAATCAATGGAAGTAGATTGCTTTTATCAAATCGAAATACTACATCAGCCATCTAATATATTTGGTGCATGTGCTACCTAATACAAGCCCCTGTGAAACTCGCGTAGCAGTTAGATAAGTTCCTTGGGTGTCGGAAATACTAGTAAAGCCGGGCTTGATCGATATCAATGTTCGGTTGACGAGCATCTTTCAGTCACTAACTATACTGTGTAGTCAAGAGCTGCCATCCCCACTCATTACCTCAGATTAGGGATAACATCGGCACAACCCTCTCTATCAGAAGCCCAAACACTTGAAACGGAGGTTACAAGCCATCATGGCTTCTCCGCTTCACCGACATTGCTCATCCTTGGATGAAGTCATCTTTTCCGTCCAGCAATGCATGACACCAGAAGAGCATGATAAAGCCACGAAGCTTTTTGACAAGCTAATTGAACATTTCGAGCTTTTACAGACATCGAACAAAGATTATAGACCACTAACACTTATACGCCTCACGAAAGAGGAGGTCTCTGCTGAAGATGAGTTTCTGATCCTCTTCTTCACTCTCATCGAACACGATCATCTTGGAGTCACAACAGAAATCAGAGTAGCTGAGGTCCTAGCAAGGTTGCACACTTTTGAGAGATGGACTTTCGAAGAGCAAAACATCCTTCTTCAATGTTTAGTCCACTTCGCCGATTATCTGATAGATAATTTCTTCTTACCACGTATGTTGCTGACATATCTAGTCACCGCAGGATACTGACTCTATATTTAGTTAAACTAACAGCCGCGAAGGCTACTCAACCTACGATGATAGATTCATTAGAACCAACTATTGGTACTCCACAGCACACCCCTGATCTACGACAAGCCTGTCTCACGCGTGACCGCCATCGATGTGTCGTGACCCGAAAGTTCGATATTCGGGAGGCTGAAAAGAGATGCAAGGTACTAGATGGAGATGACGTGAAAGACGATGACGGGAATCCTTTACTGCAGGAAGCCAAAGACATGACCTATCTCGAAGTAGCGTATATCATTCCTCATTCTCTCATGTCTCATAGTGATATACATATTGCTAGAGAATCGAAATTAGTACGTTATCACTTAAGCTTGTAACATTCTGCTAATTAATCCTCTAGGCTACTCACAAGATCCTAATGATGTTCGACCCAAACACTATTTCCTTCATCAACAGAACTAACATTAACCAACAACATCTAAACACGCTAACCTTAACTCACGACCTTCATCACTCATTTCGTGCTTTCGAGATCACCTTCGAACAAGTCCAGGATCATCCACACACATACACAATCAACTATATCGACCCAAACCGCATGTTCCGAATCCATAGACTTCCTCTCACCCGCACGCTCTATGCCACCCCCAACGGAAGTATAGAACCACCATCCCCTCAACTTCTGAAAGTCCATCATTCTATCGGGCGCATTCTTCACTTCAGTGCTGCGGGCAAATATATTGATAAATTCATCCAAGACATGGAAGATATGGAAGAAGGAGGGGGAATCTGCTCGAATGGGTCTACTCGCGTTGATGATTATGTTCGGTATAAACTTACAAGTACTGGATTTTGAGGAGATGCGTGGCTTCTGACTACAGTGCTTGTGTGTTTGATAGCAGGGGGGTTCTTGACTAGATCAATAGTAGTCAGAGCAGCGCTTCGGGTGTTATAGGGTATGCTTGGGTTCTGAAGAGCCCGTTTTTTTAGCTTTGAGAGAGAAAGGACTTTTGATTTAGGGATACGCGACTAGATAATGTCGGCGTATGGAAAGACTGGTAATTGGCGGATGCCTATACTACGGTGCTGTACAGAAAGCGCCTTGTGAGGTAATTGGGTTGGTGAGATTGACTCATGTGACTTGCGGGCCACTCGCGGGTATATCTACCTGTGATATGATAGTATCAGATTAGGAAGTGAGCAACAGTATAGTAAAGTAGGAAGACACCGCGTTTGTACTTGGTGATAGATTTGAAGTCAAAAAATACATCACTGCCTGAACATGCAGTACACTTAGGTGACTTATCCTGAGACATACTTCTATTCGTTCTTTTCCACCGCTTGATCAAAAAATGCAGCATACAAGCTGTCGAAATGTCTAAGAGTAACACGAAGAAACAATAGGAAAAGTAACATATCTATTTGGGAACCAATCGGGGTCGTCTCATCGAACTTGCTATCGCTGTGGAGCAATCTATCCAATTCTGCTTCTGCTTTTTCTCTCTCACGATCAATAATCAGGAAGCAAGGAAGATACAAAGAAAGGAATAAGAGCAAGTCTCGCTGTTCACATTCGCAAAAGAGGAGCATCTAAAGCGGTAGAGAAGAAAAGAGAAAAAAGAAATTTACACTTTTCCATTCCTCCGGCGAAAAAAAGTCACAGATGTAATGTTAGACATGGCAATAGGAAGAGAACAAGTATAAGAAACAAAATATTCGAGGCTATAAGTCACATATATCTATCGTGGGAGCACGTGGACAGGCGTATGATGAAACATGGCATAGGATAAGGTCAGGTAAGGGTTGGGTGAATAAGTAGTAGTAGTAGTAGTAGTAGTAGTAGTAGTAGTAGTAGTAGTAGTAGTAAGTAATAGTAGTAGTAGTAGGTGTTTCGACATTAGACAGGCTTTGTAGACGGGGTATGTGCAGTGTGCAGTGGGTAAGTCATGTGCGTAATGGTGAGCGATGTAAGATAGTAAGTGGTCAGGGGGGCTAGCCCATGCGCTTGCTCTCGTTCATTTGATGGTACGTTCGTCGTGTCGGGGAAAGGGTCGCGATTAGGACTAATTATAGGATCACGCAGGGTCCCTTGCGCCGGGTCTGGCGCTTTTTGTCCTTTCGACGGTCCTGCCGATTGCCACCTTCCCGTTTGCGATCTGAGTCGGAGTTCTTGGAATTTCCTTGCAGGTCCTTTCGGATGATCTGTCGGCAGAGGTCAATGAAGACTTCGTTGACGTTGGCTCGTCGACGGGCCGAGGTTTCGTAGTAGGGGGCGTTTCCCCAGGTTTGGGAGAGGGCGAATGCGCGCGCGCGTGGCACAGCGCGGTCCTCTTCCAGGTCGGACTTGTTGCCCACGATGACAATGGGAACTTTCTCATCCTCCTTGATGCGGATTATTTGTTCGCGTAGCTCGGACAACTCGTTCAGCGAGGACATGCTCGTAATTGAGAATACGAGCAGAAACCCTTGGCCTTGTTTCATGTACAACTCTCTGGAATGCAATCCAACGTCAGCATGGGGCCCGAAATGGCAACGGTTGTAAATACGCCGTATAACTTGGCGGGAGGAGGGATTCCTGAGTGGGCGCATTTACCTCATGGCCGCTAAGAAAATGTTAGTAACAGAGATTTTAGATGCTACCGTGTCCACGCAGACTTACTGAACTGTTCTGTTCCTGCAGTGTCCAGTCTGGATACAACAGTCAGCTATCTCGGTTCACCGTAGTGATGCAATTGCGCTGTGGAACAGATTCGCTGCGCACAACACATACATTTCCAGAATACATTGCCGGCCCTAGGAGTGTAAGTGACTATATCCAGACAAGGTCGAAGCCGAACTTACATCCACGTCGATCTGCTTCCGGTATGAATCCTCGATTGTGGGGTCATAGCTCTCGATCCAGACATTTTGCACGAATTGAGCTACTCAGCATCAGCAAATCATAGCAAAGAACCAGGTAGATATATGCGACCAGGAGCATACCAGTAAGACAGCTCTTTCCCACACCTCCTATTGCGCCGACAACGACCGATGGTCAGCGGTGAAACATTTCTTGTTGTCTGTCACAGAAGTGTGTACCCACCAGCACCTAAAACAACGATATGGTATTCCCGCCTATTAAGAAGCCAGTGTATTAGCGACTGCGACAACCTCCGATCGATTGTTGTGGAATAGAGAGTCCGAGGCGGAGCTTACTGTGGCCGCATTGTAACGGTAGCCGCGTATTCGGCGATTGAAAGAGTATAATTCGATGCGAAAGTGAAAGAGTCGACTCCGATAGGCTTCCGGTAACGTCTGAGCCAACAATTATATTGTTCTGATCCTGGGGCGGAATCAGTGGTCGAAGCTGGAACGTAGACTTAACCCGATCCGAATGCTGCGACAGATAAGGGTTGTTTCACGGTGAGGGTATCGAGTGGACGGTGGATCCAGGTTCAATGCGCGCCGATGATTTGATTTGAGTTAAGCAGATTGGGGAATGGGGGGGAGGAGAGAAGGAGGTGGACTGAACTCCCTTTGAGGGGGGTGGGCGGGGAGGAAGTGCTGGGAGAGCAAGGGCAGCAACACGCGATCCGTTACATCGGTCTCAATGCCAATCAATTCCCGACCAATTCCCCGGGAGCTGGCAGGATGGAAGCGCCAGAGAAAGGGACGGTTTGAAGCAAGGCCGCGGGTGTTGAGGTGGAGAGCAGAGGAGGGAAAGAAGGAAAGAATAGGTAGCTGCTGTCGACAGATCGGTCGGTGACTTTCGGGGGGAGGGAGACACTAGTTTGAAGAGAGAGAGAGGATGAGTGAGTGAGAACCAGACAAGCAGAGCAGTAGCAAGAAGCTAAGTCAGCGAACACGGACTGGTCCCGGTTTGTGGGGAGGACAGGAAAAGGATCGGTAAGTTCCATTGAAGAGCAGCAGAGAAGAACGTCGAATTTGGCTTACCGACGAGGACAGCAGATGATATGATGCAATAACGGCCTAACGGAGAGACGATCAAATCAATTCCTTCTAAATTTTCTTTTCTTGGTTTCGTCTGTTTCCTGATCCCTGAAGTCCCCCGTTGAAGAACTGCACGAGAGGGAAAAGCAAAAAAAGTCAAAAAAAAAAGGCACGGCAGGGTCTCTCTCCAATTTGCGGCGGTGAGCCTCGAATCGAACGGCGATTTGTTGTGCGGCCGCTCTTAAACCTTAAGCCCCTAGTACAGTCGAGGTTAGCAGCTGGCGATAGGGAGGTTCTGGTTGATTTCTTGGGTCCCGATGATCCAGAACGAAAAGAAACAGCAGTAATAGAGCAAGGTGCTGTGTGGTTATAAGCTAGAGGGGGAAGTTGACCCCCATCTTGACGGGCATCATTTTCCTACTGAGAGGACGAAAGAAAGAGACAGATAGAAGGGGGGGCAGAAAGAGAAACAACACCATCACTTTCTCTCCAAGTCTGAGATCAGATCGTATCAGCCTCTCTCTTTCTCTTTCTCTTTCCATCATCCCCTGCTCTTTCGCCCCCCTCTTCCCCCTCTTCCCTCCCTCCGATTCGGCAGGAAACCGTAGACCGTAGAATGATCACTGCGGATGGGGGCAGAAAGCCCAGCGCATCCATCCTCCCTCAAGAAGGGGGGGCGCGGCATGGCTTGGCCAATAATTGAATCTTGCACCCTCCCCTTATCCCCTGATCCGATTGATTATTCTTCTTCTCGAATGGTTCAGAGAGTCATCTCTCTTAGCACCTCCCCCCCGAGATCTGCAGGCCTGATGAGCTCAGCAGAGCCTCGCAGATGGGGATGTGGCATGTTTGAAGGGGAAAGAGAGGGAGGTGTGTGTGTGTGTGTGTGTGTGTGTGTGTGTGTGTGTGTGTGTGTGTGTGTGTGTGTGTGTGTGTGTGGATTCAGATAGGATTGGGGGGTTGGGTGGAGGAGGAGAGGATGATTGATGGAGAACGATGGGGATGACATGATAAATGTTGGAAGCTGAAACTGGATTATTCCCTCTTACCTTACCTCGAGTTGTTCAGCGCCCACAACACACTCAGCTTCACATGCACTCAGCCGGGCTCCAATTGCTAGTATTGTCTCAGAAACAGGGAAACGGGGGGAATCATTAAGGCTAGTAACCGCTGCAAGGACGAGGAAAGCAGATAGATAGACGCCGGGCAGGCAGGCCATGGAGACTACTGATCAATAAATATTAACTGGATGTGCTATCTAACCAGAAACTAGCAATGGTACAGAGTGCTTTCTACGCACACACACTCACACTCACTCTGTCTCTCTACAGGAGAACTCATGAATATCACGCAAAAGTCCCAAACCCACCTCCGCCTTGCCCCGAAGACAAGCACAATGATCGATCTTCCCCTCTCATAACAATAATCTCCCTTCCTCCCTCTCTCTCTCCATCATAATCACAAAAGAACCTCCCCCCATACGATGCCATGCAGGTTATTCATCTACTTAAGCCCCAGAAATTACCTGTCAGCAGCGACCAAGCCAATAACCAGACATGCCCTTCCTACCAGTAAAAAGGAAGAAGAAGGAAATAATCCAAAAGGACATCGGGATGTGCCCGATTCCAGGAACCGGAAGCAGATTCCGACGCCAACTCAACCCAACCCAACTTTAGTCTGCCAGGGACGGAATCAACCCCGAGACTAAGCGGGAAGCACATTTGCTGCTCATCAGCACTAAGTAGCCTTAGGACCACTTGGTAGACTGGGTTGATAAATCCTAAATCGTGTGAGGCCACGGCAGACAAAAAGTACGGACCACCGCACCGGACCTCCGGTCCCCAACTTCCGGGAGGTTGGCTGTTGTGTGCCTATCATTAATTTATTATAATCTGTAATCTATATTGGACCGATGTGCACGCGCATTGATGGTGCGCTAGGGCATCAGACCATCGCCATCCCATAACCACCTGACCGGGGGGGAAGGGGGGACATGGTACTTGGTGGTTGTATCAGTATGATTGAGAGCCAAGCTGATGTGTCACATTGGCATAGATATTTCCTGGGGGGTTGGGCTGCACAAACATTGGTTTGAGTCGTGCTTGGTTGCGAAAAGTGCAGATGTGATGGGGACGCGTTGGTCTATGCATCACATGTGGATGTGAGGCGTCGGGGACGGGAAGAACAAGACCAGACCCGACACTGGGACCATCTCCCTGCATATGGATCTGAAGAAAAGCGCTGCCGGTCGATACATATGACGTATGTCACTGAAGGGGTCAGGAGCCGATCTCTCATGGATCTATCTAGGCAACGAAGTAGTATTGAAGTACCGATGAAGGCCATTGGAGGTCTGTCAGCTTCAAGGCATCCGGTCTGCGTTGCTTCGCATGGTGTTGGCGAGGTGATTGGGGGTGTTGAGGTTATATTAGACTGTGATATAGTGTATGCTGTACAGAAACAATCAAGGCTTAACAAACATCTTTATAGGCAAACAATTATACAAAGTAAGGCGAACAATGACCTTTGTCTCTCGTATCGCGATCTGCTCTGAGGCAGTCAGACTCGCGAGTCAAAACACGCAAGCTGTCACATTTGGCGAAGGTGGGTATGGATCTCCTCTAAGATTATGCGTGTCTTCATTGGTGCGGACCTCGTACTTTATGTCGGTACATATGTGCCCACGGCACCATTAACCTTCTCCATCAATGCCCCTTTCTGATTTTCCGAGCTGTACCGCTCCAGCGCTTCGAAGACATGGCTGAATACCAATTGGTCCACATCACGCGCCCACAAGAAATCTAAATGCTCATACTGCGGGATTTCCTTCGCCACGGTCCCGCGAGGGAGCTCGGACAACATCACGTTGATATCAACGAGACTATCGCTACCGCCATACAACAGGACAATGGGCGTCTTGATGTTCTTAGTCGGGTACTTGACCGGCTTGTAAAATCGCTCACTGGCCACAATACTGAGCGGGGCATGAATTTCGTCATCGTAGAACTGGAAATTCCGGTGCCGAATAATCTGGAACCAATGGACGACCGACTTGGTGCTAGTGAAGGAAAACAGATGCAGGTACCCTGCCAGCTTCTGCCAGCGGCTGATGTTCTTGCACCTCCAATTGAACAGGCCGCGAAGTGACGTGTCGATGATCCAAACAAAGATAGGCGGGTAGAGAATTGTCTGCCACATCGTCGTCGAGCTAAGGATGCTGCGTCTGCCAAACAGCAGAAACAGGAAGTTCGGCGAAGCCTTCATGAGCGAGTCCACGAGATGATTTGGAAGACCTGTCGGAGCCATTGCCGGCGCGAGAGCCACAAAGACATCGATCTTCTGATTCAACAAAGGATGAATGGACAGCGTCGCAAATGCCTGCGCTGTTCCCTGCGAGAACCCCACGTATGACAGGGAGGGCTGCCCTGTCACTTCCAGGATATACTTGATGCTGTCTGGGATATCATGGAACGAGAACTGATCGATCGAAAAGTCCCAGAACTCGTTCGACAGGGGCGAATGCTTGACGGACTTCTTCGAGTACTTGTTTCCTCTATTGTTCCCCAACCACACGTCATAGCCCCTTTCGACTAATTGAAACGGAAGGCATCGCTGCTCCTCCGACAGACAGATCCAGACTTCGCTGCACATCATGAGACCATGGTGGAGATAGACGACCTTCTTCTTGATACTCCCTTCGCCCTGGTTGACCTTCCTCCCCTCCTCTCCCTTCCGATAGGGCAGTCGGTGCAGACCAAGCAGATAGCCATCCCCTGTCTGGACAATATGTTCCTCCGCCTCATATCCGAACAGCGCGCATATATCCGTGAAGTCCGACGCCAGAGCAACCGACGCAGCAACTTTCTCTTCTTTACCGCGCTTAGCCGGGTCATCGGGAGGAATGAAGGCGTTGAAGATAGTCTTGGATCGATCGTAACAGAACTTAATAACAGGTTCAGCTGCGCCAGTTAGCTCTCGCCCCTCGACATAGACCACAATTCCAGAGAATGAACACACTACTTACGCAGACAGAACGTGATAATATGTATAACCCATTCCAGCAACACCAAAATCAGCGACCCGAAAAGGGCCAAATACTCGAACCAAAACAGCCGTCCAATGACGGGAACGCGCGCCATGACGATAAGACCAAACCTCCTATTATCGAAAAGGGATGGACAATTCGCAAATCAACCAACTAAATTAGTTATCACCTGCAGTAGTAGTAGTGAACCATAATGCGCCGAAGCAATGCTTCAAAGACCCAAGACCGCATGACTAGGGGAAGAGGATAAATCAAGCGGAACAAGCAGCAAGTCAGGATCCCCCCAGACGTCATGGGGGCCTTCTTCATGTGATGGCTTACCTAATCCGGGGCAAGGCCCGTTGGTTGAGTTTGTTTTCCGATCAGACAAATTATCTCCAGATGTCCGTCGCCGCAGACCGGTATTGTTCCTGCTTGTCAGTTGGCTGAGCAATTCGGCCATTGTTGTTCGCCAAAATGCCGAGTTCCTGCCAAGAGATCAGTACGTTTGACCCTTATATCCTTTACCATACTCTTAAATTGCGGCTTGGATACTCGACGTATCCCCGAACGGAGATCACCACCTCATTGTCCCCAACTTCAGCTTCAGCTCCACACTCTCTAACCGATCTCACCCGAATGAACAGGAAATGCTCTGGCCCAATGTCTCCAAGAATCAGACTGCATCATGGTGCAACGGCGCTCGCCCCGCGAATGTCTGAGTGAGCCGTACGTCGACGAGCTTCCCATGCGATGCCAGCAATTGCGGAAGGGATTCAGCGAGTGCAAGTGAGTAAAGAGCCGCTACCTTCTTGGAAAACAAATCACCGCCAGTCATCAGGGTTATCTAACTGTTCGTCCTTCTATAGACGCGGCCTGATCGATATGCGCAAGCGGTTCCGCGGAAACCAGCCTATCTCGGTATCGACGACGGAAGGCGGCGGCTCCAGCTCGTCCCAGCAGCTATATGCGGGCAAGCCGGCGTTTGAGACGGTCAAGGAAATTAGCGGTGATGAGGTGCAGATGGATCCGGAGAAGACTCGTGGTCTGTGAGGGGGTTTCGTTATATCTGGTGTCCTGAGTGATGGTGACACAGATTGGTTTCCCTAGTGCACTGTAACATCATGTTGTGCTTTTGTTGTTTTCGCTGGCATTTGGCTTGGAGTTTGGATGATTGATTGATTGTTGGGACTACTTCACTCATGTACCCAAGCCCTGATAGTGTGTATGATTATCAGGTTATGGGGATTTACACCATATTATACTACTAGATTGTACATATGCAATGGATGGGTCTCGTCTGACCACGCAGACTGACTTGGGCATTCTACAATTCGCATCGTCGTTCTCAAAGCGTGCATTGTGCAGCAGATTTCATTTACTGATCTTTCAAATGATACATTACTTTACTGGGTCTTCTTGACCTTGGCCGAGGCGGGCTCCGAGTAGAGCCACACGAACACAAAGGCCAGGAACCCGCCGATCACAGACCACAGGCCAGCGATCCAGACCCATCCTCCGCTGATCTTCCAGCTGCGGGGGTACTCGTTGTGGGCGAAGTGGCGGACAGTCACCTCGTGCTTTTCCTCAATGTTGGTGAGGAACGGGCGCTTGTAGTTGACCCGGAAGGAGAAGATACCGTGCTGGTCAGGGACGGTAAATTGCGTGCTGTAAATGGTGCTGTTCTCGGTGCGGGCGGTAGGCTCCAGCTTCAGGCGGTGGAAGGGAGAGAGCATGGTGAACTCGAGCTGCAGGGCATCGTTGGCGGGCACCTCGAAAGGAATGTACCGGTCGTGGCTGTACTCGGAGATCTCAATGCTGAAAACCTATAGGGACACGTCAGCAGGGGTTTGGCGGCTAGGTTGCGGATGAGTTAGTGGGCACATACGGTCTCGTTCTTGATGCGGTAGATCGTGGGGTTGAGGTCCTCGGCAGTAAGGTCGTCCTTAGCCAGGTGGTGCTCGATCTTGCCAACCTTAAGGACACCGGTCTCCTTGAAGGTCCAGGCAGTCAACTGCTTGGCGAATTCCTGGTTGGCCGTGCCGGTCTCCTTTCCGTTGCCGGGCGCCTTGACGGTCGCGGAGAACCACTTGTCCTGGAGACTCTCGACGGAGCCGAGCAGGGTGAAGCGAGAGGATGCACGGGTCTGCATGGCGGAGACGAGAGCCAGCTGAGAGCCGGTGGCCCAGACATCCTCTCCCGCAGACAAGTCTTCCTTAGGGTTGTAGCTGTAGGCAGTCGCAGGAGCGCGTAGGATAGGCGCAATGAGAGCGTGGTCGCCGAGCGTGTGAGGAGCGGCCCTCGGCAAAGCCAGGACACCCTCCCCGTCGAAGAAAGCCTTGGTATCGGGTCTCAATGGGCCGGGGCGCTGGAGGAGAAGGACATCGTGCTTTTCGGCCGCGGACAGGGTATCGTAGTTGAAGTGGTCGACAACGACAGACGAACGGTCGGTAGCCAGGTGAAGATCGAGTTCCAGAAGCAGCGAGCTGACGGCGCTGGGAGTGGTGGACTTGCCCGAGAGCGCGAGGAGGACGTTACCGTCCTTGTTCATAAAGTCGACGATGTTCTTGGGGCTCAAAGAAGGTCCAAATCCTGGTCACACGGTCAATTGCATGTCCTTGTAGCTAACATTCTAATCCTGAAAGTCGCCGCTAACCTTTGGACCTAGGAGGCAGGAGAAGAAGGTGGTCGTAAGCCCTCTCGCCCAGATCGAAGAGGGAAAGCTTGTCACTCTTGGGAGATTCAAAGACGAGGTCATAACCGCGAGCTATTGCATATATCATCAGCACACCTCCAATCTGCATCTTCCAACGTCCAAATGAAAGTTCATACCCTCTAGATCACTCCAAAACGTAGAGTACAGATCCTTCTCCGATCCATCTTCCAAAACAACCAGCAGGCGGTTCCCCGAACTACTGAGCGCATGTACAACAGCCAAGAAGCCAAACAGAAAGAGGGAAAGAGACCACCGCATCTTGAGTTGGCAAATTTCCGCACAGCGGAGGAGCGAAATGAGAAACAAAATCCGGCGAGCAAACCACAAAAGAATGAAGTTTTGTCGTTCGAGGAGAGCTCGTCCAGAAAGAAGAGGAAGTAGTAGTACATACGTAGACACTCCCAAACGGGCGACGTGTTTGGACCGAACGCCAAGACCCGGCAAATCCACTTTTGGCGGCTTTCGTCACCTTCAATCAACCTCCATCGATCGTTTCCCCTCGCCCGTCGCAATCCGCCTGGTTTACCCCGACCTCAATCGCCCCTACCTCTCCGCAGGTTCAATCAATTCCCGGTTTCAATTGCCCTGGAGAATTTTTCCCGCAGATTGAAAAATTGTCTATTCCGCTACCGGTTTCCTTTAACGCCTCCCTCCCGAACATCTCCGCAACGGAAAATCCTTAACAATGTCGACGCCTCAATTCTGGTCCACGCCTCTCCGCTACCTCCGCTGGGCTTCTCACGAACGTCCCGCTATCTTCTACTCCCTTATTATCGGCTCCATGGGCCCCGTTGCCCTCGTCGGATTGCCCCCGCTCAGACGTGCCTTGGGTGACGTTGACCCGGAGACTATCCCCATGTCTTATCCCAGTATGTTGCTGCCCGCTTTCCAATTGTCTTCAATCGATTTGGAATTGCTTTGTCTTGGGAAGCAGTGTATACTAATGTTCTCGCGCCTCGCGATTAATAGTCCCCTCCGGTCCCCGCACATTCCCCAAGGGTTACGATGACGAGTAAATCACCTCACCCGGGATATAACGATATGGAAAGGATAGGGTGGACGGACTGGCGTGACCGACGACTAGCTCTACATTGAATGATGGGCAAAGTGTGACTCCGGCGCCGATAGAATAGAAGAAAGGGAGGCTGTCAATCAACGAGCAAGTATCGGCGGGCCTCGCTTGTCCGGAGGTAGTCTTGATCTGGATTCTGGGTATCTTTTTCCTACGTACATGCGCCCTCCGCCTTCTCCCTGACGGGCATGTTTATACCCTTGTGCTTTTGGTAGGGAGGGGTAAGGTGATGTAGGTGGGGTATGAGATGTGTGTGTGTATTTATTGTATGTGAAAATGGTTACAGAGCGGAGTTCATATAATTTCATCTTTTTTTTATTCATATGTGTTTGTGCTGGTATCTAGAGTGTGGTTTTTGTGGTAAAGAGGAATGATCACGAAATAGATGTGTGATGGCCAGTGGAATCCTGCGTCGACAGAAACATTACTGCGCCCTAAGAAACCACTGAATCTGAAGTACAGGATACAGGAAGAAAATAAACCCCCGAAATTGAGAAACCGAACATAAAACCGAACATGATGGTAAATTGAAACATGAAACCGAACATAGTCAAACAAGGAGACCGAAGTAGTAGTAAAACAAGGAAACCGAAACAGACAAGACAGAATTGAAGTACAGACTAAAAAATACAGACTAGTGTACACAATAAGCAAAAGCCATACCGGTCAGCCATGATGCTAAGTATCATCTCTGTGGCCTTTAACATCGTCAGGAGACTGCATGAAGATAGGGCTCGGATAAGTAACCAACCCATTATCTCCTTCATCCCAATTCTGGGGACATCCCGCGGTCAGTGATTCGACGGCTGGGACCGCTGGTAATTCGGACTCTGTATGCGCCGTCGAATCGTCTTCATCCCACAGAGGCGGGCTGATGAAGCTGTTCACTGAAATGTCGTCGGACAGGTCTGGTTCATGGACGACCGAGGTCACGTCACTCCGGGCCTGAGTAGGGGTGCAATCATGATACCCTTCGGGGGATTTTGTAGAATATGAAGGCAAGGGACGCTCGGTAACTATCGGGGGGATAATTTGAGACGTCTGGACGTTTCGGTTCTCAAATTGGAGATTATCCATGTATAATGCCGGCAAAGCATTGTTCATGGTCTGCAGAAGAGCTACCTCTTCCTGTGCAGCCCTATCTGTCAGCCAAGGAATATCCCGCTGCGTAACTTCGCAGCATGTCAGATAGTGTAATTCTCCCCACACTCCAGGGTTGAACCGCGATCGATTTTCAAGCAGATATGCAACAAGATGTTTTACGGCGTCCTTTATTTGACCGAGCCGGTGTTCCATAACTGCAACCTCGTCTTGTTCAATGGGCAGCAAGACGAGGTGGGCCTCAAGGTCGACCACCTGGAGGTAGGCATTACCGCCAGCATTGATGGCGCGGTAGAACGCCGCTCCGCCATCCAAAGAACGATATGTCTTATGATCAGCTATGGAATTGCATAGCCACTGCCGATAGAAAGCCTTAGCCATCCAGGTGTAGACATCTCTATTCTGTGGATCATCGACGGGATGGTTGAGGATGCTTGTGTCGGTCATCTGCTTATCAAACTGCAGATCTCTGTACTTTCTCTGGCAAATTTCACGGATCGGATCAGAGAGCAAGGCGTGGCCCTCATCCGTTAAATAGTGCCAGCGGCCGACGATGTGGATGACTGACTCTTGATAAACTATGACTGATTTAATTCTCAGTCCCAGGTTCACCCAGCCGATGGGATCATCGGATATGCAACGATAGAGCTCTTGGCCATACCCCTCAAGTGCTGCGCCGAGAAGAGGTAAAATGAAATCATCTGCTTCAATGTCTGTCGCCAGCTCAACAACTCTCCAACTGTTATCCAGAATGTTTCTGGTAGGGCCGTCATCATGCAGAAAAGGAGGTAAGAGATAGAACATCTTGAAAATGTTCTCCCAGCATCTCCGGGTTCTCACAGGCCAGACTGGGATGTAGTCCACAGCCCGAAAGCCTCTGGCTTCGCTCGTGAATTGCTGCGGGACCTGGAAGTGCTCGTTAGAAACCCAGCCGACACAGATATTCTCTGATCGTAAGGAGTCTACTTGCCTGGAGCTGGAAGACCCCAAATTTATGGGCAGCTTCGCCGATAAGATTCAGATTATAGGCGCCTTGATGGTCCATACCCTGGATGTGTTGTAGTGGGTTAATCTCGTTCGGCGGCCCTAGCAGGCTCCTCAGAACTTTGGAGTGTGTGGAGAGTACGTTTAAATGCAAACGGTACACATCCGGGTGGATGGTGAGCTTGACGTCGCCATCAACGTAGTTCGGAAAGTCCAAGACCGGCATTTTGGATGTAACTGATGATGATGATCAGGAACTTGTCGCCAAAGCAGTGCGAGAAGCAGTCTCTGAAAAGGTGCAGGATGGAAATCATGAGCATTTTATAGCGAGGTGGCCTTGTGAACGACGCCGAGAGAATAGAAGTGACTGATTGCATCGTTGCCTTGGACTTGTTCGGTGCTTCACAATATACCAGTCCGGATCTCTGTTATACAATAGTCAAGTGTTATATGGTGAATCAAGTAACAGGGGCCCAAATTCGGTGCGTGTTACGATCAGCAATCACTGGCACAAACTGGAACAAAGGACAGTTGGTGAGGTTGGCTTCTGTGGTAGAAGTTGTATACAAAAGTTGTATACAAGGAAAGGGCCATTCACACCGCATGCCGTCGCAGCTGATACGAATACGCAATCCGTTCCCACGTATTGTATCGGGCTGCACAATGTGCTGAAGGCAACTAAGATAACGTGAAAGCATCATTACAAGCAGATACGGCAAATATTGGAGTCGCGCTGCTTCAGCAAGTGATATTCTATGATTTACATCAATTAGCTTTCTGTGCATAGGATCCAGAATGCCAAGGCATGCAGACAGCCACTTGCAATTGAACAGTGCTTAAGGTGGGAGCAGGCAAGGGGTCAAGTACAAGATAACACACAGGCTTGACTTTGTAAGTCGATTATTAAACCCATAGGTCAATGCGATAACCATAGAAGAACCAGCGAACCACAAAAAAATAACGCCGTATATGCTCATATCTACATATAGCTCGTGAACAGCATCACTGTATGTCATCAAAAGCCCCCGGCTGATATTTTCCTGAAATCAGTTGGCGCTCCATCGGACTGAACATGTAGGAGATGGTCGAAAAACACCGATCGAAGAATGAAGACTGTGGCACAAACGCATGAGGATTCCACGACCAATACACCACAAAATAACCAGACAATGGAAACCAAAACCCAGCAAGGCAGAAGACAGACAAAGCACAGCAATGGCTGGAATTACAACAGACAAAGCCAAAATGCCTCCTCGTAAATCCATCACGTTATAGCTTGGGTCGACCAAGCTTTACACCAAAGAAAAAGACGGCCGTGTGCCTCGCGCAATGGAGCGATAACCAGGCCAGCCAAGAGCGCGAGGCAACGTCTCCATGGACGTTGGGTGGAATGTCAAGAGTATATCAGAGATAAGATGGATGGGTGTCCAGGAGAAATAATATCCGATGGTCCTAGGATGTGGCTCCGGTAGTTGCAAATTGCTTCCGACAAATGATGATGCACGCTTTTCCTTCCGGTCTCATGTTCCTATACGCAAAGAAAGGAAGATTGGTCCTTTAGGGCTCTGAGGATAAGCAGAAGTATGAATATATCTGCAAGATCCCAGGTACAATATAGATTGTTAAGGACAAAAAAGGCTCATAGTATATATGCCCGTAGAAAGCAAACATTGACTTTCTTTACCTAGTCCGGCGAGGGGCTTCCCCGCCTCTGGCTGGTTGTGGCCTATTGCGGTCTGCCGGGGGGTATGATGCCTCAGGAGTGTATCTGGGATCCATTCCTATCCGAGGGTCCGGGGCTGTGGTAGTAGGGTAAGGGATCCCGGTGGTAACTGGAGAATAGTCCTGTTCGGTTTCATAGCCAGGCCCGGGATACCTGGGGGCATTGCTCCTTCCATTCTCATAAACATAGCCAGGGCCATACGTGTATGACGACGGGTGCATCTCCGCAGTCACCGGAGGTTGGCTGGAAGTAGTGTAGGGGATCTGACCACTAGGGTAGGGGTTCGGGGCAGATCCATAGGGTGAATGGTTTGGGCCGGTGTAAGTTGATGCAGGTGGGTACGGGGGACTCTGGGTCGCCTGGTACGATTGTGCATATGGATCCACCACGAATGGCTGAGTCGGAGGAGGTGCTGAGTAGGCAGGCGGAGGGGATGGCCCTCCCTGCTGACGTCCTTCATGAACGGCAGATACTTGGTAGGACGCCGGGGGCATGCTGGGTGCCTGGGAATAGTTTAATTCTTGTTGGTAGCTACCTCTGGGATAGCCCTGGTCAGCCCGACGTAGAACATCGGCCTCCCACCGAGCCGAGTCTTTCTTGAGGTCAGCAATCATTTCCTGCAGCACACGGCCATTCGTTAGTCGGACATTTTCTTTTTTTTTTCGCCTAGGGAAACACCACGGAATAAAAAATCAACATACAGAGGTGAGATTCCGGTAGGCGCGAATGAAATAACCCTGACGACCCTGTTTCCCATCTAGTCAGTAACTGATTCAGCCAGAAGGCATATTCCGCCCATATGTTCGCGTGATTGTTCGTATCATTTTAGAGAATTGCATAGGAAAAGCAGCGGGGCACAGACATTGTGGTTTCCGGGTCTTACGAGCGCATCATTTCCAAGGTAACGGCAAATGTCTGCTTGGATCACCTCCCGGCTGATACCATCGCCAGGAATGAAGTATTCGTTCTGACGCTCCGGGCGCCCCTCATATCCAAGACGGCCAGTCATTTTTGTTTTTGTTTGTTCCAGGATACGGTCTCCAGTAATTAATGTTATTATAGGCAACGGGTCCAAATGGCCAAATGAGGTCCGGGAAATTCAGGAAGAGCCGACGGGTCCAGAGGAAAGTGGTTGCAGGTGGTCTCTTTGGGAAGAGGGGGGTTGATTGAGGGGAAGAAGAAACAGCACGAAGTACAGTTCTATGAGACAGCGTCCGGAAACTCCAAGGCTGAGAAATAAGGCTAATCCGACTTTTGGTTGACACAAGCACACATGCAGAACACGAAAGGCGACTTAGAGAAGAGGTGGAATCCCAGGGTTGGTTATATGGCTCTTGCTCCGAGAGAATAAAAGAAACAAATCCCGGCGAGAGCGTGTCTTGTCCACGGTGGTTGTCAAGGATGGATGCAGGGTATATAAGTCACTTCCAGCATTAAGCAAGTCGCAAACGAAAGAGACAGTAACGTCCTTCAATAGGTCCGGCAGGTGAGGAAGAGACGAGAGTTCAACGTGTGAATGTGAACTTCGGAAAAATTTGGAGAATAATCTCAGGTGAATCAGAGATGAGGGAGATGAGGGAGAAAAAAGGCCTTTATTCTTCTCCTGGATGGAATCTCCGGTTCTTTGGAACAGTGGATGGGTTTCGTTGTTCACTTCAACACTCCCGGACACAGACTCTATTACCTTTCCAACTGGCAGGGAATAACCAAGCCAGAGGGGAAGAGAGGGAAGGAGGGAGGGAGTGAGTGAAGGAAGGGGAGAGAGAGATGGGAGGAATGAGGAAAGAAAGAGGTTTCGGAGTCGGGGGGGTGGAGGGGACGGGAGGAAGAAGGTTTGTATGGGAGGTTACGGCGGCGAAAAGTGAAGGGGGGGAAGAAGAGAGAAAAGGGAAAAAAATGAGACAGCCGGGGAGGGAAAAAAAGATAAGAGGGCAAGAAACCTGCAGGGCGGGCGGCGAAAGAGGAGCAGCGACTAACTAGTCTAGTAAGTTACTGTGTATCTAATGAATGACAAGACACAGGAGAGGAGGCAGAGAGAAGACGACTACTAAGAGAGGAGGGGGGCGGGCAGCCAGTGGGTTTCGGGATGGTGAAGCTGGCCGAGGAGATGATTGGGATGATTGGGCTGTTGGGCCATCTTTGGGCTGCCTGGCCATGTCTGGTGCCACGACTGACTCCACCCAACCCGACGATTAGACCCTCCCCGGCAGCACGATGAGCGCGCGATGACTCCCACTAGAAACTTGCATCGACTAATGAGGCGTAGCCGCCGGGGTCATGGAAGGCGAGGTTGCAGACGATTTTCCTGCCCCTACCCGTGCGGCTTGATTGTGAATACTATTGCTCAAGCAGATGGATGGTCTTATTGCTGATGCAGCTGGGGGGGGGGATGCTGACGCTGACCATGGGTGATGATGATGCGGATGGCGTTCGAGGATCCCCCATTAGGGCGGCGAACTGGTGAGATAATCTTTTTCTATTTTCCATTTTGATCATATCTCTGAATATTAAAATCACATTTAGTTAATGGAGGGAAATGAGTCAGTTAATAGTATTATTATTATTTTCTACCGACATTTAACTAAGTAGTTGAGTAGTGAAGAGCAGTAACCAGTAACAATAACATGAACTCCGCCTCATCTTGTTATTACAAGATGTCTCTAATTCTTATCCTTCATTATGATCATCATTGTGGTCAGTCAGTCCCATAGTTGGGTACTTAAAAGATTCCCTGTTTACTTAGACTTCTACATATTCCCGAAGAATCACGAGCCACGGTTGATTGAACCGCGGAGAAATTCTGCCCGTTTGGGTATCCGGCTATGGATCCATGGATAGCCGCTCTACGGTACTCTGAAATATCATATTATATTATTATAATTGCGGGCAGCTTGGATAGCCTCATTATTGTATGCTCCCATTCAATAGTAAGCTACTAGTTCTCAGCCTGCACAAGTAATGCTTGCTTCCACCCACCAACCAGATGGATGCACGACGGAGAAGAGGAACCTTGCAGTTATTTCAACGGCTCCCCCGGCTCTCGTCGGTCTGCCCAGCTCTTGGATGACTCAGCCACGACTGCACACAAAAAAAGAGATTTATTCCCAGTGGTGCGGAGGACGGAGTACCGGCACAATTATAGTGAACTGTGCATCCATGTTGTTCAATGCGGTGACAGTGATGACAGAAGGCTGCAGTCGAAAATCTTTGCTGCGAGGCATCAAAATGCATTCAGGGAGATGTACGGGGTAGTAGTATATAAGAACCATTCAAAGTTATTGGTTGGATGTTACATTCAAACTGGGCGCTATTGCTTTGTGCGCCTGCACAACCGACAACCTCAAGGCTTCTGCTACCAATTTTCTATCACATATCTTTTCATTGCTGCACATATTGAGTAGTTAGCGGCTGCCTGCCTTACGGAATCACCCCCAGCTTGATCGGCTTGATGGAGGGGGCTGGTAACTAATCAAACCAAAGTACTACAAAGCAAGAGGCTTGCTACGGAACGGCTACTTCCTACTACCCACACAAAACGACGACGGAAGTACTATGTACTACCAACTCCATCGTTAGTCGTAGAGTGCTAGGCACGGAGTCCTCCGTAGCCCAGACAAGGGTTTTTCTCTCACAAATCGGTCGCATCTGGTACCTGCAAGGTAGCAACTAGCTCGCTCACGCAGAGGAGAAAAGTACAACTAGTCGACTGGGTACTTTGTGCTCCCGCTCAATCTGCAGCTAAGGAACCCAAGGATCTGTCGCTGCCGAACCCGTCCTTGTCACAGCCAGTCAAATTGGCGCGCGGGGTGGACACTGCAGGTTGGGCAGGAATGTGTGGTGGCTTTGGGCACTCATCCGCCCGTTTGTGTCCCTGCCACTAATCTTCCATCTCTCTTTTGCCCCTTCTCCACTCAACTTTCCCCCCCCCCCCCCCCCCCAGGAAGGTTAACCCTCCTCACTCCATCATCTCCTCCTTCAGGATCATCCTCGATCCTCCATTCAAGTGGGCTGGGAAGGGCAAACCCATGAATGAAAACTTTCCATTCTTTCCGCCTAGAGCGCGGAATGGGGGTGTTTCTTGTGATGGCTCGCTCGCTTGTTTGGTTCCCGGTGGGAATTTTAATCTTGGTACTAATTTAACGTGGTGACTTGTGAGTCTATCTGACAGGGATCTATATGAAGGCAGCGGAGAAGGAGATGAATCATCCCACTTTGGAATCGAACGAATTGTGGATAACGAAGGATAGAGAAGACTTTTCGGTGTAGAAGAGGGAAAAAAAAAATTATTATTTCAACAAAGAGAAGGGAAATTAGGAATGAATATCAGAAATTGACCAAAAAGCAGCATCTCGTAATTCTCCTTCCACAACTTCGTATCCCTCTTGGGTAGTCCGAACTGTAAGGACAGACTGGAGAGGACGTAGTACGTCTTCGCACCCACAGCCCCCTTCTCCTCCCCATAAAGCAATCTGGCAAGAACACTTGACCATCCTTGGCCAGCTGCATGATCGACCATCTCGGTTCCCTTACAGCAACTGGTCGGATGTTCCTTGATTCGCAACCAACCCCCAGAGATGAACAGCCACCGACTGACCTAACCACTTAACCGGTCTTTGCGGTCTCGAAGCATGCTTCTGGTGGCTTCTGTAACACCATCAGATGCTCCCTGTTGCCTTCTTGGGGTTTTTTAGCTTTGCTTCGCGCGGCTGTCACCCTCCTTCACACAAAACCTCCCATCACGCCAACTGTGTCCGACATGGAGTGTCACACACTTTCCGACCCATTTTCAGAGATTGACAAGGCGTTTTTCCCACCACCGGGGGGGTTACCGTTCCCAATCGTATAGTATAGTATCAGCATGGCGGTGAGACCCCATGTACCAAGTTTGGGGACCCATCCTTTGCTCGAATGATATCCGTCCAAGTGTCTACTTTGTCGCATGGTCTCCATAGTGGCTGCATCAACCCTATCGAGTTCGCAGGTGAAGAAAGAGGCATACATGCTGTAGTGATCATGCATATGCTGGCTGCTCAAATCAGATCACATCTAGTCTCACCGAAGGCTCATGCATTAAGATTGATAGTTTGAAAAGCATGAAGCACCATGAAGATATTGCATTCTCAGACAAAAGAAGTCTGTTTTACAGTCCGCAGGCTTGCAGTCTGGGAAACTCAAAGCTATCGAATGATAGTTTGGCCTTCACAACACTGACTCGACAGCTGTCTTGAGTAAGGACATATCGACGGGCAAGGAATTGGGTGCCCGACACTGTTTGTGTTTGCAATGGGAATATCATGCCAATAACGCTGATGAGGGCCATGTGACCGCCCAAGCTTGAGATCTATTGAGAATTCGAGTGCAATGATATCATCCTTTCATCTGATCAGAGGTTCGCCATGCACCTCATGACTTCAGGTTGACCGTTGGGATGAAATCGGATTTGTTTCAATGAAGACTTTGATTGATGCCTTATTTGTATTAGCTAAATGATCCTTCTTGTATGGTCGGGAACACCCATAAACGCTTTATGTTCCATATAGTCAAATCGTCAGTTGCTACTTTGGTGGTTCGTAAAACGTAAGCAAAGCTAATAAGCAGCATGCGCAAATCCAAGCTTGTAGAGGTGCCTAGTATCATCGAACTAAAACAGTCTTGTTAAGGTCGTCTGGAGCAACCATGCAAATGACCAGAGTGAGGTGAGATCAAGCAAAAGGGAGACATACCAGGACACTCGAAGTGTCGATTAGATTGACTCGATCGCGATGCAGCCGTTCGACAAATCTAAGCTAATCCCTTTCGGGAAGTGGTCTTGCCGAGTCAACGGGTGCAACTTCAGATCATGGCTTCCAACGCGAAGTGCAGCCCGACTTCTACACAGACGAAGGTGTCACATCCAAGATACAGCAATACGATCTCATTTGGTTTGAAGCAACTACTCTACGTTCCGCAATGACTATAGCACTACCCTTTTCAATATGTCACGCTCTTCCCCGGAACCCGTCCCGTCGACTTTTACGTCCGGCGATTCCTTGAAGACCGAATCACGCTACACCTACCGTCACCTACAGCTTCTCCGTCAAAGTTCAACAGCAACCCCTCTGCGAGTAATCGCTCATATTGATCTCGATGCCTTCTACGCACAATGTGAAATGGTACGCCTTAGGACACCCCGCACGGTGCCCTTAGCTGTACGACAATGGGACTCGCTCATTGCGATCAACTATCCGGCACGATCCTTCGGAATAACGAGGATGATATCAGCATCAGAGGCTAAGAAGCTGTGTCCGGAGATTGTCCTACAACATGTGGCCACATTTCGGGAAGGAGAAGGTGGGAAATGGGCATACAGAAACGATGCGTTCAAGCGGATGAATACCGACAAGGTGTGTCTCGATCCATACCGGGCGGAGTCGCGCAAGATCTTGAAGGTGATGAAGGAGGAACTGTCAAGATGGCAAAGAGAGCTAGCTGGTGGCGAACACGGAGCTGGTGCTCAATCTCCCATACAGCACGCTGGTCTTGAGAAAGCTAGCGTTGACGAAGTCTTCATTGACCTGTCATCTCTCGTGCACGGTGTCCTTCTTCAACGGTATCCCGAGCTACGAGCTGAGCTGCAAGGTGATGATCGAGTCACTCCGCTTCCTGTCCCACCTACGACTGCGTTGGAGTGGAACTCGGAGGATTGCTTGGTCGATCTGGATGAGAATGAGACAGAAGTCGATGATCCTGACTGGGATGACATTGCTATGCTGATTGGGTCTGAAATTGTTCGGTCGGTCAGGGCAGCTGTTTGGGATCGGCTCCAATACACTTGCTCTGCGGGTGTTGCGAAGAACAAAATGATGGCAAAACTAGGGAGTTCGTGCAACAAGCCGAACAAGCAGACTATTGTGCGAAATCGTGCTGTACAACGATTCCTCGGTGGCTACAAATTTACAAAGATTAGGATGCTTGGGGGTAAACTTGGTGACCAGGTTACTGCAATGTTTGGAACAGAACAAGTGAGTGACCTTCTAAAGGTGTCGCTGGAGCAATTTCGCGCCAAATTAGATGACGATACTGCTACCTGGCTTTATGGAATCATCCGGGGAGAAGACAAAAGTGAGGTCAATTCGCGGACCCAAATCAAATCGATGCTTTCGGCCAAGTCTTTCAGGCCGAGCATAAATTCCGTTGATCAGGCAGACAAATGGCTTAGTATTTTCGCGGCCGATATCTTTGGCCGCCTTGTTGAGGATGGCGTTCTTGAGCACAAGCGCCGCCCGAAAACAGTTGCCTTGCATCACCGTCAGGGACCTCAGGTTCGCTCCCGTCAAATTCCCATTCCCGGATCAGTACCAATCGATGAAGCATTACTCTTTGAGCTTGGCAAAACACTCTTCCGACAGGTGATGACAGATGGACGCGCATGGCCGTGTGCCAATCTTTCCCTCAGCGTTGGTGGGTTCGAAGACGGTGTCTCGAAGAACCGGGCAATAGACTCTTTCCTCCTTCGGGGTGAACAAGCAAAATCTTCACAACCAAAAAGGGATCTGGTGACTGAAGAGTCGTCGGATGCTCCGCAACCAGATGAGAAACGCAGGAAACTGGAGAACAATGGCATTAAGCGCTTCTTTCTCAAGCCGCCGGAGACTGACCTACAGCCTGACCAGGATGATCCTGAACCAGGAGATATGAAAACTGAAGTTGATGAGCATGCAGGTTCTGTCATGCAGGCCAAGGAGCTCTCTCCTGAGCCGGTAGAGACGTTGCCAGTGGGTTATACCTGCAGTCGCTGCGGGAGCGTTCTACCAGAGCATGAGAAGGGCGAGCATGATGATTGGCACTTTGCCAAAGACCTGGCAGATGAAGAACGACAGGCATCCAACGGCCCTCAGCAGGCTCCAGTGCCCGGAAACAGACCCGGAGCATCTAATGCTCGTAATAAGGTCAATCGTAGCAATCGGGGTAAGCCAGAAAGGGGGCAGACTCGTCTTAGATTTGGATAAGACCCAAACTTTTATGTAGCGAAATACCAAATCATATATAAATCTAGATCAAGTACAGCCAGGATCCTTTACAAAGTATTTGAAGAATTGCACGCTGTGCATGTGGTTCTAGGTTCAAGGTACCAGTGACCATTGCACAATATATAAGCGAGCCACGAAATGGATTTACTCGCAGAGTCAATAATCAACATCAATTGTGTTTAGCATATCATCCAAATAAAGAAGATAGAAAGTAATTGGGTGCCAGCATCGCCAATCATCGATTAAATTTACTCTGCTTTATATGAGGCGATGAATAATAGTATGTCATCATAGCAGTCTCATTCAGCCAACAATATACAAACCCGCCAGCTGAACCACGGTTCCACGACTTTGCTAGGCTTTCTCGATACTTAGTACCACTACATCATTTCCACATGGCTTGAAGATCTATACACGCCATTTGAATCATTCCACCACCTCAAAGGATAATGTGGTGGCTCGTATCCAACGAGCCTTGGGGAGATTCTCGGGCAGAGAACCCGTGCTGCAGCATGACATCAGCCGACTCAGCCGCGGGGTCGCTTCCAGGCTGGACTCGCTCGGATGCCTATCATCTTGCAACCAGAGATTTTCCATCACTGACATAATAGGACTAACGTTATTGTCAGGCTTATTATCCTACGGTGGGATGACTTGATCGTCTTCTGCTAGTGCCGTGCTTCTGTCGCATAGCAGCTGGTCCTGCCTCCTGCCTGCTTCGTCACACATACAGCTGCTGCTTAGGAACGTCGCACACCAGCCTTAACTGCCTGGTGAGAACCTGCTGTCTATCCTTTACAATTCGCGTTTTGAGAACTTCTTCTCGCGGACATATATTTACCCATTGTGGCCCTTCCTTTGTTCTTAACGACACAACATGCCTCGACGAGGTCGTGCTCGCGAGTACGATGAGGAAGACATGTACGAAGTTGAGCGTGATGTGTATCCACGACGAGGCAGGGATGAGCGCTTTTTTGAGGAGGAGGATATAAGATACAAGCGTCGAGGCTCAGAGGGACTACCGCTTGACAAGCTCGAACGCTTGCACCTTGAAGCACAAAGGAAACCTGAAATGATACGCGAGGCTCATGGCTATCCCCGTGATTTAGCGCCACCAATCTTAAGACGCGAGCCAGAAGACCTTGAACTACCTCCTCGTGAGAGACCGCGCCGCTTGAAAAAAGACTGGGAGGAACAACCGCCTCTCCGCGGACGGCCCCGTTCGAGGGAACGGGATATAGAGGAAGAGATCATGTTTCGCGAGGAAACAGACCGAAGGTACTCTGATAGCGAGTCCGACGGTGATATCGTTGTTGTACCGAGAAAAGAACGGCCGGTGCATCGACGCAGGTACGAGATTCCAGAGGCCCCACCCAAACCACGCAGTCGGAGTCTTCTGGAGGAAAGAAGATTGCGCGAGCTGGATTACAAGCAAGATGACGTGCGGCTTCGAAGGCCCGATGTGAAGGAATACCATAGAGGGCACCGCAGTGGCCCTTTCTATGAGAGATCATCACATTCGCGACACAGGCACAGATCACACCGTCACAAAAGCATAGATGATGCCGACGACGAGCTTGATGAAGAGGTCGATGAGGAGGAAGTCTCGTTCTGGGATCCTAGGGAAAGAAGACCTGAAAGGAGTGTGGAGGACAAGGAGGTTATTTTTGAAAGACGGGAAAAGTCGTCATCTCCGGAAATTGCAATTCCGAGAGTGCCATCGCCGGGGCATGGTAGACCCATTCGTGATGGTAAGAGTCGTTTCCTTCCCAATGTGATCCATCATTGCTCATTCACATTCATTCGTAGGCTATAGAACAAAGCCTAGCATGTCTCGAGCTCATAGCCCTGAGATTACACTCACAGAAGCAGAGTTTCGCGAACGGTATGTCTGGACAAGCTGTATCTTCAACTATAAGCCGCTCACTCTTGGATAGTGAGAGACGCCGGAAAGGACGAATGGACAAGGAAGAGGTCCTCATTCTTCGACGAGAGGAAGAGGAATTCCCCCAACCTCGGCGGGAAAAGGTTGTACCTATTGACCCTCCCAGGCCTAGGTCAATGGAGCGCGAAACGGAAAGGCTCACAGTGATACGGCGGGATGGTAGCCGGGAATCGCTCGTCGAAGAAAAATTCGAAGAAGAGGATTTCTACAGGCTCCGTGGGCATCGCACTCCTCCTAGGAAGGACCTTAAAGCCGTGGAAGAGCTGGATATTATCAGAGCTGCACCCAAGGAAGAGAAACGGACTGAGATAGTAACTCAAGAAATCAAGCCTCCACGATACGCAGATCGTGAGTCTAAGCTTGTTGTTAAAGACGTGAAAGAGTCTGACGATATCCCGGAACGACAACTTGGGCGAATAGGACGACGATACGTTGGGCTCAAAGACCGTCGTGACGGCCTTTGGACAGAAATTACGAAGGACCTGATAGTGAGAGAGGCCCTTGAGCGGTCTGGCTATGAGTATGAGGAGACCGAGTCCTTCTATTACATATTTTCCTACCTCGAGCAGGCATGTTTCACTTTTCTTTGTGTGCCACTTGTCTATCCCCTACTGACAGACCTGCATAGAACGACGTCGACGCACTGATTGAGCGCTCGGAAGAGATTCGGCGTGCACGCCGTCGTCGAATTCAAGAGATCCACCGTGAGCGAGCATCTCTGCCTCGTGTAGCTGCTCCTCCTCCACCACCTCTGATACCTGCAGCGGACAAAGCAGCGCCCCTGCTTCTCGACAACCAACCACCACCTCCCCGCTTCGTTCGGGATGAGCGGAGAAAGAAGGAGCGGGATCTGGTCGTCGAGGGCAACCGCTGGAGGGGCCCTCAGCGCCCAGGGCGGTGGTGAAACAGCGGACTTTTTTGTTGGACTTATACTACAGCTCCAATATACCCTGATCGGATGCAGACCCGAGTCTGTTTTGATTCTCAGAAACCCATGTTTCTGCTATTGTCGGGCTCCAGACCACACCATGCTTGTCTATATACCCCCATCTTGGATGAAGCAGTACATGAATAGTATCTACCTCGCTTGCTTACTTGCTAACTAAACCACCTAAACCCAAAGACAGTAATCCATAAACAAGAGGAACAACAAAACAAGTAATCAAAGGAACCAACAACAGCCCCAACCCACTAAGCAATCAAATCAACCAACACAATTGCACCGCTGCTGCTGCTGTTGCTGCGCCTCACCCACAACAACGAGCCGAATCAAGCCAAGCCACGCCAACGACAACAACAACAGCTGTAGCAGCAACAGCAACAGCAACAGTAATAGCCCCAATCCATCCTTCGCTTGCAACTCGTCTACCAGAAGAAATAGATTAAATCGAAAGAAAAAGGAAAGCAAAGCAAAGCAAATACCCAAATCAGCCTCACAACCCGTCCATGCAGCTGCCATGCATACATACATACATACATACAGAGTACACACATACTGTATCTGTGTGTATCTACAGGGATGGAAAAGTAACATATATTCTTTTAAGTGCCTGATGTTTCAGAATTTCGGGGATTCCGCCCTCATCTAATTTGACGAGTCACATATGATTTTTTTTCTGCTTTACTGTGGGATGTATTACTTGGTATGGTATGTTGTTTGTTTGTGTGTGAGTGTGTGTGTGTGTGTGTTTGGCTTGTCGTTTGGTTTCTCAAAAAGGTGAGTGATAATGAGAGGGTTCATGTGACATGCCTATTTCTTATTAATTTTCTGAGTGAATGATGCTATTTAGGGATGATGTATAACTACTTAGCTATAGGGCTCTGTTTTGCTCTGACCCTACTGTTAGGATGAAAGTATAGTAGTTCTAAATATGTCGTGTCGTCAGTGCACTGTGTGTATGTGTGTGTAGTACGACGAGTATCTCATGAGTAGATAGTACAGCTATAAATAACCCCATATGAATCGGGTAGATGCTGCATACTGTGAATAGTAGCTAGGTACGGAGTATAGGATCAAGTGACAGCTATGAATCCACTTTCTTAGTAGGTCCGAGAGTTATTCTTGACTGGTCTGTAAGATAGTAAATAGTAAATAGCGAGGCAGCCCTTCCGGGCTCCATCGTAGGGGAATGAAAAGGTGGTGCTGCTATTGTTTACCGTTGACCAAAATTAGGACCGGACGGAGGAAATTGCCAGGAGATGAAAAATACGCCGCTAGAGTAAATTAAGTGTCCACCAAAGGGATGGCCAATGTGCTACTATTTTTGTATGGGTGGACTCGTAGATTGATTGTTGTTTGTGCTTGGGTCTTTGTTGTCTATCTAATTTCTTTTTGTTGTGATAGAATGGGAGTAGAGTGTTGTTTGTTTATTATTGAACCATCTAGCAATGCTAGAAAGCTCTTTCTACTCAGTTTCCCAACCTAACACAACACGGAACCAGGAGGTGCGAGAAGAAAAAGATGCCTGCTGACTGAAAGTGAGAGTAACTACTTTTAGTTAGTAGGACCGCGCCCCGCTTACGAATCACGGATCGGCATGTGACTAATCAGCTCACGCCCTGGATTCCGTTCCGGTTTTTGCTTCGCTCCTCCCTTCAGCCACATTGCTTCGGCGGGAAGAGCGATCATCGTGATGGAGTCCTCCACATGGAGTAGGTGATACCAAATGCCGATATTAAGGATAGTGCGATGGGCACTGGGCTGACTACGGCCCGGCAATTTCTGTTTGTGTGTGTGTGTGTGTGTGTGATTTGGTAACCAGGCTGACATTGCGATAGTCCGATCGTGTCCCGGGTTGTTTCTGATGCTACACCAGCCACACTTGGTTTCCATGGTTCACTGGCACACTATGTCCCTTAGTACCTCGATATCAATGCTATCAACCCCCCTTGCGGATGGCTTCACAGATAAGGCTAGCGATCTGGCTGTCGCCCGGTCGGCATTTCCGTAGTTCCCGTGAGGGTGCCCCTTCATATCTGCCTGGAAGGCTAAGGACGGAGGGCATTCCGCTGCGAGTCAATCCTGGGCGGCCGAGTTGTTCAGCTGTTCAGCTGCTCATGCCATCATCATGCGGCTCCATCAGGAAAAGGAATAGTCTGTCTTCCGATCGACCGTATAGTGGAAGTACAGGGTACAGATAGACGGTCCACCATAGGTGACCCGGGCGAGCGCTGAACGTGCCCCGCCATGTAGACAGACAGTAGTCCAACTGCAAACCATATGACCGGGAGTTTTGACTCGGTCAAACACACCATAATATAGTAGTGCGATAGGAAGGTAGAACCTGAAAGGCGGGGTTTCAGAAATTTAAGTTACTGGCGTCATCCTCGCATCGCCTGTCCGTGTAGATGGGCTTTGCACAGCTCATTGGCCAGACGAAGAAAATGCCAATAGCTTAGCACTATCGACGGTGCAGTAGTTTAGTGCAACTCCAGGGATATGGATGCATGTCCGGCACCAAGCAAGAATGTGTCTAGCGCGTTATCATTTTACTGTTCCGTGCCGTTAGTACAACCGGAAACAATGCCATGGAAGGTCGGGCTCTTAATCGCTCCAAGACAATGCTCAAGTCGATAGAGATCATCGCCAGTCTCTTCATTTCTCTGCCACAAGTATTTTTCTCTGGTGTGGCTCAGACAAGGCGATCTCAGGGCCTGAGTGGTGATGAGGCTTGCTGACAGGGGCAAAGAATTACGCGAGGGCCGTGGACACCATATCATGTATATATCGCAGTAGGACCCAACGATGATCGATCGCAAGGCTTGGATTCCCTTCGAAACTCAACCGAATATTGTCGATCTTCTCTCATCATCGTTCCTGGCAATAGGAGACACGCCTCGATATATTAGAGTAGCGATTGATGCGATCGTTTCATGATCCTGGCGATGAAGCCGCAGGGTGCAATGCAACAAATTCTCCGTGCTACCTCGCAGGGAGTGAGTGCAGTGATGCCGATACCTTGCTGCAAGCAACAGAAGTACGGAGGAAGAGAGCAGCAACACCTTGCTGCCTAGCTCCGGAGGGAGCCCGTCGGTCCCATGCCACCTGTTTACAGGACTAAATCACGCCCGAAGCTCTTCACCGGAAGAATACTTTGGCTCCCACGATGATGGGCCGAGTCAAGTCAAGGATGTATGTAATCATGATGCCGGATGGCAGCATCTAAGCGACATGGTGGTTTGTGAGTTTGTGATGGTGCAAAGCTTGTATGGCAGCGATCCCAGACGAGCATCCAATTGCAGGGCGTGCCTGCGCCATGACACGAGGTTTCCTAACCGTGGAAGGAGCTGGAGATGCGACCACATGATTTGTCACTACTGCCTAAGCAGTTGGTTTCGATTAACTTACTAGCAGTAAGTTAGTTAGGTGGTAACTGTGGTTAACTAAGACCTGGATCTGACCAACTTTCGGATATCCGTGGTTCCTACGGTGGACATCCTTGGGAAAGCACACGGGATAGGCCGGCTGAAACCGTCGGTCCACTGGTTATCTCCTTTCTCCAGGGAGATAAATATCCAAGTTAACAACTTCACCTTGACCCTTCCTTACCTTGGAGATTCGACTTCGTTCCAGCCACGGCCAGACCAACAGAGACGCGACAGGGCCAAGCCCAGAGGCAGCGGAATAATTTACATCATACGCGGGAATCGGGTCTGCGCACCACCGATCCTGCCTTCTAGACCTCTCCTTCCTGCCGGGTTGCAACTCCACTTGCTGCGGATTCTAAGACCAGGAGTTGTCCTGTGCGGTGGCGAGTGCCGTATGATTTGTTTGTTACGTATCTTACCTTGCATCGGGTTTGTTACTGTACAGTCCAGTCTGTATCTTGCATCTTTACTTGACTAGCCCAGAATAGTCCTAGTCTACTATCGCAAGCTAGACACTAAAATAGTCATCATCTCCTGGAATTGTTTACCCCCACCTTTAGTTTGGTAGCTACTTACAGTGACGGAGTGACTTGTTCTTCCTTCCTTCTCAATACTAGGCAGCGACTTGTTGTCACTGGTTTTCTTTTTTCACATCCCATATGAAACAAAATTCACTAATTTTTTAGAAACAAAATTAATTATTAGCAATTCAAATAGCATGTCTATCCTCGAGGCAGAATCAATGGTGACTGCCTACGTATCAGGTACGACGACAGCTACACCGGGCCACGCAGTGCTGGCCCAGCCACAACCAATCAACGGTTCAGGATCTGCGGCCGTGGCCCTGTCTCAAACGCTGAATACCTGGCTCGGTTACAAAGTGGCTGAACCGGTAGATCCATTTTCCTTGGGTACGCTGTAAATGTAATATCCAACATCGATGCCCGCCCACTTGGCTGCTCCATATCTACGGTCGGGGCCTCTCCCTCACCCAGCCAGTAACACTTCACACAGAAGCTTCTCAAGTGCCCGTCCGCTGTGTCAGACAAAGTGACGCAGGCAAGAAAATAGGCAGCTAGTCCCCTCCTGGTTGGCTTGGTACCGGAAACCCGATCCAAGTAAGCTACAGTAGGCAAGGAAGGAGAATAAGCAACTAAAACCAGAATGTGTATCTCTCTGGGATGGGAGGATCGCGGCCCCATGCAAAGGATAGATAGTGGTTTCAGACTAGGATTGCGTTGGTCCTGAGTTTAGAATTTACAGGAAGCAGATACATACACACCATACAGTAGGCACACTACTACATGCCACTGACCACAAAGATAGAGTTTGCCTTCTTTAATAAGAATTGTTTCGTTTCCTTTGATCGGGTCACTTTAAAGGGTGCTCAACACCTCTCGAATTCTAAAGTTTTGTTTGCATGACTGACTGATTGTCCTGCTCATTCTTTATGTGTTTGTGTTTTAATTCATCACTCTCGCTATCTTCCACTCTTCCTGCCTTACTCGTCCCCCCCTTAAAAGACATTCTACGGTGGGCTTCGTTGACCTTTGCAAATATTTTCTCTTCTTTTAACGTGGTGGCGCCATACCGTAAGCATACTGTAGGAGACTCCTAGCAGATCGGAATTTGTATTTTGTCCACGTACGAGTGTAGACCGATTCTTACCAAATACGTGAATTCGGGACAGGAGCGTCAGCTTGTCCACATGGGGATAATAGTTACCACTGACTGGGGGCGAGAGTGTGAATAAGATAGTGCGGACCAAATTCCTCCTGGTGAAAGGTGAACACAGGGTCTCTATTCCCCGTGAGCGTGTCATACACGTTGGCGGAAACCTTTTTAGAGTGCTTGGTGGCATCCTAGCAGATCCCCTCATAAAGACCGAGAGAGAAATGCTTGACTCCAGCCCCTCCAAAAGAAAAAGTGTATCCGGGTGTACCAAAGCACAAAATCGGCTGGTAACAGGTAAAAGCGACGGGAGGAATACTCCGTACAGCGACGCGTATGGACCCGACGGTTGGTCAGCCCGCTAGACCCGATGCGGGCAGCGGCCCACTGCAAAGCGGGTAAGCCGGATTTTTATTTTTATTCTTTTTTCCTCTTGTTTTCTTTTTCCCCATACTTCATACATAATTAGTACCGTTACCTTCCTTTCCATTTCACCATGATATACCACCTCCTCTTTCTCTCGCTCTGCTGCTACTCGCACCCACGGAGAACGTACTCCGAGCGATATTTTACTTACTGACCTGGCCCCAATTATTTAAAATTTCCAGGTGCAGGTTTCTAGAACGGTTACTGCCAGTGGCCACGCTGGTGTGGAACATCGGGACTGGGCCAGCCTGATTCCGTTTCGGTACTCGCATTTTACTCAACTCTTCCTTACCACTACGGCCTCTCCCACTTGCAGGCTTCCCGTTGGCGTCGCCGTAGTCTAATCCACCTCTCCTCCTCATCCATTCCCATCCCCTCGGGCCTGCTCGACTCACCCCGAGAAGATTTGTCTTTCTCTGACCTCAATTGTGTCTTTCTCTATTCCCTCTCCTCTACTATACTTCTCCCCCCCCTTTCTACCTTTCACTTCACCTGCGCCCTGGACGCACACCACCCCCTCGTTCTCGCCATTCACACTCCTCCCCTAGTCTTGGTTGGAGGGGATGATGCCGATTACTTTCTAATACTACCGGCACTGTGTTGATCCCGTATTCCCTCCAATGTCTGGTTCGGCGTTCCCTCGCAGTTGAATACGCCCCTTTATTGAACCGGCTCATTTTTCATCATTCTTGATCCGACACCAAATTCGTCCATCTGGCTCTCTGGTATGTACTGATTCGGAGTCGAGCTTGCGAAGTTATCGTTGGGAGGTCCGTGGCTGATCGGCATCAGCTATCTTCGGTCTACCTACACACCTGCGGGACGTCTACCCGAATCTCTGTCGTTATAGTACTCGCTTTGGGCACGGGCCTGACGGATCAATTGTTCGACGTGCGGGCTATAGCAGCGGTCTGGATTTCGCCAGCCATTCTAATACACTCGACAAATCTTTAGACCCGTCGGTGGGGAGTTCGGCCATCTTTGCAAGACACCTCCATCAAGTGGGAGCGTGGACCAATCGAATCCGGCATCGAAGCCACCTTATAATTCCCATTCGCTCGCACACCATCGTTGAAAACGCCAGGAGCTAGTCAACGAGTACGGTCGGAATATTCGCCATGCGGGCCGACTTCCTTCTTCCACCATTGCTTGGTGTGATTGCCTTGCTTGCTTGGCCTGTGTCGGTCGCATCCTCTCTTACCTATTGTTCTTCGGCAAATACAGGCTCCTCGCAGGCAGCAAGTATGTGATACTCGTGCGTTATCATCCTACGGTCACTAACCTCACGCAGACGAAAGTACCTACCAGTCCAATGGTCTTTGCGAGGACCACTGCAGCAACTATGCGTTTGGAATCCTTCAAGGGTACGACTGCTGGTGCTCGAACATTGTTCCCAATGAGGCGACCAACGTGAACGTTTCGCAGTGTAGCCAGGATTGTCCTGGTTACCCCGATGATAGCTGTGGAAGTACTTCGAAGGGCCTTTACGGTTACGTTGCGATCGTTGGACAACAGCCGTCCGGAACAGCGACCGTCTCTACGACATCGACATCTTCTACCTCGGTCAGTAGAGCCCTTTCCTACTCGTTCGGAGTCTTGTGGTCGTGAATTGCGCACTGCCAATGTCTGGAGTCGCCAGGCATGCTAGTCTTCTATGGCTGGACGTTCCCCGCATGGACCGTTTCTCTGGCACAGCGAACAAGCTTGTTGACAGTGTTGCTATCAACTGTGCCATGGCTGCTTCGATCGCTGAAGTGCGCAATGACCTGCCAAGCCTCAATGCTTATGATACTGACCAGGACTGACCTTTTCTAGACATCTTCATCATCTGAAACTACTGCCGCTACTACGACGGGAGAATCTGTGGCGGTCACAACCGACTCTGGTGTGGTCAAAACGGTCACAATTCCCGCTGCCACAAAAGCAACTTCAACGTCTGCAGCGGACAACCTTTCATCCGCAAAGAGTGACAACAACTCTGGAATGAGCTCGGGTACCATCGCTGGTGTCGTGGTAGGCTCCGTTGGTGGTGCACTCGCCATCCTAGCCCTGATATTCGTGTTGTTCTTCGCGAAACGCAAATCGCGGTCGAACAGCCCAGATCCAAGTGTACAGTCCATCCTGCTGGATGGAAGACAAAGCAAAGGCTCACAGATGAGTTTTATGAAGGGCATGTTTTCCGACAATCATAGTCATACCTTGTCTGCTGGGTCCGCTGCCAGCCGCTTGCCGACGTTTACGGACAACCGCATGAAAACCGATACCGTTCTCTACGCGAATGGCCGCCGAGATAGCGATGTGTCACTCCAGGATAATGAAGATTATTCTCGGCCTGTGTTGCGGGTCAGTCCCCATGTTTCCTTTCCGTGATGCCGGGTATTCAAACGCTAACACGTGACGCAGCTCACGAACCCCGACTAACGGTTGGGTGTCGCAGAACCCTATCTCCTCGCGTTTTGCATTTGCATCTCCTATGTCTTTCGATTTGCGTGTTTCGGCGAAAACAGCGGTGTTATGATACCCATTTGTCACATAATCCTTGACTTCCTTTTCATTCGACTACAGGAGAGACGATGGACTCGACAGCCCCACCCCTCCGACATAAACCCCCACCTCCAGTGTTTCGATCATCACGATGTCTACGCGTCATGCATCCCTCACGGTGGTGCGTTTGGTAGAGGGGCGGGGAAGCTAAAAAGCATTTAAACAACGGACCCCCATTCATTCGCCTTTCGGAGGTGGAAAAACACAGCCGTCTGGCGGCTACAACAAAACTTACTACGCAAAACCACGTCATCAGGCGTGGCTCTTCTCAGATTCCATCGATTCTTTTCCCTGATTGTCGACCTCCGTGTATATCGAAGCACAGGGACCTGTGCTACAAGCTGAAGTACATACTCTAATGGATTAACCAGAATCCTTCCCCTCGCTCTTGTTTTCCTACTTCGAACCTCTTTTGTCATCTAGCCCCTGTTTTTCTGTTCCATTTCCATTTCCATATTCATTGTCTGTGTTTTTATTACTACAAGTGTCAGGGTTACATGGAGCGTCATTTGAAATTCGCATGAATGCATTGAAAGATTGGTCGGTGTGAGATATGTCGCTATCACTGGGTTCAACCTGTAATCTTACCACGATGATGGAGCGAAGTTGTTCTGATAGCGAACGATGCAGTGCATCTACACTAGTGAGGTATTGCAGTGGAATTAATACCGGACGGAATACAAAGGCATCGATCTGTTTCCATATACACATCCCCTTCCATCCGCCCCATACCACTACCAAAGTACCATCATCTATCTATCCCTGGTCCCTCAATCCCCATCGTAGCGGGCCCCAGACCCAAACCCCAGCGCAACCCAACAATCGAACCTCGAACAAACCGGTTTCTCTCCGGTTCTTTCCAAGTCGCGCCGGGCCCAGAACATAAAGTGACAGCTAAACCTTCCGACGCACGGATTACCCGCTCCCGCGCCCAGTTCGAGATCATTCCAATACCAATCACGTCTGCCGAAGCCACATGTAGTTTTTTGCCACTTCCACGAAACGCCTACCTACCCTTAGTTTATCTGTATGTATGGACCCACGGCCTGGAACTATCTACTCATGCTGTCCGGGTACCTGCATTGCCAATGAAGTTTTGCCACCTAGTTGTTTCGAATTCATGAGCTTGCGTGGAGCTAGCTGGTTTCCGGTTCTTGTGTTGGTTGTATGCGTAGACAGGGAGGGGGCTTGTTTCGTGTCCTGTTCATTGCCGGGTAATTTGTGCGTGCCTAGAAGAACTTGTGTTCATGGAAGTTTGGACGTGCGCATTGCCAATGGTCTGTTTGGGATCGATTCTGAATGAAGAGGAACTGTGATTAACTTTGCCTGGTTTCACGAGAGATCTGATACGCTTTGGGTGTGATCTTCTGATGATCTTTTTGTTTCTTTTGGATATGTACTCGTCTGAAGAGACGGAGCTAGCGTGTAATGCCTGCCACAGATAGTCGCTTTCGGACTTTATATGAAAATTGATAGATACTTGATGAGTGTTTGAGCAGGGTCGGACAAGTATGGGTCAATATCTGCACAACACTGCCAGGCTATGCCCCCTTTTTTTTCGGGGATATAATCGCCAAGCTTCCCAAACAGGCTTAACTAGAGGCATCTTAAGTTGAGCAACGTCTTTGTAGATTTCTTGTGGCAGGGTGGAAACGATTCTGGAGATACTAGCCCGAGATATCAATCCCGGGGTTTGGGGAGCCCCAATAACGGTCGAGTCACTCGCTAGGATCTCTGCGTGGCTGATCAGTTCTCGGATCTGTGCAGATACAGGTCAAATCCGGTGCGTTGCCGCGACGAATCCCATCCATCGCACGGTTGTGAAGTGATGTAATATGCAAGCAGGAAGTATGGGAACAACCTGGCGGCACCTGACTACCCCGCTGCGGGATAGTTTTGCCATTCCAGGCAATCCAACTCTCTCCTCTCAACGCCGCTTCTTTCCCTCTTCTGTCAGCTGAATCCAGCATCTTGCTATTCCTCGGTTTGCTGCGTCTCCTGCCCGCTTAGGTCGATCATGATGATGTCGTGGGCCTATTTCTTTCCTGTCGCAAGCCCCCCAACCCCAAACCCCCTCACCTGGTGCAGGGAACTCGCTTCCGGCGGTTTTCTGTATACCTAAGGATTACCACAGGGCGCAGCGATATGGGTGATACATATGATCGAAGCTGGCGAACCAGCCGTTGCTGGTTACATTGCAGCGGATGTACTCATCCCTTGTAGTGTTCTGGATCGGTCTCGTTGTGTCCTAACGTTATCTCGAGTACGCACCGATTGGAAGATGGTGGGACATGACATTGCTATAGGCACGTCTTTAAAACCCTCGGCGCATCGTCCCAATGGAAGAGCAGTTTGAGCTGGCGAATCAGCCGCGTCTCTCAGCTAGAAGGTTGCGCCGATCCGTCATGAGTCTGCGCCTGAGCCTGTTATCGTGTCGTTGACCGCTGGCCACGGGGAAAAGCATGTCGGTTATCAAAGCTTCTGCGTCGTATCTGACTGATATTGTCCTTATCTTTGTTATTTATCTGCATTGCCGCACCAAACGGAGTAAAATCTGTCGAGGGATGCCACCTTTATGCAGCAGGTTATCCGATTTATCGGCTGGGATTTCCCCAGAATTCTTGTCGCAGACTGAGATTTCCTAGTATGGCTGTGTGCCAACGTTATGGCGACCGCATCAGACTGCCATTCACGTAAAGCCTCCACTTTGTCAGGTGCGGTATAATTGCTCCTGTTTCCCTCTGGCGTCTTTTTCGGAAATCCCGATCCGCTACAACCCGGTGGTCACAGTCCCTTCTTGTCTCATTGTCTTTTCGGGCGTTGTGGGGCAACAGATATCCAATATGGACGTGCTGAGCAACCAGGGTCACCTATGGCTGGTCGGCCTTGCCATGCTCTCACTCGCTGGGTTCCTCCTCGTCACCGGAAGATTGCAGGGTAGCGGTTTCTTGGGTCGCGTTCGCAACAACAGGTTCTCAAAACGTGGATGGCAGCCATGGGCAGCAGCAACCGATGAGAAGCCATCAACTGGACCGTCTTCTGCAACCTACGTGAACGTCTTTCCACCGCAACGTCGTCATCTCCTGGATTCGTCAAAAATTGCGATTTCATGTGAAAATGTCAACGAGGAAGAAATTGCAAAGTACCCACTGCCCATGACTGCGAACTATGAGACATGCACGGACAAGAGATATACTCCAACAGGATTCTCTGTGGCGGAGGTCAAGGCACTGGGTGATTTCCCTGACTATGCTGAGCTCAGTGGTGTGCCCTTGCCGGAGCCTTACTACGAGTTCGACATTGACAAGGCGTTGCCACGACCTTATCGCCCATTCCGGTGGTCCTACCATCAGACAATGTGTACGTTACTCCCATCTTGTACTTGATCTGCTCAGGAAGCGCGAGCTAACCTCCTGCAACTTGCTAGCCCTTACGAAGCTGGAGACCGATTGGTGGATCGAACTCGAGAACACCTACAGAGAACGAATAACACAGCGCAAGGAGTTGTACGCAAAACATGGCAGCTCCGTACTTGGTTATCTTCCTGGCTCAGAACTGGCCTGCAAGGAGCTCATGGAAATGGTATTGCAGTTTATCTGTGCCCGCTATCCGCAGTGCTTTTTCATCGAGAACTACCAAATTCTGCACAATCGCATCCTAGGCACGACAGAGGATATCCGGTCCAAGCATCCCCTCGAGGTTCTTATCGATAATGTGCCGGAGGACTTTGGGATTATGATGCGCGATGAGAAGACAGGATTCTACTTCCTACGCGCAGGCGTCATCTGTTCGTCTTTGGGATGGAACGTTGGGACCAAGATTGGCCTTCAGCTGCATCAGATCCACGAGGATATTCCTGACTACAAAGAGAAGATGCAGTTCTCCATGGATCGGTAAGTTCATTCGGTCGTAGGTTCGAACAGGATGGATAATCCAATGAAATTGCTTAGATTCTTCACTAAGATGCCTGCCGACAAGCCCATCCAGAGAGGATCCTGGGGACTCGAGGTCGGCCAGCCTCTGTACATGCCCAAAGGGGACCCTCACGAGAAACTACGCCTTTCCCAGGACCCGAACCTTCAGCTGGACAATTGTCATCTCCGAGTCGACTGGCAGACTCTTCGTCGTCTTCCTCTTTCCGCCGCCATTGTTTTCAATTTCAAGGCCCTTTTCACCCCGGTGTCAGAATTCCGAGACGAGCCAGGTGTGCCCGCATTGACGCTCAAGATTCTGAAGGAAGGTAAAAAGAATCTGATGGATTACAAAGGCACCTGGCATGTGGAGCACGTTGTAATCCCAAAGCTTGAAGAGTGGGCCAAGGAACAGGAAGACAAGGGACATGTCCCCAAGAATTGGCAGGTGTCAACCTTGGATGACAGTCCATGGTACAAGGGATGGCAGGAGAAATGGCATCGCCAGCAGGGCTTCTAATCCTTTACGAATGTAGACCAGTTGGGTGGAGGAGATTTGCACATATGGGAGGCTGTTTCATTCCTTCTATCGCCGACTATGCCATGCGTTGTGCTTCAATGGAGGCTAAGACTGTGTTTTAATGGAGGCTATCTTAGCGCATTCTGAAATTGAGCAATCTACTCAATAGATCCCACGAGGACCGAGTAACTGACCAGGTGCGTACATCCGTAGCTGCAGCAATAGCCTGTCACTTTACGTATCGTTTCAACGAACGTAGATATCGCTGGAGCGGTTCCGAATGGCTGCACATCAGCAGCGAGAGTAGGTGCTAGACAGCACGACCTGTGGACCACCACACGGATCTGATAGCCATCAATCCCGCACCGTCTAACCGACAGCCCCAGGGATCCAGGCTTTTGCGCAGCATTCTGCTTGCGTCCTCAGGCCAATAATCCAGCTCAGCCGCGCCGCAATTCCCAGGCTCAGAAAAGAGGTCAAAAATCACCACACACCAAGCCGATACCTCAATCATCACCCTGCCTTTCCCCCTCCTCACTCCCCTCATCCGCATCATCCTTCTCATCATCATCATCCTCCTCCTCCCGATCACTCCTCTCCATCTCCTCCAACTCATCCTGCAACGGACTAACCCTGACCTCCAACAAATCCAAATCCTCCAAAACCTGCCTAGCAGGCAACTTCCACAAACTCGTACCACAAACTCTCTCCTTCGTCAACAACTCATCCACAAACTGATCCATATACGTCAACGTAAACGAATCCCGCACCCGCCTCTTCAACTTCCGATAATCCAACAACAGCGGTTCCAGCGTCTTGTACACCTCCACGGGCTCGAACGTCAACCGCACGTAAAATGCCGCTAGTGCGCGGAGGTATTTGAAATCGCCGCGTGCTTTCACAACACCATCATCGTGTTCTCTTTTTTCGTGTCCCGTGGAATCTTCATCGTTGGCAGGATCGCTGAAATTCAAATACTCGAGGATGATGTCTCGCTCTGGGTTGAGTTGGAGGAGCTTGAATGCGAGACATAGGAATGGGGATGGCTTTTCGGATACGCCGTAGACACCCCCGATGGAGGTCATTTCCACGGCGCGATCGCAGAGCGTCGCGGCGTTGAGACCGAAACATTGCTCTTTCCAGTAGTAGGAGTCGGTGATGCGGTCGCGAACGGCTTTTTCGAACAGAGTCGCTGGGTTCACGCCGCGGACTAGGGGGCCGCTGTAGCCTCGGTTGTCGAGGAAGGTGCTGGCGTCGGCGCGGTGGGAGGTCATTGTATTGGTTTTTTGTCTTTTGTGTCGGATAAAAGGGGAGGAGGTGGTGAGGAGAGTCAAGGGTTGGGATAATTGGGATTGGTTTGGGGAAGCTGAGGGAGCTCACTAGCTAGTCTATCTGCGGTGGAGATGGTGATGGGATTGTTTTTCTGCCGGTTGGATGGTGGTACCGCCTTGGATGTGGTGGGTGGTGGGCGAGGGCGGTGTAGTGTTGGCTGTATACTACTCTTTCGGTTTAAATTACTATCGCCATATTATCACGGATGGAATTTGATAGACAGATATGAGTTTCATCGATTTTAGGTACTCAAATGTTCATGGCAGAAGCATGCTATAGACCTTCGTTACTCTCTAAACCAGGGATCATTCAAGATCTCTTTCACCGAAGCACGAGCAGCTGGCTCAAAGCGTAACAACTTCCGAATAATCCTCCCCAATTTCATAATATCATCTCTCGTCAATTCCTCTTTTCGCTCACCATCAAAGTACATCTCTTCAAGCCACTCCTGCAGTTTAGGCCCATTATCCGCAGTGGCATCGTCGCCACGCATTGACTCCCATAAAGGTACCCATCTCTGGGGCAATGCTTCATTCGTTATCTCTTGCATTTGCTCAACGAGGACTCTGGGAGTAATCAAGATGTTATCAAAGGGAGGTTGACCCGCAAATAACTCGAATAACTACCGTACACGTCAGTCACAACAAGGATGATCATTAGTAGGAGGAAAACTCCATACCATGCAGCCCAGACTCCACAAATCCACACGATAATCCAGCCGATCTTTGAATATCACTTCAGGTGCCCGGACTACTAATGGAGTGTGGAGTGTCTTGGGCACATTATTCTGTGTAAATGATTCACCGAAGTCGACGATCTTGATGGTATCCGACAATTGCCATGATCGTGTATGTGAACTCGCAGGTCTAACAATGTACTCGGGTATACCAGGCTCGAGACATTTACCGTCATTTCTGCGGACAAGTCCGATGTCTGGTTTTCCTAGTATATCGATGAATTCGTGTTCTGGGACGTTGGCCATTGGGGGTATAGTGAAGGCCAGGTTGCGGATATGGAAATCTATACACTGTCAGTTAGGACTGTATAATGCAAATACTATGGATCTAGAACTAACCTCCATGTGCGATCTTCCTACGATGCAATCCTTCAAGTCCCATCAGAGCCTGTCTCGCAACAGACTTGGCGATATGTTCCGGAAGCCTCCCATCTGCAAATCGCTCCTCCACCAAATCAGATACACTTGATCCCAGCATCTCGAGAACCAAACAGGAATGTATCCCATTAGGTCCCTCTATATCAAAGTGATTGAGTATGTGCACGACATGCTGAGGACTAGCCAGACTCTTCAAAATGTCTATCTCTCGATGTCCTCTATCACTATAATTCTCCGATACGCAGATCTTAATAGCGACGTATCTCCCTTCTCTGAGATCATTTGTATCATTATTAGCGGTTATTCAGATAATCAGTAACTAGTCAAAATAAAGAAACTGTGATAAGTACGGTTCATCTCTAGCGGCCCAGACAGTGGAGTATCCGCCCGTTCCTAGCTTATGCAGGATTTTGTATCGTCCATGATGGAGGAGGCTTCCTGGTTTGATTGGATGGTAGCCGCCGGCTGTATAGCGGTGGAGGGGCTCCGCATTCACAGGGGAAGAGTATTGGGGTACAGTTTTGAGGAGAGTTGAGTAAGATATGGAGTTGTGCTTTGAAGTGGAGGCGGGTATTGGTAAAGATAGAGTGGATGTATGTTTTATTCTCAGTGATGAGGATACTCTCAAACGCATAGTAAGTTTTCATTATCGCATGTTATCATCTAGATAGGTGATGGTAATGGCCAAGCTCCATACTAGTTACTGCGCAGTGAAGTGCCAAGACGCAGCTTATCGATAGTCGCACGGCCAACGGGAGACAATCAACAGGCTGAGACATGGTGGTGGCCTTGGCACCGCCACAGTGAATGTTTGTGATCATCGTCTGCCTGTGTCAGGTTGGAAACTCATGCTGCTATCAACTATCATGATCGCTGGATTTCCCATCTGGTTCGAATTGAAAATTACTCGTATACTGGCTGTATAGTCCGGGCACTTCGAAGCAGTTACTAGTGCATATCTAAACAGTGCTGCCTACCATCCAGTCTCCACAGGCTACGTACGACGGGTATACACAGACACGCACTAAGCGATTAATTCGGGGGGCAGACAGTCATGGTGCTTCTTACTTCGTCGACGGTCTCAGTCATCATATCCACTGCTGTCATTTGTACCTTTACTTTTTTGCTTTTCCTTTCGGGGTATGTCCTGCAACAGCAGTCCGTCCGAAGTATTCAGCATGCCATCCGACCGCCTCCTCCACCCCCGGCGGCGGTTCCGGTGGGAGCATACCAAGGGGCCGAGCAAGAGTTCCTCTCCGATAGAGTCGCCGATAAGCAGCACAAGAGGGATGATGATGCTGGTTCCACACAAGCAACGACAGGCAACTTTGCATACCTCCAGCTTCTCTCCACTCCCGATCCGTCTGACATCTGCTCCGCCATCCTCTTCTTTAAGCACCTAGCGACCAATGGTACTGCAGTCCAGGACAGGCTGTTCATGTATCCGCGTGAGTGGGACCTGATGCCCACTAAGGAGCTTACCGAACCGGTCGCCACGGCCCTCTCTCTGCTGAGAACGGCAAGTCTTGAGTACGGCATATGGCTTCTGCCCATTGATATGACGCTAGCCACTTCTGAAGGCTACAGGCCTACCGATACAAAGCTGCTGCGGCTGGGACAGATTCAGTTTATGCAATATGACAGTGTCCTCTATGTGCAAACGCCTGGTTTGCTGCTCGACACCGCCAAGTTGGATGCTATGCTTCTCTCCAGACCGCTGCCATTGCGACATGACAAGAACAGACCCGAATCTTTCAACAATGAAGCCTGGCTCCCTATGCCCCTGAGAGCAGAGAGAGACTCAGCCCTGCCTCCGGTATACCTGATTACGGTGAACAGTGTGGAAAACGGCCATATCGAAGCTCGTGGCCATGTTCCAAGCACAGATGTTCCCGGATTTAGTCATCTGGTCACGGGACCTGAGGGCATAATGTCGCCCAACGAAGATGGTTTCAACTCTGATGAGCAACCAGGCTATGTATATTTTGAGCAGGATGATGAAGGTCATGTTAAATGGACCCATAACCCATTGTTCGGATCTTGGCGGGTTGGGCAAAATGAGGTATGCGAAGGCCTCAACCTTGATGATGCAGTGCACGATGGCTATGATTTGTGAATTTCTTGTTTCTTTGCTTTTGCATATTGGCTGGCTTCTATGGCGTTTGCGGGTTTCATTTTAGGCGATTGTATTGATGGCTCAAAAGAAAGCGAGTCACTGGCATTCCAGGTTCCCATGGGAGTTGAGGTATATATATCGGGAATATTGGTGGTTTTCGTGTCCATATTTATGTGTGTCCTCTGAGGCACGTGGCGATACTTTATGCAGTCATGTGTATATGAATCATGTATTATGCCAAGATACTATCGTATATCGAAATTAGGTTGTCTAGTATCAGGGGACTGCATTCATGTCATTCACATTAGTCATCCATGCATGTTTCGTGGCAGAGGCGATGTCTGGGTCATCGTTTTCATATGAAGCTTATGTCCAAGAAAGAACTCCAATTCTACTGTATACCCAAAGGGTGTGTCACTGATGCCCAACTATAACCATTAGTGTTCATATATCTTCAAGGCCACAGATGATACGACACACTTACCCTTTTACAAGGCAGCAGGCAGACCACTTATCCAGGAACCCCAATCTCATAGCCTAGCAAGACCTCGGTGGTATTACCTTCCCAGCCTCTGTTGCCACTTGTTGAGACCATGAAGCGACACGCCTGGTCAATGTATAGCTGGGAAACAGTTCCGGTACGATGTCCCGGGATAATCAAGAAAGGCACCGTCGAGTGGCGAGTCACTTGCTCATGTTTGAGGTCGTACAACCTCAGAATGTCATGCGATGCGCTGCAAAGTGACGGTCAGCCCGATATGTCACTGGAAGTAGAGCATTAATGACGACGAAAGTACATACCAAACAATGTGTCTGCCGTTAGGCATCGCCTTGAGTGCCGTGACCGGACCACTGCCCTGAGGGAACTTGAAGGTCCGTTCTGCACTCCTGAGGCCCTTATGAAGACTGTACTCCTCGACAGTGCCATTACGGCGGCCTGCATAAATATAGTTGCCGTCTGGAGACCAGCAGGCATTCATGCACCAAGGTGGGCAGTTTTGAGAAGTGATGCGAGCAACGGCGTCTGGCTCTCTTCTATCCCACACTCGAATAGTACCATCAATGGATGCAGCCAAGAATAGGTTATCGGTGTTAGAGGTTGTTTCTGCTGACGCAGGAAGAGCACTCTCTTGAGTATGGCTAGGCGGCTCCAGCTCTTCGGCATGTGGTAGTCCATTGATCATCGGCTGAGAAGAGCCATTAGGCATCTCCGCCGGGGGGTGAGTGGCGGCAATATCATTAACAGTTGCGGCTTCAGCACCAGCCGCAGCCGGAGCCGGAGCCGGAGCAGCAGGAGCCTCTGCAACGCCGTTCTGACTCGGTTCCGGTTCTCCAGGGGCATCGGCATCTGGCAACACTCCATTAGTTAGAGCTTTACCAAACTCATCATCCTCATCAATGCCGAAAGCATTTCCAGATGCGCCGGCCTCGTCGCCTCCATTCCCGTTCTCGTCGCCGAATAGCGAGTCGGCCCCGCCGAAGAGTGAATCGGCCGGAGAGCCCGCCTGCGGGTTTGAACCAGCGCCGTTTTCACCGTCGTTCGACGTATCCATGAAGTTAAAGCTGCCATTCTCAGGAGCCTGGTAATTGGACGAGTATGTTCCATTTGTTTGCTGGATCTCGGTTGTATCCCTGGGAACTGGCAGACTGGATTCTGGTCGTATCTCGACCGCAGATATTTGCCCGGCACTAGACCCAAATGCGCGTCGGGTCTGCCCTGTGTTAAGGTCCCAGTCAAAAACTCGCTTGTCCCAGCTGCCGGACAGTAGGGACTTTTCATCTGAAGTCAAGCTCAGTACAGAGACTGCGGATGTATGCTGCTGCAGAAGAGCGATCTCTTTTCCTTCATCGTGACGGACTGATTGCAGACGGATGCTACCAGATTCCAAGCCGGACAACAACCATAGACCCTCACTGTGGCTAGCCAAAGAGTATACTGGCGATATTGTGTTCCCATCCATGTTTTCCCAGTATGTCATTAGCACACCCGCCTTGATGACACTGTCGACGAAAGGGTGTCTTTGCGCCACAGTGAGCATCAGCTTGCTGTTGACAGAATCTACCCAATTGAACTTCCGAACGTATCCATCGGAGCCGCCGCTGAAAACCCATCTCATGTCAGCGGTCGCAGTTACCGCATTGATCGAAGTACTGTGAGGGGCGGCCGTAGTTGGGACTATATCGAACGTAGGCGCCGTCAGGCATTTCTCCCGCACGCTCGGATGGAAAGCAGCTCTCGGATCAGAAAAGGAATTCGCAGCAGTTGTATTAGACATTTCGACATCAGGGTTCGGTTGCGTCGCTACCCCAGCGCTTTCCGATGCATGACTGGCATTGGACTGGCTTTCCGCATCTTGGTCGGCGTCCACGTCGGGATCAGGTTCGTTGTCATTACCCCCATCGTCTGCATCCCGAAGTGTATCCTCCATTTCATTGTCCGAGCTTCCGTCTTGAGAGCCTAAAAAATGGGAAAATTATCAGTGTTGCCCAGATGAACCGGAGGAAGTCACGAAGCTTACCTGCAAGGTCGCGATCGTCGTCATCTTCAACCGAAGCCATGGTTCAGTAAGAAGACTAGGCTTCTCGCCAATTGGATATGTGAGTGGATGATGCAGGGAATAGAGATGCGTGTGTCGACTCCCCAGTGACCGCGTGGTGGAGATCGGGGTCCTTTCACAGGCAAGGCGCAACAATTTCAATGAACGCAAAGCAACCCCGCAGACTGAGGGTACATAGCTTATTTTCGCACACCTTATTGCACTAATAATAAGCGCGCGCACGTAAGGATGCCTTCACTGAACAGGGAAGTCCGCAGAACAATACAGAGAACGACATGTAGCTATCGCTGGATTCTGGGGTAAGTTGATCCTTTGCTGCCCGCTATGGCCTTCCCCGGTTCGGTCACGTTTCGCGGTTAATAGATGCCTCAGGCAATAAGGGTCTCTATCCGGTTAGCGCATATGGGTGCATTTATTGAGCTCCAGCTTTAAATACTGGTGATCTTAGAAATGGCCCAAGACACAAGGTGATGCAATTGCTGGAGGACTGTCTCTCTTGATTTGCTCGTACAACTGGTGTGTGAGCACAGACCATAGCTATCTTGGAAATTTGTGCGTCAGAAAACATAGCGGTATATTAGTACTAGCTTTCAGTTGGGCATCGTTTTGAAAAGTAGTATCATTCAGAGTACAGATGCCGATAGAAAACGACTCTAATCCGACGTATAGCGGGAAACTACTCATAGCGAAACTAATGGCAGGCATCCAGAGCTTTCAAGGTTCGTCTAGCCTAGTAGGCGTAGGCCTCATACAACAGATCACATATAATGCCTCCCCCGTTCGCGCTCAGTGGAAGCCAAGGAGTTGTATGATGAAACTAAGGGAGACATGGCTTCCAGCCTGGGTTCTGCTTTCCCGCGTTACTGTGGCTGAATGGACAACGTGATCTGGCCTGCAAACAGAGGAGTACCCGCGCTTTCTCAACCTACAGCCAGATGGCTGATGTTACACCATAGCCACACGTCAACTCTACAATCACTAGGTACACCTGTCAATCTCACTTTACTCCCAACTATAGTTCAAGGCATAACCAAAAGAGAAGCGAAGGAAGTGGCAGCCGAGCACATACAAACGGTGAAGGAAGAAGTGATTGAAGTGCATATGAGATATGGAATCTGCCCAGTGTTATTCAGGTGAATAGAGCGCAGATTGGTATATTACCTACAAATACTATAGACACTGCATACACTGTAGAAACTGGGGGCGCTGATTATAAGTACCCGGAAAGATCCTTCCTACTTCTTACTTCCCTCCTCCTTCCTCATCTCTTCGAACTCTCTCCACCAGTCCTTCTTTTCCTACAAAGCAATTATCTGATTTGTTACCTCCTAGCCGATTACTTTTGCTCCATCTGGCATACCGAGGCTTCTAATATAGCCACTTGCACAAACCTGCTTATTGAATCTTTTCTGACCTTGACGATCCCTCTCAATATGGACTCAGAGGAAGACCATCGGCCCGGGACTACAGGAACAACCCCCAAGCTATCAAACAAAGATGTGAACGCTCACATGATTGTCAATAAGGACATCAGAGAGTATCTTGTCCAGCCATCTACGGACTATGCTGAGGAATGGCTAAAGAGGCCGGAAATCCCATCGGCAGAAGAGATCTTAGGCAATTCTGGTACCGGAGAAGATGATTATATTGAGTTGACACCAAACAAAACTGAAGGTCCTTGGAAGTCGAGTGATGAGTACCTCAAAGCCCACTATGAGCTCCTTCGAGAAGACGCAGTTGCTCCTCTGAGAGATGCTGTTGCATACGTCAGAGATGACCCCCATATGACTGACTCCAAGCTTGTGTCCATCTATGATAAGGTAGATTATCTGACACGCCAATCTTCTAGGATTGACTAACAATCTAAATTATTTGCTCTAGGTCTACTTCATCGGTATCACATTCGCGCAAAGAGGTCTAGGAATCAAAATCCGTTTCTCCACTAGCCGAGCCGAGAAGAACATCGTATGGGAATATACCAAGCGTCTAGTCAGCGGCTCCATCATTGCTCTTAGTCCAGCAGATGACGTGTTTCAGCAGAAGTGCGTTGTTGCTATTGTTGCTGCCAGACCACTCGAAGGCGTCCAAAAGTATCCTTCAGAGATTGATATCTTCCTTGCTAGACCTGAAGATTTTGAGTTCGACTCTCAGAAGGAATGGATCATGGTAGAAGCCAAGGATGGCTACTACGAATCTGTGAGGCACACTATGGCAGCACTTCAGAAGTTGAAACAAGAAAGGTGAGTAGGCCATTAGGTGGCATATGCACAAAGTATTCTGTTTAAGTCATATTTTAACTGACAATGTAGATTTCCTCTTTCTGAACACATTTGCCTGCTTGACGCACATGTTGGAGCTCCAGAATACGTGGAGAAGAATCCTATCTATGACATACAGTCGGTAACTGAGGCTGCCGAGGGAGATAAAGTTGACATCCTCACAAACTGGCCTCGAGAACCAAGCCAGGCCATGGACAATACACAATGGCAAGCCTTACAGGAAATGCTTACGAAGAGGCTCTCGCTCATCCAAGGCCCTCCTGGCACAGGAAAGACATATGTTTCTGTTGTTGCACTAAAAGTTTTACTTTTAAACATGAAGTATGGGGATTCTCCTATAATCCTAGCCTCCCAAACGAATCATGCGTTGGATCAACTTCTAAGGCTCGTCGCCACCTTCGAAACAAGCTATATCCGGCTCGGTTCTCGGAGCAACGACCCCGAAATAAAACGACGGACTCTCTACTGTGTCAGACAGAATGAACCCGCCGTCACGGTACATGGAAGCGTTCTAGGAGGGGCCAGAAAGGAGCAAAAATTCTTGACCCAAGCCATTGCCAGAATTCTGCAGCCATTCAACGCCGAAAATGCCCAGGAGCCCCTTCCTGCTTCTCTATTTGTTGAGTATGGCCTCTTGACGGAGACGCAGCTCGACAACTTAAAGAAAGGTGCTGAAGGCTGGACTCGTCCCACTGATAGTGAAGATACCGACCCGCTGGTAGTCTGGCTAGGTGACAAGTTGGTGCCATTCGAAGTGAAGTATGAAAGAGAGAGTTTCGGATTCGAGGAGGATGAGGTAGATCTCGAGTACGAACAACTAAAGGAATTGGAGGCCGAGCAGGGCATTGAAGAGGATGATTACGAGATCCTCAAAGGACAATTCATCAATCTTCGGGATGGCCTTTGTGGGTGCAAACTCGCGTGCTCCGAGGTTTCCGCAATTGAGAATCTGAAGCAGAAAGATCTGTGGAAGGTGAGAGAAGAGGCTCGGGGGGCAGTGTATGATGTCCTCCGAAAACAACTTAAAACAAAGATGAGGGAGACTCTTCTCCCACAAGTCTCACTCTATTCGAAGAACTGTGAGAATATCCACATTGGCAAATGGGAACGAGATCACCACGTTCTTCGGACAGCAAAAGTGATCGGAATGACAGCCACGGGTCTGAGTAAATACCGGGGACTGATCTCTAGCCTCAGACCGAAGGTTGTCTTGATCGAAGAAGCCGCTGAGGCTATCGAGGCACCAATTGTTGCTGCGTGCTTTGACTCCCTCCAGCACATGATACTCGTGGGTGACCACCAGCAGCTCAGAGGGCACTGTACTGTTCAAGAGCTCGGGGGCGAGCCCTACAATCTTGGGGTCTCCATGTTTGAGCGACTAGTCAGGAACGGAATGGAATACGTCATGTTAAACAGGCAGAGAAGAATGGCGCCAGAGATCCGGCAGCTCTTGGAGCCTATCTACGGCGAACTGTATGACCATGAGTCAGTACGCAAGCGTCCTGGAGTGAAAGGGATGGGAACCATTCGCTCCTACTTTTTCACTCATATTTGGCCAGAGAGCAGAGATAACCTTGCGTCCAAATACAACGAGACGGAGGCCCAGATGATTGCCGAGTTCGTCGTCTACCTGGTGCAGAATGGCAACACGGTGAAAGATATAACAATTCTGACCTTCTACAATGGCCAGAGAAAAAAGCTTCTGACCGTTTTGAGACACCATCCGTACCTTCAAGGCCAGTACGTGAAGGTGGTAACGGTGGACTCATATCAGGGAGAAGAAAACGAAATCGTGATTCTTTCACTCGTTCGGAGTGGCGAAAACGACATTGGATTCTTGTCGATTGCAAACAGGGTCTGTGTTGCACTGTCGCGTGCCCGACGCGGGTTCTATATGTTCGGCAACGCAAATTTGTTGGTAAAACAGAACCGGCTCTGGCGGGACGTACTGACATTGATGGCCAACAACAAACCACCACGGCGTCTAGGAGCACAGCTGCCTGTCACATGTGTAGAACACAAGCGGACGACTTTTATACAAGGTTTGGGATTTCCTTCGTTGAGCTTGTAGTGTCAGTTTGGATGTTTTGCTGACACCTGAAACTCAGGTCTTTCCGACTGGAACAAGATAAATGGCGGATGTGATTCCCCTTGTGATGGAGTGTTGGATTGCGGCCATCCCTGCCCAATCAAATGCCACAGGTAGGTGCAATAAGTTTAGTCTAAGGGAGACTTGTGAAGCTAATATAGTCGCAACCACACAGCTTTTCTCATGACCAGGTCGAGTGCAATGAAATTTGCAACAAACGCATGGCTTGCAAGCACGTCTGCAGCGAACCCTGTGCAATAAGCCATGTCTGCAGGTGCACTTGCGAGATGGCTTCACGACTTGATGATTTACGTCTTCACAATGAGTGCCAGGGCTCCACTGCCCCGCTGGAGGGACCGAGTCCCTATCCTGAAGCGGTCAGACATTATCAAGCGTTTGCAAGTGGAGGTGCGAAGGAGCACGACGCGCTTTTGCTGAAGAAGGCTACCGAGACCGCCGCGGCAGCGTGGCCCACACCAGGAATAGAGGAGGATGAAGATCTTCTCCCCGAGACGAGTCCTCAGGAACGCGACACCACGGTTCTCTTGTCGGAGGAAGATCTCATGGAGATCTGATGGCCCACTGGAAGGAAATCCGAAGGCAGAGGCTAGAGGACTTAGAGTTTTATAAGACCCAGCACCAAAAATAGGTAGATAGGGCTGCTACGTGGTGTGTGATAATTTAGTTTTCTCAGTCAATCAAGGAATTTGGCGATGATGTCAAGGCTTGCTCCCGTACTCTGATTGGCCCGGAGGCTCTAGCGATAGTTCATTCTAGTAAAGACGATGGAGAACGGTTAGTACAAAGTAGGATAATTTACTGCTGTTACGTCCCCAAGTGGTACTTCCTTACCACGCCCGGGACCCCCGCATTCCCAGTCACTCAGTTGGGTTCTTCCGTCTTCTCGACTCTTCCTTGCACTTCGTGTCTCGAGCAATCACGATGTCGCGCGTAGGTTCCACCGATCGAGTCAACAAAAAAAGATGATACTGGAATGCACACGCGACCAGGCGGGGTCGTCTGTGTAACGGCCCTGCAAGCGAGACCTTCGCTGCATCGTTGGAGTGGGCCAGCGGAAGCGCAAGACGTGCGAATGTGGATTCCTGAGGAAAGCTCGGAATTCCCCTTGAAAGAGGTGAGGATAAACTCGGAGACGGCCGGAACGTGGGGAGTGGACAGATGGGCGACCCGCTCAGGGAAAAGACGGACTCGACTCAGTGACGCTGGACTCGCTGGAGTCGTTCGACAGTGGATTTCCCGGCAGCAAGAAAAAGGAGGGAATCTTGGAAATGGAAAAGCCCCGGCGCGCTGGTGGCTGGTCCAACAACCCGCCAATCGCAGGCCGTGACTGGCCATTCAGGCACTGCCCAGGCACCGCTTGTGGTACTCCCAGTAATTAAAGTAGTTAATAGTTAACTCGAGTATCTACTACTACTTCCTCCTCTTCCTTCTCATTTATTATTCACCACCACCACAACGCCTACAGGTGCATGGCGGGAACTTCCCTTAACACTAGTGGCCGTCCATGATGCAACTGGCTTGCCTTTGCTCAGCTGGCATACTTCCTCCTCCCTGATTCTTTAAAACCATCTATCACCAGGGTCTTCAAGTTTAACTTTGCCACTTTCAGTTCCTACTACGGACTTACTACTACTAGGTAGTACTACTGAGTCAGTAGTGCTAAGTTAGTACTAACTCCTTTAACTACCATCTACTACCTACCATTCTTGCACCCATTCTCTGTTCTACACGGTTTCCCTTTCTGTCAGACAACATGGCGGAGTTCTTGCGATCTCAGATCTTGGGGACTACGTTCGAGACCACCAACAGGTGAGTGATCACTTCGCTACTAAGGTCGATTCGTAGCTACTAATCTCCTGTCCAGATATTCTGACCTCCAGCCTGTTGGACTTGGTGCATTCGGGCTTGTCTGGTACGAGCACTCCTTCTTTTACATGTAGTCGCTCTGCCTGAATATACGGATTAGATTAGCTGACCACGATGCGGCCACACTAGCTCGGCTTATGACATGATTACGCGCCAGCCAGTAGCTATCAAGAAAATGATGAAGCCGTTCTCCAACGCCACCCTCGCCAAACGCACCTACCGCGAAGTGAAACTCCTGAAACACCTGCGTCATGAAAATGTCCGTCTCCTCGCACTTCATTCCTAATACCATGCGACTGCTGACGTTCAACAGCTGATTGGCCTGAGCGACATTTTTATTTCACCATTAGAGGATGTGTATGTGGCTAGCACAATGGCTGATTCCAACGAATTGTTCGCAAGAGTACTGACGATAGGACGCAGTTATCTGGTGACGGATCTTTTGGGGACTGACTTGAACCGCCTTCTTACCTCAAAGCCTCTGGATGGCAAATTTGTTCAATATTTCACCTACCAGCTTTTGGTAAGCCTGCCGAACTCTCCAAGTTGACACGGACTTGCTAACGACCCTAGCGAGGCCTCAAATACATCCACTCCGCAGGCGTGATACACCGAGATCTCAAACCGAGCAACATACTGATCAACGAAAACTGTGACTTGAAGATCTGTGACTTTGGTCTAGCGCGACTGCAGGAGCCTCAGATGACTGGATATGTTTCAACCAGATATTACAGGGCACCAGAAATCATGTTGACATGGCAAAAATATGGAATGCAGGTGGACATCTGGAGTGCTGGCTGCATTGTCGCAGAGATGCTTCGCGGCAAGCCATTGTTTCCTGGGAAGGATCATATCCACCAATTCTTCCTGATCACAGATGCTCTGGGGAACCCACCCGACGAGGTCATTGAGAGGATCTGTACAAAAACTGTAAGAGCTGAGTCGATCGTTGGTCTACCTGAAAGCTGATTTATCATATAGACCCTTGACCTTGTGAAATCACTGCCAAAGCGCCAGCCAGCTCCTTGGGCGACATTGTTTCCAGACTCTGATGAAAATGGTACCTACCCCTTCCACAACCAAACAAGTGTGTGAAAGGTACTTGTATACTGATGAGCTTTGTTCGCAGCTATTGATCTCCTTGGAGAGATGCTCATATTTGATCCCGACAAGCGGATCTCTGCTGCGAAAGCCTTGGAACATCCTTACTTGAGCGTATATCACGATCCCACTGATGAGCCGGTCGCTGAACAAATGTTCGACTGGTCTTTCAATGAAGTGGCGCATTCAATCGATGAGTTGAAAATCATGATGTAAGTCTCCTGCGATCCTTGACCGAGTTCCAGACTGATCAGGATGCCAGATACACTGAAGTTGTAGACTTCCATGATATTGGGCCTACCGAAGAACCAGTCATCACAGAGCCCTTCTTGTCTCCCGATCCGAGTCTCAGCCCTGAGGTCCTTGACCCGCTTGGCCAGATACAAACCCAAAGCATGGTCACCAAATCAGCGGAGACCTTAGACCAAGATATTCTCCAGTACCTCCAAATTTAGACTCCGCCAATTAGTAAAGCTCACGAAGGAAGCAAGAGCCGCAAATTCGGTGAACTATTTTCCGTTTGTCCTCACGAGGATTTCTGGAACTGACATCATGATGCGTCCATTTCGTCAACCCTTTCGTCAGATGAGGCCTTGAAGATCGGTCATTCATAAATGCGTCCCTTGCCTAAACCCTGTCACAGGCACCACTAAAACAGCGCAAGTCAGTGACTCAACCTTCTCCGTTGACAATAACCCTTCCCTTATCGACGTGTTTCTCTTGTACTCCCCGTCTTCGCATCGACTTCGAGACACGAATATAGTCGCTTAAGCTGAAGGCCAGACATACACTTTCATCCCACCCAGCTATCAGTGCTCCCACGGAAGAACGCCACCCTCCCAGCAAACCAGCATTCGTAAAGCCGAACCTAACACGATGAATCTACTGCTATCCACTTTGGCAATCTTATTCCCTGCCCACGCTTTCCCTTACACACAAAATCGAATAAGCGCGCCAAATACCACCTGGCAGATATCTCTATATCAAAATACACACTGCACCGGCGAAGAAACCTCTTTCTCTGGGAACGGGACATTGCCCTGCCACGATGCAATACTCAACGGCGGCTCCTTGGGCTACATAGCAACGATGAGTATTGTTTCGAACTGTTCAGTGCAGGTCTTCAACGATACGGTATGCAGTCAAACCATTGATGTTGTAGGCTCAGGGATATGCCAGGCTCCGGTTCTGCAGGAGGATGTGCTGATTCGGAGATTCTCGATTGTCTGTTAGCGTTGATGTCTCTTGACAATGTCAAGAATTGAGGGTCTCGTGGCTGTCTTAAATTTACTTTCCGCCTTTTTCTATTCCATTTCTTTTTTTTAATTCGAATACTATCTGTGTTAGCTACGGTTATGATTTCCCACCATTTCGAACGAGCCATACGACGAATGACAATTTACAATCACATTCTCATAGTCTGTGTGAACCACCAAAGCAATACCAAATAATGATCTATGAATAATGATTGCATATATTACATTTACTCTAATAGATATGATCAAGTAGAACCACTATTATCTGCACACGAAAACACCCCATCGATCTCCCCATCTCTATACGCATCCATAATCTGCACAATAACCCCATACGTCCCACCCACCGTCATGAACGCCCCCAAAAGAATCAACAATATATGCAACAAATACACAACCCGCTTCACCACCCCTCCAGACTTCCAATACTCCCCATGACTATACACCCACAACCACCCCGGCAAACACAACGCCAACGGCGCAAACCCCAAGCTCCCCACCAACGCCAGCACATACGTGAATATCGGGATTGCGCACGCCAAGATAAATGCAATTGCAGCTAATCCTATCGTGCATCCCAACCACGTACCCCAGTGCACGATTGTGTTAGCTTGAAGATGGCGCGAGTGACGTAAGATCCGAACAAAGAGGTATTTTGCCGCTACGTGCACGTAGAGAGAGCCGCTGACGATCAGGCCTGGTAGGGCGATGCCGTAGGCCACGCGTTTGATGGTCGTGCCGGCGCTGCCGAGGGCCGGAGAGGCGATCCATTTCCCGCACCAGGCGTAGATTACTAGTGCGAAGGCGAGGTAAGAGGATGTTACGAATGACATGCAGAGGTATACGGCTTTCGGGTAGTCTTTGGGTTTGCGCATTTCGGAGATCACGGGCAGGAAGGCCGAGGTTGCGGCGCTGGACACGAATATGGTAGCTGAGGCGGTTATCCCCGCTGCGAAGCTTGGGGAGCCGATTGCATGGTAGCCCAGGTCGTAGGGACCTGTTTGAGGGGCTATGGCTGGGCGAGAGCGGGTTGTTACGCCGATTCTGGAAGGGGTGTTAGGCTTATGGTGTTGGTGAGAAAGGGGTTAGGGGACGTACACGACAATGAGGACAGCGGCTAGGATGCTAACGAAGCCCACCCAGGTGAGCCACCCGATGTGGGAGAACTTGCGCACACTAGCAAAGCCTGCGATGATGATGGTTGCGATGAATGAAAACCACACTGTGCACAGGGAATGAAGGGAGAGGGCGTTAAATGCGGCCGAGACGCCAATTATCCCTGATGCAGCAGTAATCACGTATGTCACGATGAACATGAAGCCGACAAGCTCGCGGAGCATGGGCCCTCCTATAAGCTGGGCCATGTCGGCCACGGAGTGACATTGTGGATATAGTGTGCGAAAGTTGCCCAGGATTATGGCTCCGTAGGCATTGATGACACACCATCCTACCAGGTTGACGGCACCAGGGAAGGCCCCCAGGTCATACATCACTGATGGGATGGAGAGGATGCCGGTTGCGAACAGCACTGGAGGAAGTCCGATCAGAAAAACTGCGCGTTGTAGGGGACTAGTTGGAGACATACTCTTCAGGAAGATTGCTGATGCACGGATCCAGCTGACAGTGCGAAAATTGACCTTGCCATCTGCTTGCTTAAAAACTTCATGGCTATCGTCGTCTACTTTGACCTCTGAAGAACTAGCGACTCTGATGTCGTCGCTAGCATCCGGGGCTGGAGCGACCTTGAGGTCCTTGGCCTCATTGATGTACGACATGGTAGGTGTCCAGAGGAAGGGAAAGAGGCGTACCCTGGTACCCTCTTGAGGCGGGACCCCTTACATTCTTATTGCTGGGCATTTCTTGCACAGGGATCAGGCTGCGGAACATTATCACCAGTAATATGATCGCTACTGATAGTATGACGGGCCGATGAGGTCGAGCTCAAGTGCTGGCTGATAAGAATTCCCACGGAGAATTATCTCCGTTGGAGTGCCACGTTGGAGTCTATCAGTTGGAGTAGACGGCATCGTGCATTATCGATGGCTGCGATACGAGGGGCATTGGAGTAGGTGAATAATGCGATAAGGCTAGTGATTCGAATAATTTCGTCAGTTATCGAATGTGTAAGTAGGAAATAGACATGTCCGATGGGTTTGGTGGGTTTTGGCGGTTTGAAAAAAGAAGTGGAGATTCCAATCTGATAAGCTGAACCCTTAGGCTTTCAGGCCGTGAGGCCGCCCCGGACGGCTGCCTGGGAGGGGGATGTTGGAGTCACGACAGTCCTTCCTGCCAAATGTAGTAATCGACTCCAACTGCTGGCGATAAGGCTTGGCACATGGCACATGCCAGGCCTTTCTTCTTCGTTGTCGTTGGGTTCAATACTCTTCTCTCCGCAGAATTGAGCTTGGTGTCTACATCTACTCACACATCATGTCGGTATTGTTCACTTCTATTTCGCCGTATGTACTGAGTCCTCAATTCATGTTATCCCCGTTTTCTCCTCCACGAATTTGAACCTTACAGATCATCGACAGGGACAACCCGGTCAAGAGGGAAGATGCGGCCTCCCTTCTGCGCAATTTGGATCTCCATATTGACCAAGAAGATGAGGAAGATTTTCATACCCTCCTGGCAGCCGTCCATGACTGCGCCGAAACCGTGGCGAACCTGCCAGACTATCAGCCAGTCCCCGATCTAGATCGATACCCTCGACATAATGTTCACCGTCCATCCTCAGAGGAACAAGTATTTGGGCAGGCCTGGGCTCACAAGTTTCTGATCAAGGGCAATCCGGATGGAGGGCTATTGACGGGGAAGACGATCAGCGTGAAGGATTGCATTGCCGTTGCAGGTGTACCACAGTTGCTTGGAAGTGATATCATTCCCTCTTGGACACCAATTACAGATGCGACGGTTGTGACCCGAGTTCTCGATGCTGGTGCTGATATTCATGGTACTTCGACTTGTGAGAACTACTGCCATTCCACGGCGTCTTTCACGAGTGCTCAAGGAACCGTGGAGAACCCTTTCGCGACCGGATACTCAGCTGGCGGAAGCACCTCAGGAGGGGCAGCCTTGGTTGCAGCTGGTTTGGTTGACATTACGCTCGGTGGAGACCAGGGTGGGAGCATTCGGGTTCCCTCCGCATTTTGCGGTTGTAGGTATCTCGGATAAATTGGCTTTCAGAAACATGGCTGACCGTGTCAACTCAGGTGTCGGCTTGAAGCCTACATATGGGCTGGTGCCTTTCAGCGGTATTGCTAGCGGAGATGCTATTGATGACCACACGGGCCCGCTTGCTCGTAATGTTATCGACGTTGCCTCTTGCTTAGACGCTATCGCCGGCTATGATGGCATAGACGATCGATGCCTGGGGAGTCCTAAACACGGCTCTACCTCGTTCGCTAAGTCGCTTCAAGCGGACGCTACGAGGCTCGACGGCTTCAAAATAGGAGTCTTGAAGGAAGGATTTGAGCACACCGCTGTGGACCCCACAGTCAAAGAATCGGTCATGGCGGCCACCCAGAAATTTGCGGAGCTTGGCGCAACAGTCGAGGAGGTGTCTCTTCCGGACCACTACCATGGGCCTGCTATATGGACCATTCAGCAGCGTGTGTCAGGCTCCTTGACGCTGCTTGGACAGGCACATGGCAGAAGGGGGCTCTACATGACGGAGATGGAGCGTGAGAGACTTCCGTGGACGAAGGAAGGCTTTCAAAGAGCCTTCCCAGCCACGAAGAACGTTATAATCAATGGCCTCTATCTTACCTCGCGCTTTCCGGACTTGTACGGGAAATCAGTAAATATTGGCCGAAGGCTTCGGGACCTCTACGAGGATCTTCTCCAGAAGTACGATGTGGTTGTAATGCCAACCACTCCCGTTGTTGCACCAAGACATGGTGCACGAGGCCTACCGGTCGAGTCCCTGAAGCCTAGCATGGGCCTGACAATTAACACGGCAATTTTTGATGTTACGGGACACCCAGCGATGAGCATACCAGTGGGGTACGCTCCGGCCAAGGACGATCCCCAAGTCAAGCTCCCAGTCGGTATGCAGATTGTCGGAGGGTTGTGGCAGGAGTCCAAGGTACTCAAAGCGGGATATGCATGGGAGAAAAACTACGATTGGAAAGAGGTGGCGAGTCATTGATAGACACAGTACATTATAGATAGAATTTTATAGGAGTTGGTCTGGGTGAGAAACGCTCATTGACTATACTATTTTTTGGGAAACTTGGATGTCATGTCTCTCACATGCAAATTTCCGATTACATACTTCCATATCGTTCTTTACATAGCAAGCTGTTGGCATACCGTTCGATTTCCTCTCATGTCTCCTGAATGCTAACGGCACCAGATCTGTTGTTCATCTTATTTCATCCTTTGTCATTATCATTATTATGGTGAAGAAGCTTCTCATCAGTTGATGATATACCCTCCGTCGACAACAAGCGCATGTCCTTGCACAAACGAGGCAAAAGTCGAACACAAGAAGAGTATGGAATCAGCCACTTCTTCCGGTTTCCCCATCCTCTTCATTGGGGCAATCTCGACTGCTGGTTGAAAGTGCTCTCGAATTTCCTCACTGTACGTTGTCATCGGAGTCTCAATTACACCCGGACAGACACAATTTACACGGATGCCCTCCGCAGAGTAGTCGATTGCATCGGAGCGAGTCATCGCAATCACAGCAGCCTTGGAGCTACAATACGCAGCTAGAAGCAAATCCGGCGCAGTTAGCTCAATCCAAGAGAACGTTGACCTGGAAAATTTGGGATTGAGAAAATGGGAACTTACGAGCACTCGGGCGCCCTACGATTCCCAGCTGGCTTGCAACGTTCACAATAGCCCCTCGCTGAGGAACGCGATTCGGATCATGACTCGGTAAAGGATCCTGTGCTACCATTTGTCTCAACTCTGCTCTAGAACAGAACCAAGCACCCCGGTAATTGATGTTGTTGATATGGTCAAATACCGCTGTTGATGTCTCGGTTGTTCGCATGGCGTCTCCTAGGATTCCGGCGCAATTGACCGCATAATCCAGCCGTCCAAATGTATCCACCACCTCACTGACGAACGACTCGACAAAGCTCTCATCGGATATATCACCCGCCTTGACTAGAAGACGCGTCTGAGGGTAAGAAGCGAGGATGGCCTTTCGAGTCTGATCTAAAGAGGCAGAATTAAGATCCGTGATTGCGATTCTTTCACATCCTGCCGAAGCAAATGCTTTTGCTGTGGCTGCACCGATGCCTGCGAGACGGTTAAATTTTTGCTTTTTCCTTCCCCGCGATGGACTTGAAGGTATACGTGCCTGTGCCACCGGCTCCTGTGACGACGGCAACTCCCGGAAAGGTCCAAGTTTGCGTCATATCCGCGGGCGACGATTATCGGGAACAAGACTAGCCGACTTGATCAGAATTGAAACTCACGTTGAGGCCAGGGCAGTTTAAGGAATTGAAGTTGAGACAGTCATCGCGCATTATTCTCGTGATGATGTTGACCTATATACTACATCCCATCGAGCAACAGCTGACCGACCGGGTTGGAGAAAGGCAGCTTATCGCGCAAGTGGGGTCAACTCTCCCAAAGTGGCGTTGGGGCAGCCGATTCGGCACCGACGGTTGGAGTCACTCGCACGTTTCCTTTTCTTTCCTCACCATCCTCCACAGTTAGTCTCCTCTCCCCTAGTACCTGGTGTCTCCAATTGGAGAGGTTGCGACATCTTATCTGTATAGTCTGGTCATCGCTTTGTCTCCAAATGACTTGATGCTGTCTCAGTCTCCTTCACAACCTTCTCGGGGCTCTCGTCGCTCGAGTGCGGGAGCAAAAACTCGGGTCTGTGTCCATTGCGGACGCAGTTTCAGAAGAACGGAACATTTGGAGCGACATGTTCGCACACGTAAGTCGCATCATCCTCAGCGATCCCAGCTAGTCAAGTCGTGTCTGGATACTATGCATTGTTTATTATAGTCCCACTTGCTAAGCTAAGGCCCTGTGCACCCTTAGACACCAAAGAAAAACCGTATATATGCTTCTGTGGCTCCGCATTCACGCGACGAGATCTGTTGAAGCGACACACAACCATTGCACATCAAAGTACCAGTGGTTTAGTTTCACCGAATTCGCAACCGGATCACGAAGCCTTGGACCATGCCAATAGAGCCGGAACTTCAGAGCCCACCACTGTTCAGCCCCACTACAACAATGTTCAGCCGACGCCGCGTCCAGATGTTTCTATTCCCATGCCGCCGATTGCGGAACAGTGGGCAGGGCCGCAACGTGGACCATACATCGAGCAGGATCGCAATACTGTTCTAAATACGGCTAGCAGTAGTGCGGGTGACCTGGGGGCTCATGCCGGCGCAGTCGGCCATGATGCGGAGATTTTGGAAGCTGCGCAGCTTCTTCTTCCGGGCAACTACCGACCTGCACCGCCACCAGGTAATGAATCTCCCATCCCTCTGCGAAGCACGCGCGCTAACCTACTATCAGCCCAACCGATCCCATACCTACATGAGGAGCTCAATCATTTCCAGGACTTTACTCATTTTCTAGACTCCATCGGTCTCCCATCGGAGTGGGTGCCAGCATTTGGGGACATCTCTCAGATTCACAATCCTGTGCCAACTGAGCAACCCGAATTCAACAGAAGTGCTGGGGAACAACATGAATCCTCATCGCGCTCCCGCCAGTCTGAGAGATCGCGGGCTGACTCGCCCTTCCGGTCGTGGCTGCCGTCCGTACCTCCAGGAGACCAGAGCTTCGCATCTGTATCAGACTACGGTATATGCATTCCGAGATCAAAACGAGATGTCACAGTCGGACACTTGTACTAACTAGTATACAGAGCCTCCTCAGAGTAGCAAGAACCCAACGTCGCTGAAAGTTACGGAAGAGCAGAGGCAGCGTCTGGCGGCCTCCTTGGACGAGTTTCGTTACCTTATACCAGATTTCGTCCTACCTTCGCGTCACACGTTGACGCGATACTTGACCTCCTTCTTTTTTGGCTTTCATACTCATCTTCCATTTCTACATATACCGACATTCCGGGTTAATGAACGAGCCCCGGAGCTCATCCTGGCTCTCATGACAATAGGTGCTCAATATCGCTTCGAGCACCGTAATGCTGAGAGACTGTTTTATGCAGCCAAGGCGATTGTATTGTATCGACTGTCGAAGGAGTCAAGTTTGCCATCCTTTAATTCCATCATTCAGATACCATTGAATAGTATCCGGGAATCATCTCAGCGCTCGGGCCAGGATCCGTTGCTCTCATCGCCAGATTTTGCCGCAGGAATGAACGCTTGGAGGAGAATTGAAACTATTCGTACTCTGCTAGCTTTGATGGGGTACTCTACCTGGGAGAAGGCTGAGCTTGTTCAAGAAGCGTTTGGCCTACAGAATCTGCTCGTTCGGTGCTTGCGAGAATTCGAGCTGATGGAAAATATTACAGTTGCCCCACGGCATTCTCCTTTGCAATGGCATGAATGGGCGGAAGAGGAATCTATAAGACGCACCCGTTTCATCTCATTTTGCTTTGTTCACGTTCATAGTATCGCATACAACATCTACCCGGTACTCCGCAGCAGTGAAGTTCATCTACGTCTCCCATGTTCCACGAAGGAATGGAAAGCCGCCACATCCCACGACTGGGAGGCTGCCCAAAAGGAGGTGGGCTCTCAGCAACTATTCTTTCAGGATGCCTTGGCACTATTGCTGCAACCTTCACGAAATCCAGTACTTCTGAATCCAATCCCTGCGCCTTTGGGTAATTATATTTTGCTCCATGGCCTACTTCAACGCATCCATCTTGTGAGCGAGCTATCTATTCCGAATGGCGACCAGTCATTTGCGCTTCCGACCGAGGAGTTGAACAAGCTAGAGTAAGTTCTTCCGTCAAGCAAAATCAGTCTCTGATTGCCCGGGTAACTTCATATAAGTATGGGCTAACGCGCCTGATCAGGAGAGCACTCCGGTCCTGGACTTCAGTTTGGCAACAAGCCCCGGAATCTAGTCTTGATCCGCATAATGAGAATGGGCCCATTCCGTTCACTTCTAGTTCACTGTTAGGGTTGGCATATGTTCGCTTGTCTCTCAACCTTGGACCGCATCGTCAGTTGGAGACGCGGGATCCATATCGTATTGCTACCGCGATACACAGATCGCCGCGACCAGGAAGGAGCTATAGATTGACACCTGCCCTCATTTATTCTGCACACGCACTGAGCATTCCCGTACGCCTGGGTATCGACCACGTGGCGCGCAGTCAAGCCTTCTTCTGGAGTGTTCGTCACTCACTTGCCAGTCTAGAATGCGCTGTTCTTCTTAGCAAATGGCTTATGTCCTTGGCTGAAACTGGCAGCAGCCAAGCCCTGAGTGGTATGACCTATTCCCTCTAAAGCAGGCTCAAACAGCGGTCGATGGTTCGCTAACTTGGATATGGGCTTTAGAGAATGAGAATCGGATCTTACATTGGACGCGTTGCATTGTGCAAGAAGCTTACGAATCAATGGATCTCGATGAAGGAGAATCGTTTCCTAGCCAGGACCCTGGAAGCCTTGGATTGGCTGTCATCAAGCTTTGGGCTCGCCTCTTTCGAAAGAACACCCAGTGGCCATTCATCAACGTACTTGGGGAGAGCCTGGAGCGGTATCTTACACTTCTTCAACCAGGCTAAACAAGCCAGGCGTTGCTGGTTCGAACCCAACAACCTGAAGTATCATACAGCGGATATTCTCCTCCTACCAACATAGAAGCGGCTCTTTGAATAGATGGGTTGCCCTTGAAGCTCTGGTGTGATTCCAAGTTGCGCCATATGGCACCTCAGGTTTGTTCTTCCTGGGGCCAACGCGAATCCAGAGGCATTAGTCTAGCTATGTAGGTGTTGAGTATAACACTTCCAGTGTTGACTAGGCTTATGTGTCTTACTAATCTACGTCATTAGGACCGGCAATGTCTCTCGCGGCGTTGCTTTCCTCAGAGACCGGGCGGCGTTCGACGCTTCCGGAGGTCTACCGACTATGCGAATTTATGAACTCACAACCTAGCATAGCATCAACGGTCTTATTGCCACGACTAGAGACACTTTATAATTCAACTCATACAGCGTGCGAAATAATGGCACTATATTTAGGCGATCATACATTACACGTCAAGCTCTTAGATTGTCAATTACATTATTTCAGGATTGGACATTAAGGCATTATTAACAGACGCCATCTCAATTATTACCTCTCCTTCTCAATGTTGTACCGAATATCTTTGTGCGGCGATTGTTCCGGGATACCACACAGGCTTGGACTTTACTGACAATGCCAAGCGCCGCTCCACTGGATACAGAACGGAACTTTAGAAGAATCTCCTCGCAAAGCTGGGCGAAGGAGTTGCGGATGCAGACAGTGAGGCCGAGCTTGAAGCAGCTGCGCTTGCGGAGACGTTCGCACCAAGAGTGGCAGTAAGAGGTCCGATGAACAGGGTCTGGCCGCACGGAACCGGAGGAGCAGTGACGCAGCCTTGGAAGTATGAGCCAAGCTGACCGGGAGCAGTTCCGTTGGATAGAACGTAACCCGGGCTGTATGCAGGCACCAGCGAAGAGCTGTTGGTCGGGAAAAGAACGGTCTGGTTTTGACTCGCGATATAGTAGGCGTGAGCAGTGTGCTCAGCAGCCAAACGGGCCCACAAGAACGAAGCCTCGGGGGCCTGGGTATAACCAGCCAGGGCAATGTACGCTCCGGCAACTGTAGACTCCAACTGGAGCGCAGTCTGCACGAAGGTGTCGGCGTCACTGGCACTTGGGAAGGTGAAGCTGCAATTCTGAGGGGTCCAGCCAGACAGCTTCGAGCCAAGTTGTTGCACAGCACGCACGCCCAGGCGATTCTGTCTCTGGATGCCCTGGAAGTTGGTGAAGTACTGCGAGTTGGAGCCATTCTGGGAGCTGCTCAAGAAGGTCTGGTTGACCGGAATCGACGAATAGAAGCGGTCGAGGAAGAACGAGAGCGCGTAGCCGTAGTTAACGGCTTGGGTTTCGTTTGACTGAAGAGAGCAGCTCGAGGAGCTCTGAGCCACGGCGGCTCCTGCAAGCAGGAGGCCGTTCAAGGCGGAGAAAATGCGCATCGTGCCGAGTAAATTGAAACTCGATATGATATCTTAAGCGATAGTTCCCTTCTTATGAATTGGATTCGAGAGTATGCAAAGACAGTATATCCAACACAAAAAAAGGCGTAGACACTTCTCTACAAATTCCACAAAACTCTCAGCCGACAAGAAACAACATGAGCTACTCTTATAGCCTCCGTCAACTCCCCATGCTTACAAAAACTGCTGAGTGCAACGATATGATGAAATGCAATCCAGCCCTGTCGGACGCGCGGCCGGTCAAAACCCCAACAGGAGCGGAGCCTCGACTTACATCTCTTGCATCATGACATGGCCGGCCAAAGCCTATTGACAAACCTTGTCTCACATACAACAAGGGAGAAATGGAAGAGAAAGAGTTTCGCCTCCAACAATGCACCGCCTTATAGGTCAGTTCGGCAGTGCGGAAATCCCATCCATTAAACTTCGAACCTGGAGTTCGTTGGACCCATGGTCTCTTGTGCGCTTAATCCTCGCCTATCTTGCTGTGGTGATATCATGGAAGCTGTATTCTTTCCGCATAATAGCGGATGATATCATCCAGAAAAGAAAATGAAAAGTGAATTAATTGGCATATACATCAAGGACTGACCGGAGAAGAGCGGTAAAATTTCTTTCTACTCGCTCGCGTCACAAGGTAGATGATATATGGAATGGCATGGCCACCCTCCCCGGTGCCAGTAATTAAGGTCCATTTCATCACAGACGATGCCAAGAGGAACTAATTGTAGATGAGATAAGTTATCTAGACTAACTAGTTACTACGTACTCCCCGTTACGATGGGAATCGATGATGATCTGTATCTGGTGTCATCCACTCGCGGATCTCGGCGGATAAATAAACTTATTCTGCGCTAGTCCTATCCCGGTTAGGTGGGATGCATGCCAAGCGCACCTTGTTTTCCCTGTTCCCGAATTCAGAAAGTAAGGGTCCAGTGACTTGTAGGGTCCATGAATCAGTAGCCGTGCATGCCCGGTTGTGCAGTTGAGTGTGGCGAGATTTTGTGCAATTTCTTCACTGTATACTCAAGTGCTCTACATTTACATCCTTCTGGTCGCTGAGCCGGCTGACCCCTCGTACGCTTTTTCTGACTTTGCCTCAGGCCAGTGGTTTCCATGGGCCTATAACTACTAGTATTCTCAGCTGGTGCCTAATCCATGCTATGGGTGCAGCGTATTATATGAATCTTGTATATTCTCTATATAGTCACATTCAAGCAATTTTTGAGACAGGGAACAAAGAAAGGTCAGCAAAGCCTCCAATTTTTTTGAGGCACAACGAATGTATAATAAGTTGAAAGAAATGGAAGATGAATAAAAATAGCAATAGTAGCGATACCCCATGCGCCAGCTTTCACACAGTCAATAATAAACAGAATTGATAGATAATATGTGTAACAAGGGCCTTCCAATATGTGCGACTTTTCTTTTAAGGTCCCTATCAATAGTAGAAAGAAGAAATCAAGACATGCAGGGACACGTCAAGAACTAAAGCAAGAAAGGGACGATCTATGAATCATTACCACTATTTTTATGATCCCACGCTTTCTTGGCTCCTTCCAGAAGACTATCCATGTTACCGCTGTTTTCACACATGCTTCGGAAGAGACCGTCACCCTTATTTATTAATGTCCAGGGGTGGTCGTACTCGATAACTCGGCCGTGATCCAGGACCAAGACCTTGTCGTAGTCAATGATTGTCTGTAGACGGTGCGCAATGGTGATAATGGTGCTTTCCCGGAGTTCCCGGAGGGTTTCTTGGATCTTGGAGTCGGTGTTGTAGTCTATGGAGGCGGTGGCTTCGTCCATCATCAAGACCTTCGGATTCTTGAGTAGTGCACGTGCAAGACACAAGAGCTGTCGCTGGCCTTGGGACAGGTTGGACCCGGATTCGGAGACCGCAGTGTCCAGGTTGAGGAAGATGTTCTTGTTGTCCAGGATAGCGCTACTAGTGACACCGGTGGGAGTTGCAGAACTGGGCTCCGCGAGCGTACTAGTGGTCAATGGAGTCGCGGTGCCAGAGGTACCGGGGCCGATCAAGTGCACACGTCGCAGGGCGGTAAAAATCTGCTCATCCGTGAAGAGGTCGAACGGGTCCAGATTGCTGCGGATAGTTCCTGTAAACAGAGTAGGGTCTTGGGGAACGATGGTAATCGACTCTCGCAAGTCACGGAGACCGATTGCGCTGGTGTCCACGCCGTCAATGACGATGCGGCCCTTTTCAGCTTCGAGGCCACGGAAAAGCGCCAGAGCAAGCGAGCTCTTGCCAGCTCCAGTGCGGCCGACGATACCGACCTTCTCTCCAGGTTGCACGGTGAATGAGACGTTCCTGAGAACGGGGTCAAGGTCGGGTCGATACCGAGTTGTATACCCAATGAAGTCAACCGCGCCGCCACTGGGCCAGTTGGCCGGCGGTCTAGAGTCAGGAATAACTGCATCTGCCTCTTGCTCGACTTCGAGGTACTCCCTGACACGTTCGACAGAGTTCATGTTCTGTTGAACCTCCGAGTACAGCCGGACTAGCCAGAGAACGTTCTCGGTGAACGTGACTGCGTATGTCAGCGAAAGTCCAGCAGCACCGGCATCAATCTTCCCAATGTTTATCAGGACAAAGACAGCGGTGAAGAATGACACCAGGGCACCTGTTACATCAACACGGAGCGCCAACCAGCGATTACTCGCCCACAGATAGATGTGAGGGCGGTTGTAGGCGTTGATGCGACGGTGATTGTCAACGATAAATCTCGGTCCATCTCCATAGGCACGGATGGTAACAATACCGTTCAAGGTCTCACCAAACTGCTGGTACAGAGGACTCCGCTGCACGGATTCAAGTCGCTTAAGGTCGCGAGAGGCGTTCAAGTAGACGGCACCGAGAGCGACATAAACCAAGGTGATAAAGATACCCGCGATCAAGAATCCGGGCGTGATGACGGAAATAAGAATGACAATCATTACGACCGATGCCAGACTATGGAGCATGCCAATCGCTACGGGAGCGACTTCCTGATCAACGGATTCCACATCCTTGGAGAATCGGTTCATCAGTTGACCCAGGGGGGTCGAATCAAAGAACTTGAACTTTGCATGCATGACCGCTCTCAACAGGCGCTGGTGGATCTTGAAAGACGCGTGCAGGGAACCCCAGAAAAGGACACCCTCTCTGATTAGCGAGATAGCAACGAAAGCAACTCCCAATAATGCGTAGACTCCGAGATAATATGATACATTCACATTGCCGTTGGCATTGGCGGTTACTGACTGCGTGCCAAATTGGGGTGCGCTAAAAGTGGATGTGCGAGGAACACCGCCAACATTGAACGACGGAATCTTGAAGGCCGCCATCGCCGCGTAGTCACCAGGATCCGCCCCGACGTCCTCAGTCTGGTAAGAATTGGCCCATTGTCTGATCCAGATATTGGTCGACACAGACCCAAGCTGTTGCAGGCAAAAAACAAGCACAGCCACGATCCAGTAACGCCAGGATCCCATCGATTGAAGGTACATCTTAACCGTAGACAACTTGATACTGCCAACAGCTTT